ACCTCTATTAGCACTAACTTCTAACTGAGCTCCTCCGGTCTGGCGATAACTTTTGGGAGCGACTTCCGTACAGTCGTAGTTAAGATCGTCCTGCGGCTTATACAGCTTGGGTTCAGCGAGACGTACTAAAGTGCATAAAGCTGAGAGCCTTACCAGTTCTACATTATTACGTACTTCTAGCAACTATATCCTAAGTTCTACTGAGTTTCTAGTTCTAATAAATCGCCTCTCAATATCTCGAAATGGTTACCAACTTCAAAATCCTCTTGCTTCTAGTTACTGCTGCAACTGCAAGTGCCAGCGACAGGCTAGAGGATCGTAACAGTGATCCACTTAATTATTATGTATACTCGTCTACTCTATAATACCTACATTCCTTCTAATTTATAAATCTCTGGATTTGCAACCCTAGTAGTCAGATTTGCGACAATGGTTCAAGTAAACGCTCACTGTTGTCATCCGGTAAATATACTCTTTGTAGCCTTCTACTACGCTAATGTAATACTAGAATAAATTCACTCAATGGGTTGGCTGCATTCCATATGAAACTGCAACAGACCAGCAATACGCATACTGCTCTTGAGAGTTTATGTAACAATGTGTCGTACGCGTAGGTTGTTACAAGGGGTTAGGTCCTAATACTTCTCTTGGCTCGATCCGGGTTAGGGCGAGTAGGCATGCGTGTACAGCTCCGTGAGACCTGTCTAGCGATGCGTAGTAGAAAAGAGTTACAGATGGAACTAGAGGTTTTGACAAACACGAATTATTCGACGTGTAGGTGCGGTAAAAATATATCTACAATGTGTCTACTATATACTATTTTCATTTATGTGTAGTGTTGCCAGAGCATATGCATATTTTATGTGGTGGACAGAATCCGGGTGCTCCAATCAGCGCCCGGATTCTGTGATTAGCAGTCAGAGCGCACGATCTACCACGATCATACTCAGGGGGTCAGCGCGGACGAGCTTAGACAGAACAAGCATTAGATAAGTCATACGATCTAGATGTGCTTGAGCACCCAGATTCTATGATCCCAACCAATTAGAGCTAGTCGCCAAGGCCTACCCTAGCGCCTATAGCGGGGAGACGCGTGGACGCGTCGTCTAAACAGAGCAGAGCAGATCATCCACTAATACATGTTGTTATAGTGACCAATCCCAATCGTCTACTCCTATCCTTGATCAAAATCCATCATAATCTGACACCTCATAGGAGCTAGGGTAGGCCTTGGTAACCAGCTCTAATTGGCTGGGATCATAGAATCCGAGTGCTCGATCACACCCGTATTATGCCACTTGTCTGACAAGTAGCGGGCGCTTATAGATGGATTATCCCGCATCCCTTAATCTAGCTATCGAAGTAACGGCGTTTTAGGGCTTAGTTAGCTAGTGGGGAAGATGGCCAGTCGGCCTCAGTCCTAAGGCTGCGCTATTAAATGAGTATGACTTTGCTAAGGAGATAGCTACAATAACAGATCTATTAAGTACTATCTTCCTCTAGTAGAAGTTTAATATTTAAAAATATAAATTCAGCTAGTGTTAGGAGTAGGCATAAAGTAGTTAAGTATTTTTATCAATACCTATAGCGTCGATTTGTGAAGACAGAAGGAAATTTAGGCTTGAGCGATGATGGCAACACAGTAAGATATGTCAGGCGTGGTAGATTTCGAGATAGCATGGCTACTTATCAACTACAGCTGAGAGCTACTACCGCTTTACGCCCGTTAATCAATTCAAAGATCAACTTGCAGATACGAGCCTAGATTGCGCTAGTTGTACACAACATACGCAACTCAACTCTAGACATCGCCTTTTAGGACACTAGAGTCAGCCTACTATTAAGATACGATACTAGCTAAGGGGAGCGTCGAGCAAGTTGACCAGAGTCTGTATTCACGCGTAGGGTTCCGTGATGTGCGTGTGTGCGTATGCGTGGCGTGTATGCGGGTGGCGTGTGTGCGGAGTGGTCGCCGAGTGGTCGCCAATTGACATTGGGGACGCAGTACAGTACTATCGCGTCGCGCAAAACTGCGTCCGGATCGAGATGCTGCTCGAACAGTGAAGTACTTCCTACTAGATGGCGGTCGAGAATCTGCCTTGTATGAAGTTTGACATGCGATACTTGAGAGGCTCGAAAGGTTGAAGATAACAGATGCTTGTCGGAGGGGTTGTCGAGAGGTCGTGGAGGGGCTCCACGTTTTCACGTGATGACATCTCATTCGGTTATACCTTGAATCATCTTGCTTTCTCAATAGTTGCATTCTATGATACGTACAAGAGCATGTAGGAGATCGCGTGCTGAGACGTGCAGAAGACCATATACCGAAGCGTACATAAAATTATGTACTAGTTGGAACGTGCAAAAAAACATGAACCAAAAAATGCGAAAAATCGTGCGCTAAAAATATGGGTACATCCCCACACAAGCGCGTTTCATAGCTTATGAATAAATCCCCAACTACCAAAAAATCGCAAAAAAGAAACAAACTCTCCAGCGGGGAATTGAACCCCGGTCTCCCGCGAGCTGTCAATTGCTTGACAAGCGGAAATACTGACCNATTGAACCCCGGTCTCCCGCGAGCTGTCAATTGCTTGACAAGCGGAAATACTGACCACTATACTACTGAAGATGATTGGTGGACAGGGTATCCTGTTCAGCTGATGTGATGTTCGATGAGAAGAAGAGAAATTATCTAATTTATATTGTGTAGTATTGACTCATTCCGCGCTATCTCGGGCTGAGGAATCTTCGGCTGTGGTGTTCCCCACATGTGGGGCTCGGGAGAAGACTCTGCGTTCCGGAGTAGCGCAGGCCACACGCACACCTTGCCAACTATCACTCGGAGAGAAACTTGTATCAACTGAACATATCCGTAGGCCTTCTCAGACCATGCTGGAGTGAAAACTTGACGATGATATGTACTTCAGCAGAGGGTATGTCCAAACAGCGATCGTAGAGTCCAATGACCGATGGCTAGGTACTAGCGTAACCGAGCTGAGTTTTCCTGCGCATGCATAGCGGTAGTGCAGTGGAATGATTTGGTCATAGGCATCGTATAAGATGTAGGCAACGTTGCATTTTGGGATCCGGATCTACGAAACCGGTCTAGGCCTATAGCATTTATCTCAGCTTTCGCTACGCTGTGTTACTTTACTAACAATTGGTGTAAATCCTACATTCGGGTTGGCAACAGATGGGCTGAGGAAGCCACTTTTGCTAAGCAGTCGCTGCACGAATGCATATAGGGAAGTCAAAGACTATGTAGAAGAGAGGCTCCTGCTCCAAGGTCTTTCCCGCATACTTCACTTTGCAACAGACCTACTACTTGATTAGCTACTTCAGCAGTCGTAGAAGCCAGGTCCGGATAATTATAATGCATTTCTCAATCACGCACGCCCTCACTCTTGCTCTCTTCGGAGGCCTTGTAACGGCCGACTGCTGTAAAAACGGCCTCGACTACTGCGGCTATGGCCTTTTTAGCAAAGGTTAGGCTCTCCATGTCCTGATATCAGGCAAATTTTGTGACGCTTATTGCTTTTCTTCTACTCAACAGGCAATTACTATGGAGAGATCTAGACTGCGCTTGAGAGGGCTGGGCTACCCGTAGACCCCGACCATATGCGGTACACGCGGTTCCACTGCTGCGTCTGCACGAATACCCCAGCCGTAAGTTACTGTGGTGTTAACCGATGCACAGATGGAGGATCTGGGCACAGCGACTATTGTAATTAGTTTGCTAGATGCAATGATAGGGCGGGTGTTGGACTGAAGATTCGTGGCATCATTCAATATGGACCTGACCAATTCTCTTTCACTTCGCACTGCATTGGTTGGCGGTTATCGCATAGCTTTCAACAAGCTACGACGCTGGCAGGCTCTGCTTCTAGAATAGAAAACGAGTTGTTTCTGTCATGTAATCTACGTTACTACCCAAATGTCTAGCTTTTGTGCAGCGCCTCTTTTAGAAACTTGTAGCCAAGATCGTCTAGATGTGCAATAAACATTCTAGGTCGAGCACGAGATTCTTGGTCCCCGCATGTGAGCCTAGCGGGTTCAGGAGAGAGTCATATAATATGACCAAGTAAGCTAGCAGTAGTGCCCATTGAAAGATGATACGATAACAGCAATCTGCTAGCTGTGCAACGACCAGGCCATACACTATAGGGTGAGTCGGCGCCCGCCTATTCAAGCTGGTGGCTGTGGAAGAACTTCTCGATGAAAAGTACGAGACACCCACAAGGGCACGACACGGGCGAAGGCAACCGTCTGTTGCGCAACTCTACTAATTTCAATGTAATGTAACCAAAGCAGAAGTTGGCCTAAAGGGCCCTCCATGGGTGCCGGTTGAAAAAAACTCTCGTACCGCGTTTCAATAGTAAAGTCCTTCACGCGGCGACGATACGCTGGAGAGCGAGGAACCACGACTTTAATATGGTACAGCTGAATACATGCTTTTCTGGGTGGCAAAACAATGGAGGCAGTTGACGGCTCTGCAGACATACATACAGCGCGAAAACAACGCAATCCGATCCTTTTGGGCCATGTGATGATTAGCAATGCCAGATATCGACAAGATTATCAAAATAGGTCCTACTAGTCTCCGCAACCTATCCGTGAAGCCCGTCAGGGGCGAATTCGAACATCAAATATAATGTGTGCAGATCACAAAAAATGGGAGATTAGTGCAATTGCATACATTTGGGATTGATCCCTCATGACGTGAACCTTAACCAAAATCACAAAGCATTCTGTCAGCAACAAAATATTACATCATAGGAGAAGTTTTTTTATCGGTTGTCTGGCGTGTTGTAGATTGGCCGCAAGGATGGAAAATTCTGTCCGCCCTATAAAGTTAGTGGTTTCGAGGGGGTTCGCGAAGCACCGCCGTTTTTGGCCGAAAACAAGATGGAGAATCGAGGTGGAGAACATCGTGTTTACAAATTGGTTGGTAACAACGACAATCTCTTGACAAACATGCAACCAGGGAGGCTATCAAATCTTTCATATTCAGGCCACGGCGCTTTGAGATATGAGCTTGCTTTTACATATATAGCAGCGATACGAAGACCTCATCCTCAGTAGCACATTCCTTCTTTATTTGAACAACAATCGTTTTTTCCAATTATGAATCGTATCCTCACTTTGCTTGCCGTCACTCCAGCAGCTCTTGCTCTGGCTGGAAATGTTACAGGGGCCCCTGACCATAGCCCTCGATACGATTATGTTATCGTTGGCGGAGGAACGTCAGGTCTCGTTGTCGCAAATAGACTATCCGAAGATTACAATATTACCGTCGCGATCATCGAAGCTGGAGACGTTGAACTCTACAATAACAACGTGTCCGACACGTCCAAATATGGCGCCGCATTGGGCACTGGCATCGACTGGCAATACCAAAGTGCACCTCAGCAGTATGCCAATGGCGCGACTCAGACTCTCCGAGCTGGAAAGGTTCTAGGTGGAACTAGCGATATCAATGGTTTGTACAAGATGGCTTCTTGGGGAATGTATTGCTGAAACACCGTCTCTAGGTATGACCTATCTGCGAGCGGAGACGTCGCAGATCGATGCCTGGGAGCAGATTGGAAACAAAGGTTGGAACTGGGAAGATCTGATGCGCTACTACTTGAGGAGCGAGTATATACAGCCTCCAACCGAGGATCAGGTTTCTCTTGGCGCCTCGTATGATCCGGAAGTCCACGGCACGTCTGGTCCTCTCAGCGTTGGCTGGACTGCAAATATGATGGGACGGGAGGTTATCTCGCCAGTGAACCGATCCTTCAGTGCGCTGGGCCTCCCTTTCAACCACGAGCCAAATGCGGGTTCCATGCGTGGATTTACAGTTTTTCCCAAATCAGTCGACAGGGCGAAAAACGTGCGCGAAGATGCTGGACGTGCATACTACTGGCCTGTTTCAAAACGGCCCAACCTGGACATTTACTTGAACTCCAAAGCCGAAAAGCTGATTTGGCATCCAAAAAACAAAGACAGCGCACCAAAAGCGAGCGGTGTTGTTTTCACCACCTGCAACGGCACCTCTACGATTCTTGCCGATCGCGAGGTAATCCTCTCGGCTGGAAGTCTTATGTCACCACTGCTATTGGAAAAATCTGGTGTCGGAAACTCTGCGTATGTATAACATCCATCCGAGATGCGTGTGGGCGGAAAGCTGACAATAGTTAAAGTATTCTGAAGAAGGCTGGTGTTGATGTTGTCGTTGACTTGCCCTTTGTTGGCGAGAACCTCCAGGACCAGACCACCACGGATATGATGTACACAATGAAGAATACCACAAACCTCACAGGGCTTGCCGGCTACGCAGCCTATGCTAATGTGGAAGACCTTTTCGGAGAGGAAGTCGACGCATTCAACGAAACCATTGCGAAATCCATCCGCGAATATGCTGAGAGAACTGCTAACGCCAGTGGCGTCATCAGCGCTGATGTCACCGAGAAACTCTTCAAAATCCAATATGATTTGATCTTCAAGCACAGGGTCCCGGTAGCTGAACTCATTATTGCGCCTGCTCCCACTGCAGACCTTACGGTCGAGTATTGGGGTCTTCTTCCGTTCTCACGAGGCAGTATCCACATCAACTCTTCCAACGCCACTCTACCTGCGCACATCAACCCCAACTACTTCATGTTGAATTATGACGTTCAGCAGCAAATAGTTGCGGGAAAACTAGCACGTGAATTCACCAACACTGCCCCTTTCTCCAATTTGGTAACGGGAGAAGTCACCCCTGGGCTCAACAAGCTCTCGCCCAATGCCTCTAATGCCGATTGGGCTCAGTGGCTCAAGTCTACATGTAAGTTCACATTCATCTTAAAAGCAAATAAAATCGAGCAATTGGACTCACATATGAACAGATCGCTCCAACTTCCACTACATTGGCACTGCTGCCATGATGCCCGAGGATCTCGGAGGGGTCGTTGACCCCACTCTCACAGTATACGGTACTAGCAATGTTCGCGTCGTTGACGCATCTGTGCTTCCATTCCAGGTCTGCGGTCATCTGACCGCCACATTGTATGCTGTTGCTGAAAAGGCCGCAGATATGATCAAGGCAACATATGCTTAAGCGTACTGACAGCATGGAACTATCACTCTTCATCTTTGCATGTTTTTTTCGTAACCTGAATGGAGTCTTAAGAGGTAAACTGGCTATTCTAAATGATTGGTGCACAGGATTGGATGGCTTTCTTCAATGTTTTCACTTCAATACACTGTTTCATCCGTTTCTGAATCTCAATCTTATCACACGTCTTCCAAAACGGCGTTAGCTGTTGCGTTTTTATATGCGTATAAAGGTCACGTGAACGCGTATTAGATACGCTCTGCGCTCGGCTCTAGAAGACGCTAGCTCTCCCCAATCAGCTTCTGCTGAACCAACCATAATTTATAGACTAGACGTACTGGTCATGATGTGCGTACTGTATGCGCTATACGTATACCAAACCTATACACTCTGCGCGTGGTCTAGGAGACGCTCGGTAGCTAATCTCGTTTCAATAGCTGGTCTTTGATCACACTTCCGTATGTACCGGCACTGTACAGGATGCTCTGATCCTTTCGGTTCATGACTGCTGTTTAAAAGGCGCGTAAGTCCACCTTGCAGGTCCTTCCCCGCGCACCCTCCACCATGGTGTTCGGTTCCGTGACTCGGATTTTGTTTGTGCTATTGTCTGCCTCCTCTCTTTCATCTGCCCAGATTCAGGATGTCCTGCCTATCGACGATGCTACAAGGCGGTACCTCGAGTCTCTGTCTGCAGAGAAGGTAGCCAAAATCCTGAAAATCTTCCAGCAAGCTATTGGTGGTCAGGTCCCCGCATCGCCCGAAGTGATTGAAGCTCAGGAGCTATATTGGAGCTACGATAAGAGTCCTCCTTTCTATCCAACACGTTAGTAGCCTTTCTTCCATGATTCCATGTGTCTCTATTAGCCAACTTATTGACGCCGATCTATGCGCAGCAAAGACCACAGGGTTAGACGATTGGGCCGATGCTTATCAGTAGGCATCGGCAGTGGTAGACCAGATGACAATTGAAGAAAAAGTTTCCGTTATCTCCGGACAGACGTCCACCACAAATGGATGCTCAGGCCAAATACCTGGAGTTCCTCATCTTGGATTTCCTGGCATATGTGTAAACGATGGTCCAAACGGTCTTCATGATATCGCTGGTGTTAATGGCTATCCTTCTGCCATTACTATTGGTGCGACATGGAACAAAACGCTTGCCCTTGAACGTGGTCAATATATGGGCCTGGAGTCTAAGGTGAAGGGTGATGAGTAAATCAATGCTGGAGTTATCTTGAATGCTGCAGCGGATGAGTTGAGCCAAGTATTGAGGGGACCGTCACTTGAAGCCAAGGTCTTGCACCGCTTTTTGAGAGAATAGCTTTTTGTCATTAAAATGATATTTCCATCTTCGTACCATAAACATTCAATAGCATGACCGCTTACGTTCATTTAATTCAAGAGCTAGGATTGGAAAGATATCGCATGACATTTCGGGAGTCGTACGAGCATTCTATGTTAGCAAACTCATGGATTGAAGTCTGAAATGTTACTATAAATCTAAGGAATTGTCTACAGTAATATGCGGGGCGAAAGCGCGGGGTTGAGTTGATTACCTTATCTTCGTTGGGCTAGACACTACGATTTCAAGATATCTGATTGGGTTACGTAAGTAAAGCTCAACATGTCAAGTAACTGACCAAGCTGGCACACGCTCTATACGCCGCTGCCAATAAGCCGCTTCTTGGTCTCGTAATCACACCTCGCTTTAGTGTTCTAGGCTCTGAGTGTAAACATTTATTGCAAGCAATCCACGGTTCGAAATCTGGGACAACGAAATCACAATGTACCTCCGTGAGATTCATGCCGAGAGGGATATTCCTACATTACATCAATTCATCAAGGAGAATCCTTTAGGTCTCTTGATCACAGGGCTCGATTCAAAGACTGCCCAGTTCCTTCAGTCTAGTCATATTCCGTGGGTCTTGGACACTCCTGATGGCAAGGATGAGATGAATTTTGGCACACTGCGGGGCCATATAGCACGAGCGAACCCGCAGGCCAAGGCATTTACTGAAACAGCAAAGGGGGCTTCTGCAAGCGAGATAAACCCAGACGGTTCTTACACTCTTACACGCGATGTCCTTGTCATCTTCAATGGTCCTGCACATCACTACGTCACGCCGAAATTCTACACTGAGACCAAGCCAGCGACAGGCAAGGTAGTCCCGACGTGGAACTATTCTGCTGTGCAAGCATATGGTCGCGCGACAGTGTTCTACGATCCGAAAGCCGAATCTACGCATAAATTTCTGGACAAGCAAATCCGTGATCTGACGAACCACAACGAAGTTGAAATAATGGGCCACAAAGAAAACTCGTGGGTGGTTGAAGATGCACCTGGTCCTTATATCAAGGTATTGAAAAGCGCAATTCTTGGTGTTCAAATCGAGATCTCAGACATTGGTGGCAAGTGGAAGATGAGTCAAGAAGTCCCGGTGGGTGATCAGGAAGGTGTGGCAAACGGTTTTGCGAATTTGAACACGGAGGTTGGGGCAGAGATGGCAAAGACGGTGAGATTGAGGTGCAAAAAGAAGGAAGCAAATACCTCATAATGTTCCAACAAGAGAAGAAGTTGTGTAAACAGCAATACAGTTGACACTTTGGTATTTAAAACTCTCGTACATTGAAGTGCTAATTGCTTGATAAGTGGAATACTGACCACTGCACCACTGAATAAGATAACCTGAAAATACTGAATATTTTTCTGGTTTGATGTCAGAATACTGAGTGTGGTACATTATATCTTGAGGTCAACAATGCCGGCAGCGCGATATGGCCCATTGCCACTTTTACTCGTTCCAGTTTAGCAAGTGAATGACGCTGCGCTAGTCACGCACCAAGCGTAGTTTGCAATCTGCATACAACGTATTATGGTTTCGTCATTGTCATCTTAGAACGAACATTTTTCCCTTGCCCGCATTTGTACGAAGAAACATCGGTAACTCCTTGTCAAGTATTAGTGAAATCTATAAAGAAATCTCATGCAATCCGTCATATTGCGAGGTTTTTACCAAGAAGTATAAGTTGTACACATGGAAATGAGGCAGCTCACACCAATGGAAGTCCAGGCCGTCCATGTATTAGACTACTGCCTCTTGCATAGGGGAGCAGCTTAGGTATGTAGATAACAAGCAAACTGTGACGATGCCATTTTCAAGAATAGTTTGGAGTGAAACAGAGTGACTCCCCTGCAATATGGAAAAGTGTAAAGGCTGCCAATAGTCACTTACTAGACTTATGGGTTCGAATTATGAGTGCCGACGGCACAAACTATAACACTATCTCCTATGCGTATACAGCGTCTGGGAATTCATCCTCAACATCGTTCCACAGACCTACCTCGAACGTCTCGTCGCCCTTCCGCCGTGTCCCGTATCTCATCATCACACCTTTGCTCTCTAGATATTCCGCGAGTTCCTCGCCCGTACTTGTACTCATTCCTTCCACATCCTCCATGGTCGTTTTCAGCAATCTGGCAACAGAAAGACTGCTGGTATAATCTCGTATGAAAACGTTTCTGCAATAGAAAAGAACAACACTGATAGCCAGTATTTGACCTCCAAATATACACACTAGAACCGTAATTGATTCTTTGAGCTTGACTTTCAATCTGACATCTATGAATAGCTGCTCAGGTGTGCCAGGAGCTTGGGTCACCTTTGGCAGCAGTGCTTCAGCACCCAGAATGGCAAGAAGGGGGAGACGTGCTGCAAGGTGTGCAGGATGCAGTTTCCCTTGGAATGTAATTCCATCTGTTGCGTTGAATGGTAGCTGGTTCCCTTGAACAAACACACCGCTGAGGCCATTTGCAAAGTGTCCGCCGCTGCTCATACCAGAGTAAACTCTGAAACCATACATACTGTTGTCTTCCTCAATACCTCCCCACATATCTTCATCATAACCAACTCGATGGAGAAGACTTGAAACATTGTAAGTGGTACTGTAAGATGATTCAAGTAGCCCAAGACCCGGAATGCTGTTATTGTGGCTAGTACACGTATGGCACTCGAATAGTATTGCGTTACGATAGCCTTCAAATTGAAAGATTACGTCAACCTCAACGAAAAGATCTTAAGCCTCCAATGTTAGAATTTGAGAATTATAGGATAGATGGCGAGCCTTACATGTTGTTGCGCAACCTGAGTCTCCATGTAGTTCGAAGTGATCCACTGGAGCTATCCATATAATATGATCTTGAGCAACTGTATAAACACTCAAAATTTTCTTAAGAATGTTCTCAAATGTCGCCTCGTAGGTAACATCACCTAAATAAATGAGTTGTAGCTAGTGGCACTAGAGCATCAAATAGAGTATTGTGCTTACCATAATCTAAAACCATCTCCTGGTTTTCACGTAGCGACACAGTTCCACCGAAACACCTGGACGAGCTATGAACCACACTAGCATTGGAAGATGTAATTTCTTCATCGCGGTACTGTTTCAGATAGTAAGAGTAAGTCACACTATCTCCCTCAACTGCACGATTCAACCCATGTCCACCTATGTTTTCCATGTTATAGGTGGAGGAATTCCTGAAATTGAAACCGTCATCTGGCATGTTCGAAAGGCCTATTGTTGCGTATCGGTTCATACGTTCTAAAATTGTTACATATCAATTAGGTATGTTCACCTATGTTATCTGCTACTAGTGTTAGACTTACGGAGATTTTGATAAATCAAGTCAAACGCAGCAGAATCAGATATCTCGTAATCCCTCGAGAGCGCAGAGTCATCAAACCAGTCGTCTGTGCCCCAGTTGGCTATCTTGATAGGGTACTCTATCCGTGGCTCCTTGTTCAAATCAAAGGTCAATCCGAACGCAGCGACACTAAGCCGGCCAGTGATGTTGGCGAGTAAATAGATCATCACGATTACTGTGGTAACACACCACCTCTGTTTTTGCACCGTATGTATCCAGATTAGCTTAACAGCTCCGGTTGGATTAGGTATGCCTAGAATCAAATCGGCCTAATCTAAAACGTTAGCACAATAGGAAATCTATAATTGAAGACAACCTGACATCAACTGGTGTATACAGCTTACGTGCTAGCAAAGGCCAGCGAATCATGCTGCCCAATAAGCCTAGAAGCGAACCCGTACTCAGGCTCACCATTGACGAGAGCAAGATGGCCAATGCACTAAACCAGCGTTTCTCCCAACGGCTAAGGACGCCCTTGAGGGAGAAACAGTGGAGAACGGCTATCATAGTAATGCTAAATACAAGAGTAGCCATCAGACGCCAGCAGATTTCGATCCAAAACAACCTTCTGTGACGCATTCGGCGGCTGATGGGTCTGGCGTGAGGGTCGTTCGGAATAGTTGATTTTTTTCGATGAAGGGTTGACACAGTCGTATTGATCAAATTGTATTTACTGAGACGCTCAACCATAATGAAAAATTTGTGAAAGAAGTGTAGATTGAATTGAGATGTCAGGAAGACTTGGCAAGGTGAGAGAACATTGAGGACTATTATATCTGCTGCGCTAGGCTCGAACATGTCAGCTGGGGCTGAGCCTCTACATTAGAGCGTTCTCAGCCTGAGCTAGTTGATATTAGCCAACGGTACACTAGACAGTAGTCTCAACAACAAGACACAGCTGGCTTCGACCATTGAGCACACCGATAGCCTGCGTATTTGCTTGAAAGTTTCATCTAAGATGCATAAGAATCGAGGCTCTGAAGCGTGAACACATGATCCTATGCCATGCGTCCCCAAAACGAGTACACATTAAACGGCAGACTGAATAAATATCCACTATACTACTAAAGATAACTATATCACTAGGATTACTAGGATGTCTTTCGCTTGGTGAAATCAATTGAGACTTATATCGATATATCTGTAGTGAAAAAAGTCTGTGTCAACGCTCCCACACGCTAAGTAGTAGTCGGACCCCGATGAATGCATCCTTCTATCAGACGCAAGCTGAAGTTCCTCGCTGTACAACGAGACGAATAGGAACTCAACCCATACTTGTGCGCCATGACACTGGTTTTGCCAGTGGGACAACCATTACACGCACAACGGGAACAGTATGCATGATGCCAAAATCTATACACTTATCGCAACATTGTGAAAAATATGGAAAGACCCGAAATTCCGCTACGTCATCCCGGACATGCGAATAAATTCGAAAAAGATGGATGTTTAGCTTCGATGAACTGCGGCAGCCAGTACATGGTGAGGGCTGCAGTGCATCGTAAAACAGGTTTGTAAGAAGACTGGCTATCCAACAGAGCCTATTTTCCCACGGAAAGATCGATTGTTACTGAAACAACTCGAATTGTTGATTGAAAATACAACAAAAGTCTAGAACAGCTGGCAATGTTGATCCAAAACTAGCTGGCCGGAAACCCTGCTCTAGCCATCTTCTTCCCCCGCTGCGCCTTCCGGTTATGATTCGCACTCGATCCCTTATTTGCTTCCTTTCTCTGCCGCGAGATTTGCGTCGCTTTTTCATCATTAGGGCCAGCGACACTACCACCGCCTCTCCCGCCACCCGCCCCACCTCGTCCACGGCCTCTTCCTCTGCCCCTACCCCCACCACCTCTTCCTCCGCGACCACCAGATCCGTCGCCACTAGCTTCATCTCCAGACTCGGCGGGACTCTCCCTCCATGCCGTCGACTGTAGTTCTCGCTGCTGACCCTGGAAAGTAGAGAATTTCGCCTCGAGACGTCGTAATTGTTTAGGATTACGTCCCATCATTATTCCCCAGCCCTCGATTGCTTCATCTGTCATTCCTGTTTCGCTCTTGAGCGCAGTTCGTGCTTTGCCTCTTCTTGTGTCTGAATCGCGACCAAATAGCTCGGGTGTCATGGTGTATGCGCGGAACAAAGCCTCTTCATTCTTATCACCGAGATCGGCGTCTTCTCCTGGTCCTAGTGCAGCGGTGTCGACTGATGCACCAACATCTTCAACATCGTAGGTATCGTCTCGCTCGTCATCGTCTGAATCAAAGGCTGCCAGAGCAGCCATAATGGCGGATTTGGCGGGCGCCTTGCTGCTGTCGGAGAGGATCTTATCAGCACTCAGGTCTTGGCCTCGCCGACCAATATGAAGGCGAGATGTATTGACAGCAAGCTTATCGAAATCATCGTCATCGAATACATTACGACGCTCGGGGATGTATTGACTCGATCGTGGAGGTGGAAGTGGCTGTGATGGTGTTGTGGGAGCAGGCCTAAAGTTTGTAAGCACGGCGAGTCCAAAGTGGTCATCATAAGCAAAACTCACAACTTCTCGCTACGGTCCGCCTCGGCAAGATGCGGTGGTAACGACTCCTCTAGTAGGTGCGCGGTGACTTGCTCGATATCGTCATTGTACTCATCCAAACACTTCACAATGAATCCAGCACCAAGGTCTGGAAAGAGGTCTTGTATCTGGGTGATCATACTCATTCGGTGGACATGGATCTCCCCGGTAAGCGCCCCGTGACCATACTCATCATGCGTTGCCTTGGCTTTGCCTTTGTCCACTTTCCGTCGTATCAACTTCTTAGGCCGAGCGATACCCGATTGACGGAACGTACTGAGTGATGCTGCCGTATTCTTTACTCTTGACGCTTCTGGAGCAGTGGCCTTGTCTCTCACCTTCTCCAAAAAGGGTGTGTTTGTGACCAGATCTGCTACTAGGGTTCTCTTTCCTGGCTCTTTCTTCTGCTCTTGTTCTTCGCTGGACTTTAGACTATATAGATGATCGGAAAGAAGCGAGTAGTTTGGCTTTGGGCTTTCCAACGCTGCTGTGAGGCCAAGATATGCTACTGTCGCAAGCTTTTTCTGCATGGGCTGGGGTACTCGTGGATACGCTGCCAAAAGAGCATCTAGAAAGTCGGACCCGGTAAGCATGAAGAGACTCACGTCAGTCGAGGCTCTGAGAAGGGGCGCCACCCTATCAAGAGTGCTCTCAGTCTCCTCTGGCCGCTTCGACTCCAGATTCCTGATCAATGATGTCTTGGCGGTCTGGAGTGACTTTTCAATGGTTGCGCCCTTTCGCTTCCATAAACCCTGTAGAAGTGTGCGAAGTTGCTCGCTCTTCGGGTAGACATGACAGATATCAGAGAGTGCTGACCAGCTGAGGAGAGCACTCGGGACGTCTTCTCTTGAAAGCAGCCTATGTGATAGAAAGAAGGCTTTCTTTCGCAAAGACGCTACGCTTGATAGTAACGTGTCGTCGTGGGCCAGTTCATGGAAGAAAGACGTCAGAAATGGAGTTAGCGTATCCTTCTCTTGAATTGTTGATATGAATTGTTGATCCCCTAGGCGCAGGTATAGCTCAGCCAGTGAAGACCATGAGTCGAGATAAAGTTGCCATTCCTCGGGTAGTATGCTCTTTCTGACTTTTGCGTCGGGGAATGGAGCAAAGTGGGGTAGTGACATTACTCCAGGTAGCCGTATGAAGAAGGAGGTAAACAGGGAATGGAGAGTATAAGCGCGGCGTAACAGTCAAGAGTACAGCCTTTATGCGATTTCAAATTAGGGTGATTATCCTGGTCATGTAGTCATGATGGCTCATGGGTCTGCCTGACGCGCGATCGATGGGGAGCGATACTCGATCGGGCACTAGCGTCCGCAATCTTGGCAATCGCCGCCCACAAAGTGATTTTTGTCGAAGCGTGAGAATTCAACGACTTCGAACGCCGTCGCCAATTTTAACGCCACCCCAGTCATCACATTACCGAGATCAAGGATCCAGGTCGTGACTGGAATCTACACTCAGTACCTACAACAACAAACACTCAAACCTCTGATCCAACAAGATGTCTTACAACAAGCCCGAGAAGGACTTCGGTGAGGGTAAGGAACCGCGCATATGACATTTGCGACGACAACGTTCTCACACATAGCGCAGGTCCCAAGATCCACAAGATCCGAATCACCCTCACCTCCCGCAACGTCAAGTCCCTCGAGAAGGTCTGCCAGGAGCTCATCGACCGTGCCAAGAACAAGGAGCTCCGCGTCAAGGGCCCCGTCCGTCTGCCCACCAAGCACCTCAAGATCACCACCCGCAAGACCCCTTGCGGTGAGGGTTCCAAGACCTGGGACACCTACGAGATGCGCATCCACAAGCGTAAGCGCTACAACCCGACATGTGTGCAGGCGCCAGGCTAACAATTGTACTAGGTCTCATCGACCTCCACGCCCCCACCGAGGTCGTCAAGCAGATCATCATCAACATCGAGGCCGGTGTCGAGGTTGAGGTCACCATTGCTGCTTAAGTGCTTGCTTTGGGCAAAGGATATGGAGGAGTGTCACGGGTCTGAGTAGACAAGTGGCAATGAACAGCTATAGCAGCTGGGAATATGAAAATGAAATGATTCAATACTCCAAACCGTCGCGCAACATGATGTCACCCATTTCCTCTGGTGTTCTTGCTGGCCTCACACGTTGCAGTTGCATGTTGTCATGAGACTCATGATTGTAGGGACTGTTGTAGCCGTTACTGTGGCCGTTACTGCTATACCGTTGCCGTGGCTACTACTACTACTACTACTACTACTACTACTACTATTGTGACTGCCCTGGTGGTGGCAGCGGTATCAGCGCTGTAGCCATGCTCTCATCCATACCTGATGCTGACATCATCTAGAATGGCCATCGTCCTAGATCTCCACGACTTCGATGTGTCATAACAAAATTCTTGTCGCGAAACATTCCACAAATACATCTCAACACTTTGATAAGCAAGAACGAGCTTTTCCTTCTTCTCTGATTAAGCATCAAACAAGGGCCCTAGGGAAGAGAAAGAATTTGAATTTATCCCAATGATATATGATCATGGAATAAAATTGCTTGCTGGAAGGGGGGGAAGGAAACTTCTCTCCATTGCTTCGCATCAACCCCATCACCAAAGCAACCCAAACAACCATCCTCGTTGTTTCTCATCTATAACACCCTACCCTATCCCTTGCAAGATCATCCTACTCATCCACCTAATCAACCACCGCCCTCGGAAGCCTCGCCACAGGCCGGGGATCCACAGCCAAGTCTCCCTTCACTAGGCGTATGCACAAATCTTCTCATCAAAAGCAGCAACAACAACAGCAACACGCTTCCGACTCTGGGAGCAGTTTGTCCACGGCGAAGTATATTCCGACCACCGCATCGCGAAATCCTGCCTCTCTGGGGCCAGCTGGCGGAGATGTTGAGACTGGTGCGTTGCCAGTGGATGTAGATGCAAGGCCACTTTTTACTCTGAGATTGACCCGACTTGTTGGCGTCGAGGGAGACGTCGCAGTTGGAACGGGAGTGGCGTAAAGGCGCATCTGGGCTGGACTGATGGAGTCGGTTGTGTTGCGCTGGAGGCAAGTTGTGTGATTGGGGGGAATGCAGTATCGATATCGTTGTCTGAGCTGCTGCGTCGATACCTTGAGGGAAGCCGAGTTGCGGCATCGCCTTGAACACCCGTCAATGGTACTGAAGTTGGTGCGGCATGACCATACCATGCTGCATGCGAAGTTGGTTCGCCATCGCTCATACCAGACTCTCGGCGACGGGTCGTCGAGGAGCAGGTAATGTGGTCTCGAGGGGAAGGGGAGTATACGGGTGGGTGTGATTGGGTTCTAGAAGATGTGCTGTCGGGGTTTTGCTGAGATAAGGTAGGGTTTGGGGTTTCACCAACTACAGAGTGCGAGTCAATCTGTTGGAGGATGAGAAATCTGACTCTTCGTGCTATGGGAGGCTCTTCTGTGCGGAGCGCGGTTGTGGCTTCAGATAGGGGAGATACAGCAGCGACTTGGACTGCTGGAGAAGAAGGGGGGTATGGATCTATCGGGTATTCTTCTTGGTTGATACTGGAAGATGACTTGGATTCTTTACCGTGTTTTGGGGATGTGGATGTTGCGGGTTCTGATGATCGGGATGGTATGTTGAAAGAGTGGGAAGATCGTTCACCTGATGACGGTTCTCGAGTATAAAGACTCAAATCATTCTGCAAGGAAGTGGTGCCTCCATTGTTCTCCCTCTCTCCTGGATGTCCTGCTTCCATGACATGTTGATGGGGCACAGATTGCTTCTTGTTGAGGAAGCCATCCGGCCGAGTAAACTCAACATTCCTGGATATGTCCATGGACTCAATCAAACTCTTGGTATCGCCTCTTGTCAAAATCCCCACTCCTTGTTTCTTCGGATCGTTCGTAACGCGCGGGGCTACAGGTGAAGCTGGTAGGTCTTCGATGTTCGATGTCTCGGACGTATACGTCTCGTTTCGATCGTCTCTACTTGTCGCGACATCTGTAGGCTCTGATGTGTTTCTTGTTTCTCAAGATGCGACTACGGTTAGTATTGATTGATCTTCCTGCTCTCCAGTTGAACTATGTTCTTCAGGGATAGCATGGGCCTGATGTACACCACTGGAAATGGTAGACCTGGCATCTGACTCAACGTACTCATCGCGATGAAACTGCTCACTGTAGTCGTAGTACCGTACTGGGGCCTTCTTCTTCGAAATCATAGTCTTTGCACGACTCATACCGGTGGGCCCGACAACCTTTGTACTAGCTCTATTTATTGGATGCTCTAGTGGGGGTGACGTATTGAGGGCTCTAAGGCGAATTCAAGTCGAATGACGGAGCATCAAAACCAACGCCCAAGTTCGCTGAGCGGCTAGATACGGGCCTGGATTCTGGTCTGTATGAACCTACTACGTGTGTGTATGAGTTCTGGGATTGCGGGATATAAACGCGGGGCGGACTTGTAAGAGGCGGGTCACTCGAAAAGCCACTGTGAGGCTGCATGCCATGTGCCATCGATTGCGAACGTTGCTGGTCTTGGTGTCGGTCTCTCAGTGTACCTTGCGGCGATGACACTGAATGCATCAGCATGGTTGAAAGTATAGCGTTCGTGCCATACTGCGAACGGTTCGATGCGGTTGGGTATCGCGGTATGGAAGACGACGAGGAATACCTGTGAGACTGCCCACTGTGTATGCCAGAGGTGTTGGAACTTGGTAAAGTTGTCAACATCTTGCTAGACTCACGATGCCGCTGTGTCTGGCGGTGGGTGTTGTCAATGTCAGACAAGCCGTCAATGGGGACGTTGCCCACACTGCCTGTTTCCGTCTCAGTGTGGAGCATCGAAGAAACGGCATGGCAAACAGGAGCTGAGAAGCCAGAGTTGGACACTCGACCCGGGGTTCTGCCTGATGTGCGACTTGCAGCTGGTACGTTGGAGGCTCTCGACGTGCCGCCGCTGCTGTCGCCATTCAGGTCTTGATCGGACTGCATGATACTGCAGCCGATGCAAGATATGCTAATGGAGAAGCAGACAAGGAGACGAGGCGCTATGCAAGCGAAGATGCTGTGCCAGGGTTTCTCTTGTTTGCTTGTTGGTTGTGTTGGTTGACGGACAAGCTATCTGTATTACCAGAAAGTGATGGCGATGATGAGTAGAAGGGAGAGTGTATCCAAAGAAAAGATAGCAGTAGAACTTCCCCTGCGATTTCTAGTTTCCCTATGGAAAGGAGATCGTGTTGAGAATATGAGCGTGATGATGGGCGGGGTGAGGAGGCGGAGACAGCTAGGTGAAGACGGTCTTCTGATAATGAGGTTCATGCCTCTTTCACATCTACCGCGACCAGAACTACTCTCCTTACAACAGCCTAGTACAAAGGAACAGACGCCAAGGGGAGCAATGGAGAAAACAGAAAGAAAGTCAGTAACATTTATGTTTACGAAATTGATTCTACTTACGCCGCGTGTACTGTGCTCTTGAGATGTTTGCTACAACATAACGCTTTCAGACACGTCCACAACCATCAAAAGCATCCTGGGCATCCTTTTCCCGGGAACCTCTGATCAGGCGACGCTTAAGAACCATCTATTACACTGCGCATTACCAGCGCCAACCTTGATTAGCACCAACGACTTCTCTTCGCGAGGCAACACGGCCGGTCCACCCGCCACGAAAGTGTTTGGCGCGACAGCATCTCCCATGCCAACAAGGCGAAACCCACACTGCATAGCTCATGATAGGAACAAAATGTCAAAAAGAGAGAATGCAAAATATATACACTTGTCCAGGTTCCAGTCGACCGCCAAGGACCGCCGACTAGTCAACCGCGACACACACACACGCCCAAAAAAAATGAGAAAGAAGAATAAGCATCTGAAAATGCAAACGAAACAATCAAGTTACGCGGTTTCAAATGGTGGGGTATATAGCCATGCAACGCCATACGAGGTTTCAAGAATTGCACAGAAATATAACGAAGATTGAAGATGAAAAAAAAAACGGAAAGATGGGTGATCTTGATCACTACTCAGCGATAGGACCGATATCGCCCGACTTCTTCTTGCTAAAGAGTCGCTTGAGAGAGGTAAAGCTACTCCGTTTGGACAGGCGCTTGGCAGGGGCCTCTTGGTAGGTCGACATGGAGGTGTGAGGGCGGCTGGGGATATCCCCGGGTTTGGGGAAGGAGTCGGACGAGTCGAGGACAGGGGATTTGTTACTGCCTAGGTTGCTGGAGATGGAACCTTTGGGGGTGTTGAGGTTCCGAGTGGGGAAGAGGCCGAATTGGGCGGTTTGTCGTGATGACATGGACGAGGCTGAGCGGGGGGATCCATATGCTGGCGACATGGCGGATGCGTCGGAGACGGAGGAGTAGGCGGAGTCCTTGGCAGTCAAGGGGGGACTGGAATCTTCGGTATCTGGTTTCGTATCTGTATGTCGTGTTGACGAGGATTTCTCGTCGTCGTGCGTATTGGATTGCGATGGCTTGTCCTGGTTTCCTCGGAGTTGGGGTGTACTGGTGGACTCTGACAGCGGCGTCACTCTTCCGCGGTCCTCGTCGGCAAACCAAGTCCCCTGGTAATATTCGTCTTGATCTTTCTGGCGTTGCACACGTACATCAGCGCTGGAAACGGCTGACAGCGAAGACGAATCCTGGCTTCGCTTCGGGGTCTCGGTGGCAGAGTCGGATGTGTCGATGATTTCGGGGTGGTGTTGAGGTTTGGACTTTACGGCGGTATGTCGTGAAGGCGTCTCCCGACCAGAAGATGTAGCACTGAGAAAAGGAGGACGTTCAGAAGGTGGTGTGGGGAGAGGTTTGTTGTTGGCAAAATTCCGGAAGGAGCGACCCTCACGTGAGTTGGATGAGTTCCGTGATGAGGTACGCGTTGCAATCTAAGCATGTCAGTACGCTGCAACCAAACCAAACCAACCCGAACCTCGGACAGGCCAGGAAGGATACTCAAAGACGGCAGGGCAATCTTACCAAGCTTCGGCGACTGGCAGCACCACAGCGCTTCTCAATCTCATTGCAGTAGCTGCTGACTTGTACCAGCACAACACCTAATCTCTCTGCCTTTGCGACCAAGCTTTGCAAGAACTGCGACCAACCTCCGGTATTTCCGCACATGGCGGAGTATATTCGTCCGATGTCCTCGTTCCGACATGTCCAAGCGTCTCCCACATCGGCCAGGTACACGTCCAGCTCCCGGTTTGCTTCGCGGAATACGTTGATGTCGACGAGATAGTCGTTGAGTAGTTGGGACATGCGCCCGATAGTGCGTTCGATTACAATGTTGCCGTCGAGCAGCTGGGCGCGATAAGAGCGGTCCTCGAGAAGGCGGTCGAATTCGTTTACGTGTTCCATGGGCACCTTGAGACACTTGTGGCGGAACAACATGTCCTTCATGCTGCTTTCGAGGTCGTCGTTGGCGCGCTGGAGGAAGCTGTCGAGCTCGTTGACATGCTTGAGCAGAATGTCGGCCACGTCGGCCACGGATTTTTCGAGATGCTGATGCAAGAGGTGGACACCGAAGACGATCTGGGCAATTGTTTTTGTCAATGCGTGGAACTTTGCCTTTGGGTGCTGGCGCCAGTAGCAGCTGTAGGTAAAGTTCCATGAGGGCTCGAGAGCCGTCTCGTCTCTGCACAGCAACTGCTGCCGAGTCTTGACGCCTCTCTTTGGGGCTACAAAGGGCACATGGCCGGTCTCGCCCGTGGCATCGAGCATAGACTCTTCAAAAGGGGCCTGCATGGAGGCTATGGGGTGGATGGGGAAGGTGGCCGTCATGATGCGTTTGTCGCGCTCGTCTTGCCATGCGTAGGAGTCGTCGTCGTCGTCGAAGCTGGGGCGACTTTTCTGGGAGGGTCGCCGGAAGGGAACCATGGTGATGTAAGGACTAAAGGGCAGATTTGCGGGCCCCCAGGGGCCAAGCGGTGGCTATCAGCTCGGGGCGTGGTGCAACAAAGCCAATTCACGTCCTTGTCTCACGGCCCAAGGCGTCGTCGCAGCGTGTAGAGTACACACGGACGCGCGAGCGAGGAAGGGGAATTGGCGCGGGAGGGTTTGGCTCGACGTCCACAAGGAAGATCCTACTACTAGCAACGACACATGGCTGGGACGGGCATTGTGGGGGGAGGGAGGGGAAGCTGGACGGCACAAGCGATGGAAATGCTCAGACGTGTATCGGAGATGGCGGAAAGTAGACTGGACGGCGAACATGGTCCCAAACGTCCAGGGCGGCGTTGGTTCGCCAGCGCTCAGGTCACCGGCCACAGGGGAGCGCCTTGGGGGGCGCCAGGAGCGTCTGCAGGTGGAGCGCACGCTTTGTCCCCAACGAGTTTGGTTGCATCCCTTAGTGCCCGTGACGGCTGACGAGCCAAAAGCAGGGTGGGGAAACCCGTCTCGCCACCACACGAGACGGTTAGTCGTGGTGGTGTACGGTATACTGCGCTCTGCTGTGCGGTGTGTAGTACACTGTGTGGGTGGAGTACTCGTAGGGTATCGCATCCACGCCTGCGCCATGCCGTGTACACGAGACAACACCCACCCACGTGCCCTCGCTCTCTTCAGCTGTCCTACAACTACCCATGCACATCCATACAGCCATCCAGACTCTCTCTGCGCCCGACACCAGCTTGTTTTTTTGCCTTCGTCTCACCCCTCACCTGCAAGACGTACGCTAGAAGATGCAATGCAGCCGCCAGCACCAGACCAGGGACACGAATAAGCAACGGCCTGGATCTCCACACTGCCGTCCGCCCTGAACAGCCCATACATATCCCGTCCAGTCGCGCTCTCTCTCTCTCTCATGGAAAAAGCGCGCCGAGGACCTGCCGACCGCTGATCGCAGGCCCTCCACCACGGATAACCTCACGAGCTGAAACACCCCAGCCCACATACGCCCTCAACGTCATCAGGCCCAGGTCCGCAAGAGAGAAGGGCCCGTGGCGCGCCCTAGGCCTGCCGGCTCCTGAAAGCCTTCTTTTTGCAAACGCACCACAAACCGAACGAAAAAAGAAGACATTCGTGACTTTGCCCGTAATGTGACTTTGTGCAGTGACCAGCCCACCAACCAACCACCAAGTCAACCAAACCAACCAAGGAAACAAACAAAAAATACCCCCCGTCCCTCCCGTGATCCGCGCAAGCGAACACACTCAGACCCTCAAACCTTTGCGCCGCCCAAAAAACCTCTACTGAACCACCCTTTCTTGCCTTGCCAACACATCCTCGCTTCGTTTTTCCGTTGCCCTTTTTTACCTAACTTGCCTCTCCCCTCCTCACCTCGTTTCCCACCATGCCACGTGCCAGTCTCGCATCAAACTTCCCTGCAACCTACTTAGTCCCCACCCCAACCCCCCATGTCCATGCAACAATGGCCGCCGCTTTAAAATCGTTTGCAAGGTGCAGCAGCCGACCTTGTTGTCTTCGTTTACCAATACACCGGACCCGTATCTCTCTTCCTGTCAAAGCAAACCACGAAAAAAAACGAAAAAAAGCTTATGGGAGGTGCAAGTAAGTATGTTTCAGAACTATCGGGAAGGGGGGGGGAGTGGGTGGGTGGGATATGCTAACCTGTCAACCCACCGTCCGGGCCGCGGGACGATGACCTGAGAGTGGAGGGGGGTACAGAGCTAGGCTTGGTGTAACGGGCGAAGGCGTTTTTTTTTCGGAGTAAGTAGGGCGGCCTTCCTGAGTAGTAGTGGGCCTTGAACACGTTTCAAGAGTTCAACATCGAAAAGTCAAACGTTTTGGCATGCATTGCAGATTTTTTGGTTCGTCGGGTACGAAATCTCTTCTTCTTCTTCTTCTCTGGAGGTGAACTTTTTAGGTCAGAAAGGGATTCCCGGCTAACAAAATGTGGAAACGAGTGGTTCTGTTATTTACCGCGCGCGAGAAGTCGCGGGATGAGATTCATTTCGAGGGAGAGGATAGAGTTAGATTTGCGCATGGGAATGGGGATGCGAGGGTAACGAAAACAAAACCTTGGGGGGAGGGTTATCATACACGGTGTACATGGGGTAAAGGGCCTAACCTACCTGCCTTGCTAGGTACATACGTAGGACATCTCCTCTACTATTAGTTTTGTACGAGTAATAGAGAACCAAGATGGGCAGCTTTGCCGCTGGCCACAAGCATGGGTTCTCTTCAGTCTGCCTTGAGGGTCAGCGCAACCCCACCCGTTTACAAAGCAACATGCACTCTGCTGACTGAGGCGTTATGAACTGTTTAATCCTCGGAATGATTTGGGCGAGGGAGGGTTGTACACAGTAAGATGACGGCGCTTTTTTGTCACATGCTCTGCACGTGAGATGAAGAAAGGAAGGGAGGAGACCCTTGATATACTATCCGGCCAGCCGCTGTCTGTGCCCCGTCGGTTCTATGGTCCAAAGGACATGACTTATGAACCACACGCCGGCAACGATAAAAAAACATGCAGGGATTACACGGGAAGGGGGGGGGAAAAGCCCCAAGCGCAAAACAAAAAAACGGTTGCGCATGAGCGGCATGCGCATGCGGCATATATTAAAATAAAAATGTCCCGGTGTAGTTTAAGTAAATATTGGTTTACTACAATCTTCTTTTCTTTTGCTCTTTTTTTCTGTAGTTTTGTTAAATCGCAAGTTTCTACGTTACATACAGACACATGTGCAATTACTTTACTTTACCATCCTCGCCATCGCACCCAAACATCTACCACCGTCTCACCATGCCCCTCAGAATCAATGACAAGATACCATCCAAACCCTGCACCGGCGACGCAAGCGTGGTTCGGCCAAACCATGACCTTGTCCCCAATCACCAAGTCATTACACGCGTCCCTGTCGCCTTCCCAAGTCAGCACGCCGTGCTCTTGGCTGATGCGCCCGACTGTCCAGCCCGTCCGGCCTGCCTGCTCGTCATAAATGTGCTTCGCGGATGAGTTGCCCAGGTCAGGCGTTACGATCCCCCAGCCAGCGTACGACTTGCAGGGCTCGCGGCCCATGGCGAGGGAACCGGCTGAGACGAGTGCCTCGGGTTTGGCGCGCTCGTTGTAAACGCTTGTTACCTCTAGCAGCATGCGGATGCCGATGTTGGACTTGGAGAGCGGTTGGAATGCTGGCGTTGGCTCGGCAGACGAAAACGTGGGTGGCCGCGCGTGTGTAGCGACTTGTTGGCAGTCGAGCAACGGATACACGCCTGCGTGCAGTTCGACCAGGTGCTGGGCCTGCAGCCGGGAAAGCACCGTCTGAAACTCGCGAACCCGTGGGGAAGTGCGGGAAAGCATGTTCTGTGCTGCTGTGGCAGTCGGCGTCGCACCAACACTCAGCACCAGTTTTCCAGCGAAACTCGCCGGCACGGCCTTAGTCGCTGCCTCGAGCCCGATTAACTCTTCGATCAACCCGTTGGCCGCATCGTCTTCAGAGGATCCAGCGTAACTGTGGCCGAAGTGACTGTAGAAACCTTGTAAGAAGCACTTGGATCCTGTTTCTTGCGTCTTTGAAATGATTGTTGAGACGAGGGTTGGGAAGGATGGAGATGACGTCTTGATGCCTGCGCGCTCGTAGCCTGTGTCGATTTTGATAAAGATGCCCAACTCGACTTGACTTTCTGACGCAGCGAGACGCTGGAAAAGCTTGAGGAATGCATCCTGGTTATCGATGATGAGGCTAACAGATCGCGGTTTGAGTTTCTCGGCCAGAGCTATCAGGCGTGGTATCCCTGATTGCGGAACCGGTACGCCATAGAGGATCTACACGTGTGACGTCAGTGAAATGATTCCTTTCCCCTGTGATCTAACAATGATGAGTGTAGAGTAAACGCTGGGTCCTGAGACAAGCCCATCATTCCATATCCCAAGACAGCTTTTATGCTGTGCACAACACCCCATAAAAAACAAAAAATAGAATATAGCAAAGAAAGGAACAAACATACACTAGCATCCCTCCCCTTGCCCTGCTCCTCCAACACTACCTCTGCCAAATGCTCCGCCTCGATAATCGTACTGACAATGAAATTCGCAGCGCCTTGCTCTCCAACCTGCAGCTTAGATAGCTCCGCTGTCTTATGACTCTTGACGTGCGCGCGAAACCCCACACCTAGCTCTTTACACACATTGAGCATGGCATTGCAGTTGCGCTTGATGAGTGCCCGGTCCAGTACTACGGCTGGTGTGGGCAATTCGTTCAGCGTTTTGCCAACGAACTGGGCGGCGAGCGACGAGGAAGACGGGAGGGGGTAGTTTTGGAGAGTGGACGGGCCGGACATGGTGGGTTAGGACGAGCAATCCTGTTTAGAAGATTCTGTTTTCTTTTCTTTTCCTTTCGTGCCTTCGGATGTAGACCGGGATGGAGTGGGATGGGTAGACGTCAGTAGCAGGTTTGTTTTTGAAGGTATGCGGGTTGGACCGCCGAGTGCTGGGTTTCTGGGAAGCGAGACTGCGGAACTAGGTGGCTCTACGATATATATATATAATTTTGGCGTTCTGCTCTCTTGTTCTACTTTTGCAGGATTCTTGACGTGGGGGCCTTACATTGGAGCTCTCCGTCGGACAAATAAAGTGCGGTCGGTACCTTCGCGGCCGGGCGAACTTGTGAGAAGGATTTCCAAGGCCGCGGATCTTGGGTGAGGAAATTGGGGGAGAGAACAATCAACGAAGAGTTAGGCGATTCGAATTAGTCACGTTTAGATGAGGCAATTGCGGTTCTGATATGCTGGGGTTGGTCGTGATGGTTTGATGAGTCTTGGATGGTGCTGAGATCTCATGTCTGCGTTAGTGCGGGGACGCCCACTATCTACTGGATCGGGTACGAGGAAGCAAGAGGGAACAGGAAACGCGTTTATGAAAACTAAGCCCAGCTCGAGGCTGATGCAACAAGAGAACGCTAACCCAATGACCTTAGAATACATGAACGAATCACGCCAGAACTCCTGAATAGCACTCGAATCACAATCTTGCCCCACTCTCATAAGCTTATATATGTTCATACTTGTTAACCCGAAACTTGTCCCTATGCGTTAGGTCCAGGCCATACACTACTCAGCCTTCTCCTTCTTCCCGTCATTGCACTGCCGGGACTGACGCTCCTTGTGCCGACCGCATTTGTCGGTGCAAAACTATTCTCAAGAATGGCATCTTCGAGATCATCCTCCTCTTCAATCCGCGTCACCACGTCTTGGGGAGGCTCCTCCTCAAACACGGCCTGCAAATCAGCGTGGGGACTGAATTGTTTCCAGCTCTGCCAGAATCCAAATGTGGTGCGTTTCGAGGGCCCGGGACCATTGACGTTGAGTTGGCGGATAGGTTTCCACAGCGACCGGCGCTCATAGTAAGTGATAAAAAGAAGAATAGGGAAGTTCAAGGTTCGGACTGCTGTTATATTAATCTTATGGAACCAGCGTGGTGAGAGGACGAACTTCAGCGGAAGAAGTATTACAAAGGCGAGAAGGTTAAAGGGCGGGCGATAAGCGAAAAGGGAGTCGGACTTGACACCTTCAAAGGTCAAGACAGCGCGGCGAAACTGAATCTCTGCCGTCGCATCGGCTGCGATCTTGGAGAAGGTGTTTGACAAGATTGACACCAAAACGGTCAGGAATAGGGTGTTACCAAGAAATGCGTAGACGACCATGAGTGCAGGGCCGAGAATCTCATGAAAGCCAGGCGCTTCGTCGATTCCCGTACCGTCAAGACCGAACCAGATCCACAACATCCACTTGGAAATGGTAATCGAGTTTGGTGATTCTTCATAACCAACTTCGGGGTTGCTGATGCTCAGCCATTTGAGCGCCAAGAGGAAACCACCAAAACACCAGACAGCGATCAGACTCAATGCCGTGAATTCTTTGACCATGGCTCGTAGGGCGATAAAAAGCATATTGTCTGGCATCAGATTGAACGCGATACGCGGAAAAAGAATAGGCGCGGCTACGGCAAGGACATCGAGGGCTTGTCGTCCAGTCTCGTCTTGTCCTGTTATCCAGCCGTGGAACCGCATCCAAATGTAGATAATGAATATGGCAGAGAACGTGACATCTAGAAAAGCCCACAGTTCCTGGGTATGCACTTCCCATCCATGTTCGAGACATGATGTCAGCTCGTCTAGCACCCAGCCCGCAGCATAAACCATGAAGATCAACTCAGGCCAGGTAAGGAAATGATCCTTCCTCACTGACATGCACCAGCAGTACAAGACCAACAGTATGAGAAACTGAACCACTTCGATCATGTTGCGCGTCCTTGGAACCATGAGCCGATACTGGTTGAGTACGGGTGCCTTTCTTGGGTCGTAAAGTGAGATGGGCTTGTACTTGTAGTGGTCTGGAATAATGTCCATAAATGTAGTCGGTGTATACACGATGCGCCCTCGATAGATCGCGTCAATGACTTTCTGGCTTGCAGAACCGGAGAGTAGCACTTTGCTCTCAGACACAATGGCGACTTCCAAAGCAGTGAGCTTGCCCTCATTTTCGCCTTGACCTTGGTAATCGGAGACGTGTCGTGGTGGACACCGCTCCTCAGGGGCTCCTTGGAAGGGTTGGAATGGCGCCACTAAGATCTGCGCCAGCAGCAACAGGCCGGCTTTTCCCGTAGACTCTTCATCGTGTCGCCGCAAGATTTTCATCGCGACCAATTCGCAGAGATTGGCGCGTGTAAGATCGACAGTTTGATGATGCTGCTGAAACTGTTGATCTCGCAAGAATTGCATGCGATTTACGAGCAAACAGTAGACAATAGATATGTCGTCCTCGTCATAAAGACGGTCGACAAGTGGTTTGACAATGAGGACATTCATACGTGGTTCTCGTAGTTGGTCCACCGTGTAAGGGTCCTCAATTACGGCCAACATGAGTCTTCGTATTCTATTCCACTATCAGCAGTGAACTCCGGCTTCTCATACACCTCTTCAACTCACCGATGAATATTGAAGTACGTTTGATAACTCTTGATGGAGCTTGCACCGGGCGTTGGTGCAGTCGTTGGCTGGCCTTGGCCATTGAAACACCCATCGCTCCCGGCATAGTCTTCTTCAGGCAACAAAGTCTCCTGCTCTTGTCTGCTTTTTGCAAATCTCAACGCATCGCTCAGTGTGCGCTGGGTCTCCTGATGAGGTCGCTTCAGGTACTTTCTGAATTCGATGTGCCGTGACGGTTGGCGCTTTGGAGATGGTCTAGATGTTGGTGAGAGCTCCTCGTCTCCATTGCTGGACATAACGACAGTACTCTCGTTGCTGTCATCACTGCTGGTTGTAGCGTCGGGATGGATTGATGCTCGTGGAAAAGTGCCGTATGCAGGACTACCGTCTTTATTCCAATCGGGGCTGGAAGTTGGGCCTGACATGGACGGCTGCTGTCAGCCTCCGGTAATAGGATGGAGACGTCTGTAGATGGCACGTAATTGAGCGGGTCGCGTCCAAAAATGATTGGACTTGCGTGTGACGAAGGTGGCTAAACCTGATTGGTCTCAAAATAGAGGATGCAGCAGCATACGAAGGGGGTGGGGCAAGTATTGTGGTTTGTCAGACCCGTAACGCCCCAAGAACAGTGCACTTGGGAAAGATGTAGAACCCGGTCAACGACAATGCCTTTGTAGTCTCGGTGACGATTGAAGGTAATAGGCGGGTTGCTGGCAAGGTAGTAAAAGAAAATCCGGGCTCACCGCAGCCCTTTGAAATCGTGAGGCAATGTTTGAAGCTAAATCCCACGCCGGCTAACCATATCGGGAGTAGACCCGCCTCGTGATGCGCGACTTTCTTTCCAGAACCATCGTCTTCTTGATAAGTAGTAGTTGTGTATCATTATAATTGGTACATTACCTCAGGCATGTGCCACGAGGGCCCTCTCTTTCGTGCGTCGAAGTAAATGTGGATAATGGTAGCCACGTGAAGGCGGCGATTTTCGACACGTAGCGTTTCACCATGGATCTACCAAGCATCTAGGGTACAGCTTTGATAAATGGCAAAAAGGGTGCATTTGTGTACATATTATGCCTTGGCTATGAGAAAGCTGGGGCGCGAGCATGATTGGACTGCTTCTTGTTTACACAAATCGGATTGCTAGTAGAAAGGACTGGATTTGATGAACAACTCTATAACCAACAAACGCAGTGGGTCGTCTTAAACGACAAAGCCTGAGACCACCTTTCAAGACAAGGAAAGGAACTCAAAAATATACTTAGGTGAAAAGTAGAGTGTGAGTTAACAATTTTCGGCGCTTCCATGATTACGGTTTGCGAAAAGTGTCTATCAGAGAGGAGAAACCCTAAGCTCATTGAGACAGTACAGTGAAAGTTTGGTCACTCTCTTTAGGCAGCATTATTCACTAATAGCACCATCTTAGCCTTGACTCTGCGCGACTGTTTGCACATCTGATACCTAACCCTAATGCCGTTAGCCCTTTTCACCTTGTCTGATTCACTTTGCTATTGTTTGACTGGAAATATCTCATCTGCGCGCAGAGCGTGAGCAGATTTGTGTGAAACCCGGCGCTGCCGTATCTAGCCCTGCCTTTCCGACATGTTCATTCAAGAACAGAATGACGTATCTGTCAAAAGAGTAGCATTATGACTGTTTCTGCCTAGACAGGCGTTCACTCATGAAGAAAAAATGCCTTAGGTAAATGGCCGTCTCCCAACAGACACTCCACTTTTCTGCCTCTCTAGTCTGGAAAGCCTTTTCCTCACTTTAGTTGCACAACAAACACGTAGGAGAAGCTTACAAACATGGAGCCAGAGAGATTCCAGGATTACTATGCTACCCTAGGACTGCAGCTCGGTGCCTCACCCGAGGCGATCAAGTCTGCATTTCGTGCCTTGACTATTGAGCATCATCTCGACAGTTCTGGAATCGGTGATTCGGTCGTCTTTCGTGCTGCGCGTGAGGCCTACGACAGGCTGGCGAACGATGAGTTCCGCAAGGAGTACGATAGGACCTACTGGCACAAGAAGCTCCAGATTGACCCACCCGCTCCTAGCGCAGATGAGCAACCTTTCGGTAATACTCGCACTTATCAGTATGAAGCCGAGATGCGAGAGAGAGCTCGTAGGGCCAGTCCTCCACCGAAGAAGCCTTTCCAGAAGCCCGGTGATCCCGGATGGAAGTGCCTGAATAGCGCCGCATACCAGAAATGGCAGAAGCTGTCTGCAGAGTACTATGCCAGACATCCCGAGTGCGATCCTCCGTGAGTCGACTGTACACGAAGTGACTTTGTTGAGCGCTCTTACTAAATTCTCTTCCAGTATCGATGAGAGTAGGCCTCCAAGCCCTGGTCAAGGCGGACTGCAACATGGTCTGTTTGTCAAAATGTCTCATGAGTGTGTGCTTCGTCCTTGCAAATATCGAAGTGCGACCTGGAGAGTGCAGCCCGGTGGTGCTGATCACTGCGTGTTCTGCATGGAAGCCCGCGTCGGCTGTAGCAGGTGCCCTGGATGCGAGGCTTTGGCATGCCAAAAGTGTCTGAAGAAGATTGCTGAGATAGAGCAGAACTCATGCATTCTGGGCAACAAGGTTCCGTACACTGCATCTGGAGGTTAGAGAGGCGGCGCGCCTGCGCAAGAACGGAGATTGTCTGGGATGCGGCATCTCCGATGGACACTTGGGAGAAGTGTATGGGCAACCTGTGTGGATAGTTTTGTGATTCGAAAGATCTATGCACCTTCCTTGATGCGATTCTACCAGATACCCGGACGGGTAGTACTGTGTGCTGCCCGGACTAGGACATGCACATGCAGTGATTACTTAATTATGGGCAGTGTCCAAGCAAATGTTACTAAATGCACTATCCAATCAGATCTTTTGAGTTAACCGGGGGTTGAGTCGGGTTCGCTGTTGGTTTTGAGTGCTTATGTGATTCGGATACACTGACGCAGAAGCCACTAATCTTAATGACGACTGACAGCCTAGCCTACCGGCAGCCGACGCCTTGTCGTTCCGAACGAACTCTGTCTTACCTCGGTGTCAATGTCAGGACTAGGGATTGTGTGAAATCTGACAGCTCGATAAGTTGGGAGAAAAGGAAAGGACAGCAGAACTCAACATGGTAAGCAAGACAGGAATGATATTCTCGGCAATGACGAAAGCTTTCGCGTGCTTACTATGACGAGGCTGTGGCAAGCCCTAAAAATTTCTGGAAGAGACGACACCGATTCTGGAAGTCAATATTTTCAAAGGTAAATGGTGTTGATTTGTGTGATGTAGGAGGATGTGGCATAACAGATGCCACTAGTGCAGTTGTTACGTCATAGCTTGGCGTGCCTGGTGTGGATTTGTTTACCGTGGAAGGAATGATTTCTCAACACCATGACTGCAGTAGACGACCAGAAAACATACCGTCTCGCCATGCCAGCCACCGCTGCGACGTGACCTCCAATCTATGTTCATGCTGCACTCCGAATCAGCGATGCGAAACCACGACAGCGAAACAAGATACGGATGACATGTGAACTACGCAGACACAGATGGGTATCTTGACATGGCTATGTCTGGAAATACAGCAAAGAGCATCGATTCTTTACATAGGTTTCTGGCCTCACCAAAATGTCGACTACTCGCACGGCACTACTGGTCACTCGCATGTTGTTGACTTCTCGCTTCGTCGACCCGACCAGCCCGTCGTTCAGTGTAGCCGGACTCGTCGCTTGATCTGAGCCGCCCTCTGCATCGACCGAGCATGGAAATAGCTTGTATTCACTGCCTCAGGCTCTGCTCAGGCAGACCATGGCAGCCGGCCCAGCATTCGCACAAAGGCCTACTACTATACAGAGACAAAAGCTGTCAATGCCTGAGGCTCCCAGATTCGAAACAGGCACCACGCCGGCGGGGCGTTGCAAGGGGCCGCCGCACCCCGCGTACAGAGAAGGCGCGCACGGCCCCGGAGCCACTCGCCTTCCGAAGCGTAGCGTCTGCCCCACACTTTGGAAACGTGCAGGCGCGCCGCCCACTTTTTGACGCGCAATCCGGCCAAGCTTACTGTCAGCCCGCATGTCGACTTGAAGCACACCAGTCCGCCCAGCTCCATTTATGGCACAGTCCATCTTGGCTGATCTCAATCAGGGCTTATCCTGGTGCACCAGACGGCTTGTGAGGCGGCACTTAACATCAGACTCGCATCCCGTGTCAAGTGTATTGCTCCCTCAGCACCTCCGAGCCATCGAGGCTAACCCTTTCCGCCCACAGCCTGCCAACAAGCAATTAGCGCCATTTGACCTCATCCACTCGTCTTCTGTCCTGCTTCCCTTCTGTGTTTGCTGGCCATTCACTGTACATACCTAGGTTATCGTCTTACCCATTTACTTTCGCTCTTTTCAACACACTGCAAGTCCACATTCAACATGGACCTCTACCGAGCTACCTTTGCGGGCTCCGTACTACTGAATCTCTTTGCATTCTACCAAACCCACCGCTCCCGCAAAGCAAACACCGAGGCGGCCGTCTCGGACAAGAAAGATGGACTGGAATCCCACGAGCCCGATATGGACGGCTTGAGCAAGCTGAAGAAACGCTTCTTCCCAATCTATCTGCTCGTTAACGCCGCAGATTGGCTTCAGGGACCCTATATCTATCCCATCTACAAAGGTACATGCACGTGAATGAATACCTCCTATCCCCTGCGTACTCACACGTCTTTACAGATGAGAAAGGACTCCCCGAAGAAACAGTCGCCTTCCTCTTCCTCACAGGCTTTATCTCTGCCGGCATCTCCGCATCCTTTGTAGGCGGACTTGCAGACCGTTATGGCCGAAAGACGGCCTGCCTTGGATACTGCGCCATCTACTCCCTCTCTTGTGCTACGCTCCTTACCAACAACATCTACATTCTGTTCTTCGGTCGTATACTCGGCGGCCTTTGCGGAACGATCCTCTGGAGCGTCTTCGAGAGCTGGCTCGTCGCTGAGTTCAACCAACTTATGCTGCAAGATGGTGAGCCTCACTTGAGTGCCATCTTCAGCACCATGACCACTTCAAACACTCTGGTTGCCATTGCCTCTGGCATCTTTGCTGAATGGGTTGTCACCAAAACAGGCACGGCCAAGACCCCCTTCATGGCTTCCATTGCATGCTTGACCCTGTCCTTCCTGGCCATCTCGTCATACTGGGGCGAGAACTATGGATCCAGCAGCCGAAGGGCGTCTGAGACCGAAGGTCTTCTTCAGCAAGAAGAGGCGGCGCCGGCGCCTTCCTCAACCTCTGCTCTGCGAACAATTCTTCGTGATCGCAACATTATGATTCTCGCTTTGGTATCGGGTTTCTTTGAAGGATCACTTTTCTTATTCATCTTTTTCAAATTTCCTGCATTGAAGCTCAGCCACCAACTCTCCGGCTCGACCGATGGTAAGCAACACTCCAATGCCTCTATCTCTGAATGTGCGTCTGACATGAAGCAGAACTGCCATTCGGCCTCATTTTCGCTATCCTTATGTGCTCCATGATGCTCGGCTCTCTCCTCCACAAACATGTCTCCACATCCGCGAACCCCGTACCAGCGCAGAAGATGCTCATTGGCATCCTCGCCGTTTCTTCCGCCTGTTTCTTCATCCCTGGGCACTTCCGCGACGAACGCCTTACACTGTGGTGCTTCTGCATCTTTGAGCTCTGCTGCGGAATATACTATCCCGCTATGGGCTCGCTCAAGAGCAAGCTCATTGAAGATGGCTCACGAGCTAGCATCTATGGTATTCTTCGCATTCCGCTCAACGTCTTTGTCGTGCTAGCGCTCAGCACCACAAAGGAGGGTAAGCATTGTCCTCACAGTCATCCAAGTTAAGCATAAAAGCTAACACATGCATATAGGCGAGGCACATCGCGACACAGTATTTACGACATGCAGTGTACTGCTTATTGTAGCTGCCGTCTTTGTTCACAAGACGTTGGCCTGATTTCTTTGTTATGCTCGTGAAACTCTAGACACCAGATGGGCACGATGCGCTCATAGGGGATGGCGCACAAACTCTCAGTCTTTAGAACTTTGGTAATATGTCAGCTCTGCAGTATAGCGCCGAGGCTATGCAAACACTATTTTGTTGTTATTACCAAGTATGGTTGCTTTCTGTAAATAGCACGCGACATGCACATCGCCATCCACAATACCCACTTGTTTTGTTTTTCTGTTGTCATCGCAATCGGTTGAGTACGTATGCACAGGTAGATAGCCCGGTAGATCATATGACATCATTGTCAGCTCTCACATCGCATACCCTACACGACTTGGAACCAGACTTGTATGCGCAGCCTTGAGGTCTGTGCGATAGGGCCTCTTCGTGGCCCCCCAGTATAAAAGCATGTTCAGGGAGGCGGACTGCCCAGCTAAGGGTGAAACGACGCTGGTGGCGGCTGATGGCCAAGAGACCCACCCTTGGTACACGACCTGCCCTACCACCATCGCAATCGCAAAACGTCTCCCGCGCCTAGTCGAGCCGCGGTCACATTAGTTTACGCGCGAAGCCAACGTCGGTGCCCCAGGATCCAATGGTGCAGGTGTAGCCGCATGTAGCTGTTACTCCGCAGCCAGCTCGTATGTCATGGTCAGTCATAGTAGTCAGCAGGGGCGCCTAATGCTGTCGTCTCGCTCGATCAGCACAAGTGGCCATGATACGACTAAAACTGGGGGGTAAAGGATAGGCTGACCAAGTGTCTTTTGATATGAAGGTCAGTGCTTGGCGAGTCCAATGTACGCGTAACACTCGTTACCAGCTTGGGTCCCGCTGTTGAGTGTTTCGGCAGCAATGCTTGGCACGTGTCCCATACACGGCGATCCATGTCAGGGAATCCAGACAGATTGAGAGAGGGCCCTGTTTGACCATGATAACATCTGCATGCGAGCCGGGCTCTCGGGCCATTTGGTTCTAACCTTCCCTTTTTTTGCCCTTCATCATCTCTCTCTGTGTCTTTTTTCTTTTCCTTTTCACCTACATTCACACACACACACACACTCACCCTTCTCCGCTCCTTCCCCTCACTGCCCACGTACGCTTGACGCGAATAGAACCTCCACTGATTCAACTCGGAGGTTCATGTACATGTCACGATTGTTCTTTGTCTCTCTCATCTAGATATCTGGACATCGTTCTTTTTTTATATACAACCGCCACAATGTTAAGGTCTTTCGGAGGTATGTTACATGTTACTTTGCGATGCTTCTTCCCAAGTCTCCCCCCATCTCTAACATGAACCATCAGCACGTATATTCGCGGGCATATTCGTCGTCGTCTTCCTCATAGTTATTTTCCACAACGAGGAATCCGCTGGCACGGCTCTCCTTCCTTACCTGCCTGTCCTGCCATCAACAGGCTCATCGCAATCCTCCTCACTCCTCCGAGCATGGATAAAAGATCGATCTGCTCTCTCTGAGAAATCGTGGAAAGCAAGTCTCGACCAGCGAGAACAAATGGCAAAATCCCATCCGGATAACCCAAAGATACCCTTTTTCCCCATGGACTTTTTGAAATACCCATTCACCATCTGGGACTTTTTTCCCCCGACCTGGACCTGTCCCCATGACATCCAGCGCGTAGGCCGCATGGGCGACGGCGGAAAATGGGTCTGCGGCATGAGCGTCTACGAAGGGCTTCCCGCAGTCAAGGCCTCCGCATCGGAGGAGTCGGCCCTCTCCAACGCGCAGGACGGCCTCGTAATGTACAGTTTCGGCATCAACGGCGAATCCTCGTTTGAAGCAGAAATGCTCGAGCGCGTGCCCAGCGCCCGCATCTGGGGCTACGACTTCTCCGTCGACGCCTGGGGCCCGCAGATTGCACCGAAACACCGCCACCGCACTTTTTTCAAAAAGGTCGGGCTCGGAAAGGAAGACGCGCATGACGCCAGTCCGCCATTCTGGACTCTCCCCTCCCTCATGAAGCACAACAACCACACCTACATTGACATTTTGAAAATCGATGTCGAGGGTAGTGAGTACGATGCGCTAGATACCATGATGGACGCTTTCGACAATGTGCAATCCGCATCGGGAAAGTCGGTGCTGCCAATCGGCCAGGTCATGATTGAGTTGCACTTGGGCGACGGCATCTCGATCGACAACCAAGTCGGCGGCGGCAGCGTCGATTTCGCCCGCTTCCGCAGCTGGTGGGAGCGTCTGGAGCGCATGGGCATGCGCCCCGTGTGGATGGAGATCAATCTTTTTGCCGTTACCCTCGGCAAGACAAAGTCGAATCCTCGGTGTACAGAGTATGTCTGGGTCAATGCCCGCGATCAGAGGAACGTACTTTGGAATGTATAGAATTTTTATCGTTTTTTCTACTCCCGCCTTCATCCTTCTCCTCTGTTGGAGGGCTTTTTTTCATGGAGTATTAGACGCTGGACAAGCAAATTGGGGCGTTTTTTTTTCCTGTCATTCGATTGTTATGTGTGGCATATGGGTTATGTGTTGCTATAAGTAGACGGATATTCACACATGTTCGTAATAGAACATTTGTTTCCTTCACTCCGCCTCTCTTTCTCTTTGGGCCGTGAATCATGATGGTTCCCTTTATGCGCTATCAGCCCACCGCTGTCACATTTTCACCTGTACATACGTATAAATATTTATCAGCCCAGCCATGTCACAAGCAAAACAAAACACCTCCAATTATTCAATCCTCAATCCCAATCCCACACATTCCTAGATCCCCATCTCTCTCTCCCCTCCTTCCTCCCCCCCCCCCGAAACCCCTGCGAAACACACCCGGTCGCCAACCCGCTTTCGGCCCGATCCCCCCCACTTTTGCTTCCTCCCTCCTCCTCGTCCATCCAACCAATGCCTTCCAGCAGCCAGGTAGAAAATGTAGTATTGCCGGCCGTCTATGCACATGTCGACCTTTGTCGATCCCATCTCCCGAATAAACGCCTGTACAGTATTTCCCATCTGCCGTTCCCGTCCACCCATGTAGCTATCACGTTATGTAGGCGTGCCGTGCACACATACACTCTATCTGACGTTGCAGGCACGGGATGGAGATTACGAAAAGGCTTCATAATTACAATCATATCTAACAGACATTGCTGGGGGGAGAAGTTCAGGCAAGCATGTGGAATTGGGAAGGAAAGGGGTGGAGAGAGAGGAAGGAAGGAAGGAAGCGGGAGGATGGGCATGGGGGGCAGGGTAGGGGCTAGGTTGGTTGGTTAGTTGGGTGTTTTTGTTTTTATTTATTCTCCGTGAACAACCGCCCTGTGGGCGCGCGCTTTACTGCCTTTGGGGGCACTGGGTGTGTGGAGGCGAGATGGAGAGGGTGCGGGGTTTGGGGGTTGTGGGTAATAGTTGTGTGCAAGGTATTCGTGGATTGCCCTTCGGGGAGGAATGAATTTATTAGCAGTGTGTACTTTATTTTTTGCGTTAGGTTTGGAGGGTTTGACGGTAGGAAGATTTGTGAGCGTGAGCTTCATGGCTTGGTTTCGTCCAATAAAAGTAGTGCGGTGGAATGAGTTCCCCGGATTTCGAATGTCATCCGTGGTTTCCGGAGGTTACGTAATGAAGCGTGAGATGCCTGAGGCTTGCTTAGAGTCGTGTCCAAGAGTCTTGGCCGTTCGGGGTATTTTTCTTAGTGAGATTTACAGATTGACTTCATTACTTTTGATTCAGTTAGTACGCGAATTGTAGTATGTAGCCTACATGGCTGTATGCGCTCAGTAAGATTGGCTTTAAATTCTGGCTCTAGTCTGGTATATAACTCGGGATGGCAAGGGTTAGATAATTGTGTAGTTCTCCATGCATGCTCGACTCTGAGTGAAGAAATGCAGCTATTCAAAATGATGGTACCCACCAGTCACTAGCTCCTCTGGTGAAAACTTCACTTAACATTTATCAACTCTAGCATACAATATCACTTTCCAGTCCCAAGTCCACTCCCAAAAACCTTATCAATCCTTGTCGCTCTTTCCCACACAATCTCTGCTCCGCCATCTTCGCTCTTCTTCTTGAAATAAAGAATCCTATGCTGAGGAATAAACTCCTCATCCGTCTGCTCCGTCTTCCACCTCTCAAGCCCTGTCTCTTTTGCACCAAGAAACCGGTCTTCGTACCCGATAATGTAGTTACTCGGATCAAGACTTGGGTCCCAGCGTAATCGGTTTAGAACATCGGAAGCGGGGCGGAGTTTTGAGCTTGATAAGGGTGTCGAGGTGGGCTTTGGGCGTTGCGGGATTGCACGCTGCGGCTTGGCTTCGTCGGCATCCTCGAGTTCTTCTTCGATTTCTTCTTCGTCTTCTGAATCGGAGTCCATATCCATGACGTAGTGCCCCCATTCTCGATCATCTAGCTGTAGAGCCTTGACATCACGCCTCTTCGCTAGCGACGCATCAATCCAGCAGGTGTTTGAGTCGTAGTTCTTTTCGTCGGTTCGGAGCTGGGTCAGGAAGCGATCAAGGACTTTTTCTAATGCTCTTCTGCCCTCTTGTTTGTCTTCGAAACCGCCAGTCAGACTACCCTCTGCGGCTTTCGACAGGCCAATCAAGTAACATCCCTGAAAGTCGTTGCTGTCGGTGGAATCATTGGGAGCATCATCTGTGAATAGAGCTGGCCAGACCCGTACTTCTGATCCTGGAAGTGCTTTGTGGATGTCTGCACAGTCAGTCAAAGTGTCTAAGTATCATTCCAGGTCTCGGAGCACTTACCAACGACGATGGATATGCAACGCGACTCAACCCAGCCAACCAAACTCTTGCCCTTTGCAAGCATACGACCCCAGAACTGAATGTCGATCTTAACAAAGTCATTGTAAGTATTTAGGAACTCAACAGCTCCATAAGGAAGACGAGGTTCTGAGGCCAGATCCGATGATGTACTGAAGAACTTTTGCCAGGTCATACCAGGCTCACTTAGCTTCATATCGGCAGCCTTGAGCTCCTTAATCAACGTCTGCAAACCCGGAACCGTAGATTTTTGTGCGAAATTCGAGTTGGGTGCATGAAAGCTGAGAATAACCATGGGCTCTCTTGCACTACGGTTGTATCGCGGCTTCTTCTTGTGAAAGAACGCATCGTATACCATATCATTCGACCAGTCGAAATTTGCGTAATGTTGGAAAAAGCTCACGACTATATCTGCGATACTCACTGAGCCGACGTTGTGTGCCAGGCTCTTGCAAACCCAGGAAAGCATGAGCGTGATGTGCATTCCGCCCAGATAACCAAACTTTGCAGCGTAGAGGCCGCGCTGAACAGCCCATAGCTTGATCAATCGGTAAGCCTGGCGAAAGATGGATCGCGATGGAATTGTGCGCTGGAGGTATAGCAGGTCGCGATAGGGTTTCAGCTTGCGAAGCGAGAGCATTGAGAGGTTGAAGATGGGGTCGGATGCTGGAATTTCTGCCAACTCGGACCATCTATACAAAGGACGTCAGTACTGTCACTAGGAATGATTAGAAATAAGGACTTACCTTTCTACCACTTGTGCTGCAGGACAATACTGCAAGTCCATCAATATGCCATTGATAGAAAGTTCAAGCATAGTACCAGTAGCAGCTTCAACCTTTCTCAGAATGCGCACTTGAGGATTTCCGGCCTTGACGAGACGTTGTCGAGCAAGCTTGAAGAATGTTTTCGAACTGATGGAGCCAATGCAAAGACAGTCAATGTCGGAACTGGATGTCCAAACACCCAAAGCATACGAGCCAACTGGTACTATGACTAGTGGAATACCAGACTGGCCAGTCTCTGCATCTTCACTTGTGTCCGAGACAATTCGCTGGAGAAGTGCAAATGCTTCTTGTCGCTGTGTCGTTTGCTCATCATTGGGAATCATACCATGGACCTCAAGCGCTGAAGACATGTCCGAAGAGTCCGTCAAGGTCGCGATTGCGCGCTTCAGTTGAACTGAGGGTAGGTTGCTCGAATCGGTATCCATTGCACTGTCGATCGTTCCACCATGCCCAATCTTTAGTCTTGCTCTTATTCCATAATGATCACTGGCGACTACCTGCACACCATTAATAGTCTCAGGCTGACCAAATTGATTGAATCGGATCACATGAAGAGTGTTGTTTGGGCGAAACAGTATCCTGTCGTAGCGCTGTGGGCGATCGTGCGAAGTGGTGGTGGTTCCCGCAGCAAGCCTGTTGTTTTGTGGATCAAACGTCGCAGATTCTTCGCCTTCATGTAGCTCTCCCACATCAGTAGTACTTGTCTGATCCGTTCCTTCAATTCTGGCAACAGCCCAGGCATCGAACAAGCCAGCATCGCTAATTGAGGTCTCTATAGAAGAGAGTGTGCTCGCGGTCTCTTCAGTGATGGCCTTGTTCTTGCAGGCAGTCTCAATGGTGTAAGTGGAGGTGACAATGTTGAAGTCGCCAGCAATGATCCATGGCTCATTCGCGTAGTTTTGCTCCAAATGACTGATAAGGGTTTTCATCTGAGCTCTTTTAGTTGCCGTCGAGCCATCAGTAAGGCCAGCGGTCAAGTGGACACTGGCGACCACCAGACCTCCCGAGTCTGACGAACCAGATGTGGCCAACCCTTGAAACTGCGCAACAATGGCGCCCTTGTGCTTTCGATAGAATGGTACCGACTTCCATGAAAACGGATAACGGCTCAGAACAACAATGTTTCGCAAACTAGGTAGCGGTCCAATGTCTGGTTGTTCAGGTGGTCCGTGGGAAACGAACGGGTATCTTCGCTGAATCTCGCTGTCGCCTAGCATGTATGATAGGAAGGCATCTGATATCTCTTGCAGCACCAAAATATCCGCCATGGCGGGGTCCGAGAGGATGTTAACGACGAGCAGAGAATCACGGTCATGTGTTGGGGGGTACTCGCTATCGATTAGAACGTTATAACTCGCAACTGTGAGTGTTTCCAATTCGATTTCTTCATGCTCCTCAGCAGCATAAATCGACCATTTGTACTCATCCTCATCAAAGTAGTATGTTGATCCTGGCTGCACTCCTTGGCTGTGCTCCTGTTGGGCTATTTCGTCCTGAGTGTCCTCAGATTGGAGTGATGTTACATTCGAAGGAAAGCTTCGTACCCAGTAATTGGGGCTGTCAGGCCTTGGGACGGCATCAGAGGAGCAGATGTCGATGGTAGCGAAAAGGCGCATGCAGTCTGTCAAGTCGGAACCAGTCGTTCGTTCACGTACTAAGATAGCAAGTGATCCAACGCTAAACTGTAGGTGCGGTATGAGTTTTGCTTTGTCCAAGAGATATTCCCGTGCGAAGACTGTGTTGTCTTCAGATTGACCAAGAGTAAGATGTAAGGTGGATCGAGGAGGAGGTTGTCCTATGGCTTCCAGCGCCAATTTCCGTAGTGATTCGAGGTTCGCATTTGCATCACCATTATCGTGCTTGACACGTTCTTCGCTAAGGAACATTGTGCACCTGTTCTTTTGTTTGAAATATCCGGCTTGGGTTAGTTCCACATTAATTGGTTTGCTTTGGTCCAGGCGCATTGCAAGATAGTCTTGAATCTGTTTCTGCGCCCGTGGAAGCTGCTCGGGTGCTACGAATGGGTATACGAGGTTGATGTGTGCTGGCCATCTTCCAAAGGCCTTGTCGTAGAGCTCTCGCAGCTGATCCACGTAACCGCATTGCGACCTGGGTGGTATAATGCAAAGGGCCGTATCATATGATGTTGTTGACATACGTGCGGGTGCTTTCGATTCCTCCGCAGCCGCCATTGTTTAAAATGCTACAATATTTGTGAGAAGAAATGCAAAATAGAAAAGAATCGCGGAGGGGTATCGTACAAACGTGGACGAAGAACGTGGTGGCGATGTTGAATGTCAACGAGCATAGCATGATACTTATGTTGTACCAGAATACATGTCCACCTATGCGAACCCACTTGGAGCATAAACCAAATGTCTAAAAACGGTAATGAGTATGACTGGAGCTGTACCTGGAGCTCGTGCATCAGTGAGATATAATGAGTCATCTACGCTAACCGAAACGGGGGCATGCGCCACAATTATGGATCGAACGTGTCTCAAATGCATAGAGCCGCAAGAGGCGAAGTCGTAGCAGGGCCCATGGTACTCGCATGAGAGACGAAACAACAACAGCTGGTGTATGGAGACTGGGCAAAATGTTAGCGGGGTGATTACATCATACTACTACTACTACTAGTGCCTACCAACAGTACTGCTAGCGCGCAGCACACCACAGACGAACGCCCTTCATCGTACAGCGGCATGACGCTCTAGACACAGCTATGGCGAGACTATTAGATCTACCAAGTGAACTTCTCTTTGCGATTATTGACCTCGTGGTCACTTCTATCCACTGGCCCGAGGAGAGCAAACGCTACCGGCCAGTAGGAGACACAGGCCTTTTCCCTAGAAACATATATTGCGTCCCTAAACTCAAACTCGACGGACGGTACCCTGCACTAAGTCTCTTACTCACGAGTCAGAAACTCTACTTGGAGACCCAAACCTATCTCTCAAAGAAGCCACAGACCCTGAACCTCGACGTCGCAATCGTTGACGACCATTGGATTTGGCCAACGTGGCGAAATCTGCCCGTGCGGAAAGACGGCGCCTTTGACCGAATCGACGTCCATTTCATTCTTTGCTGCACTGAGCACGAACGGTCACTACAAGACGAGTGGAATACGGAATCCGTAGCAGGCGCTTGTCACAGCACGGATAAGTACTGTTTACCAGCTACAAGGTACTTAAACTGGCGGGCATTAAATCCACTCAACAACCTCATTACTGATGAGAGGATTGCCGCTTCCATTGCCAACACGCTCTCCGACTTCATGGAACAGCCCTTTTCAGGTGAACCAATAGGAAGCCCTTTCATCTCCAGAACCAAGACACTAGCATTCCATATTGATACGAGTGCCTATAGAGACAGGAACAGACTTCTAAGTGAGTCAGAAGTTCCAGTGAGAATAATCGATGGACTCGCCCATCTCTACTTCAAACAACTTTACCCCGCCAATGTCGAGAGAGCAAAACATTTTCTGAAAGATGTACAGGAATACGTCCAAATCTGGTTTCAAGAAGGGAAAGAAAAGAAAGAAGCTTTGCCAAGAGTTGGAAAAGTCTTATTCTGCATCGATGGGGCCACTGTGCGAGGACTGGACCCAGCACAATACGCACTCGGAATTAGTGGGGACTAAGACGCCCACACTACATCCATTGGAAGCGCTAAGACTTTGTTTATCCAGCTTTGATCGATTAATTTCTGCTTCATCTATTTTGCACAAAAGAACAAAAAAACTCGCATCACGAAATGGATTCTACGTTTTCCTCAGCATCACCTAATCTGATCCAAAACATTCCATCCATCCTATACCACTCCCCAAAATCATTCCTACATCCCATTCAACCATCCACAATAACCTTCATAAACCTCTCTTCCGAATCCTTCGACATCGATGCAGTAACCCAATACCCACCCTTCGCATCCCTCCCCACCACATTCGTCATGTGCGCCAAAGACGCCCAGTCACTCAGGCGCCGAAATATCCCATTAGTATGGCAATACGTTGGCCTCCCCCTCTTCTTTCCTTCATCACTCCCCTCGCTCCCACTATGCACAAGTGCAGCCGAAAAGTCTGTTTCAAAAAACCTCGCTTTGTTCCAGTTGGTCATGACGATGACCTTGGGAATCATCGTCGTGCCGGGCGGCAGTATGTGGTCGTAGCGACCGCGGCGCAGGTTGCGGTGCGCAGCTTCGAGCGCCTCGCGGTTGCCCTGGTCGACGACATCTTTGCGGATTTTGGCAGCTATGTGGCCGAGCGGGAGCCCGAGGAAGCTCCTTAGCGTAAAGTGGCTGAAGAGAGCGGCCGTGGCGTTTCCGATGTATGCGGTGTTTTTGGGGATCAGGACTTTGTATTTTCCCGTGGCTTCGCTGAGTACGTCGCGCATTTCGAGCACGTTGAGAAAGAGGATTGGGCGGGTGGGAGGGTAGTGTGGCAGGTCGTGGTCCGAGGTTACAAGGTGCCGCATCAGCCATGCGGTGATGATATCGCCGTCTGAGAGGAACGGTGTGGTTTTGGGAGGAGCAGAGGTGTTGTAGGTTATCTGTGAAGGGTCGAGTGAGGCGAGGTCGCTCATTGCTTCTTTGCGTATTCGGGCGAGGGATGACGCTGGTATATACATTTTGCGGTCGCATTGTGCCTTGGGGGTTTGGAATATGCGCCAGTGAAGGATAGCAAGAATGAGCTTGAAGCTCGGTAATCTTGGAAGCCTCGATATCCAGTCCTTGACACATGATGCCGCCGTCCACACCAAATTTGGTTTCTTTTCGTCTTCTTCTTCACTCGGAAGCGTGCCAAGCTCCTCTAAATAGTCAACATCGTAGTCCCAGAGTTCTGGCACATCTTCATCCCTTCCTTCTAGGACCGCGATCCATGCCTGCAACAGCGTATGGAGTCCCAAGGCATCCATTAGCGTATGCAGCCACGTCACCGTGACCAATGTCGCATCTTGGAAATTGGCTATGTCTAACCCCAACAATGCCTTGTCGCTGTGAGTCCAGTATTCAAGCACTTTTGGACCGCCCTCTGGCGGTGTAAGCTCACTTGTCAGAGGTAAGTTTTCAAATGATTGTATACAATCATTGTCTTTGACCTTGGGGAATCTGCTCCAGACGGCATGTTCCTGTAGTTTCATATCATATGTCTTTTGGGTGTAATCAATTGGTGGACGATCCTTTGTATACTGGGCCGGAACATGATTCTCAAGTCGTCCGGTTTTGCTGTTTATCCGTAGTCGTGCTCCCAGTCTTTTCCAACGGGGCTTCTCGAGCAATTTCCAAAGTGCATCAGCGAGCTTCTGGGCATCGAGAACATCGTCGAACCGCAAAGTGAGCTCTACCGTAATGTTTTTGTTTTCACTTCTATCATCATGGCTATTCATCGGTATGACTGTATCCGTTGGTATGCGCTTTGGAGCGGGTTGTTGCCCAAAGGCGTAGTTGAGAAGGAATGACATGGCAAGACTTCCGAGAACTTCCGAGAATGGTAAAATGATACGGGCGTGTAGTTGTAAGAGCCCATCTGCTTAAAGGGATGTGTTGTTAGGCCTTGTTGTCTGATTTTTGTCCTGACTGCGTTCCTTCACAAGAGGAGCTGGGTGGGAAACTAGGACAGCGAACAAGTATCACACAAAAGGGTCATTTTATGTCTTATTGTTTAAGCTCTACGCATGGATCGACTCTCTGCTTACGTGTGGCATACACAGATTCGTGGTCAGACTTTCCGGTTGCTTCCGGGCCGTCTGAGACCCATGTAGTCGTCTCCGAAACCCGTGTTTTGAGTTACCATAGAAATATTTATCAGAGTCAATCTATGAATACTCACTTGTATCAACAATTGTGGGGTAGTTTTCATCCGGCTTTCCCGGTCCGTCAGCAGCCTTGGTACATGCTTGTGACGTGAGATATCTAGAGAAAGAACTTCTTGACCACTACGCTATTGAATCCAGAGTAAGCGGAACATTTGTCAATTCTGCAGGAGAAGCAGAAGGCATGTTGTGACTAACTCTCTTCCCTATTATCAAGCTGTTATTCACCATACGCCCATACCCATCATCAATCATAACTCGTTATCATTAACCATTAAAATTACAAGCCTATCAATTCCCAGGTCCCGTAAAATTCCCTATAAATACAACCAAGATGGCGCAATAAGCTGCAGACGCGGCAAACAGCTCGTGCCTAGCCGCTTTGGTGAGCAAACTCATCGCCGCACTAAACAGCAGTGTGAAAACCATTAAAACACCAACAGCATTGAAGGTATCCCTCTTATTTATATCCACGGCAGCAGCAGCGTTCTTGTCAGTAGGACTGGGCTCATGTGCAGCGGTACTGGTGAGCTGGTACATGGTAACTACGGGGACGACGAGGAGACAAAAGATAACCACGGTAATGAGTACGTTGACGAGTTTGTCGATGCGGGAGCTGCTGTAGAAAGACACGTAGGGGTTTGTTGTTTTCTCCTGGGCCTCTGGTGTGCGAAAGTATTTCTAAGCAGCAACAGTCAGCACCGTATGATGGTTTTGCCGCAAAAGGGCGAAAAATAATTACCTGGAGTGGCAAAGATTCGGTTCGAAAGACCTTTTGCAGAAGGCGGTCGATTTGGCCAATTACTGTCTCCACGCCACCGTCAAAAGTAGCCCATTCACGGCCGTTGTGCAGTGAGACAATGTCTTCCTTGGTGCGGATAGAGTCCATTTCAGCGTCCATGAGTGGCTTTTGGTTGTGACAATAGCGCCGGACGCTGCGGTAGTTGCGGTCTGAAGGTCTTTGGAACGACTCTAGTGTCCTTGCCTTGATGAGGACCTCGTCTGAAGATGACTGTCAGCCTCGAAGATCTAATTGCAATTTGCATCAGTCGATACTCACCATATTCTAATAGCTTCGACTGGATCTCACGAAGTATAACTCGGCGGGTACGTGGCTCCCCTTCTCCATCAGGCTGTTGAACATCATAGTCTCTTGACTTCAAACGGTCGGCATCTTCGTCATGGTCTTCCCAATCAATTTCGTCCAGCTCCTTCTCTAGACAAGTGATTTGATCTTGTAGGTCAAGCAGAACGCGTGAGTGTAAGTAGCTGAAAGAGCGGTATAGGGAGAAATTTGGTTCGCTTGCTTGGAATGCAGCGAGTCTGGGAAATCCATTGGGCGTCTCCTCCACTGCCAATTGTGAGATATGAGCGACCTGAGGGGAGGGTAATGCATACACTTGCGCGTTCTATTTTCAGTCACATATTCCGGTTCAGGTGCCGAACGAAAAGGCACCGTTATCCGTTGGAGCAGTTTGGGGCGTTTTTCCTTCCCTTCTATCCGAATATTAGTTTATTTGGTTTCCACGAAATGCGTGTGGCGTCTCGATGTAGTTGGTCCAGAACTTCCGAGCCGTTATGCATATGGGTGCTGATGGCAGGGCGTTTTTCACATGCGATAGCTGCATGACGAGACGGGGCGTTGAGCCAAGAGGGGCAGGCAGATTTTGGGGGCCAAATGGGCGGGTAGGAACACATACGAGGCTGTGCACTCTCGATATCAATCGAATCTGTCCGCACGGACGGATGGATCGTGGAGTGGGTGTCGTCGGCGGTTTCAACAAACTCCTCAGCTAGAGTCGCATCTGTGTTGGCTTGGGATGCTGGGGATTCGGGGGCCTTTTCGATGTAGGTGTCGCCCGTCATGGTTCGAGGAGGGGTCATTGTGGGCCTGAAAGGGAGCGCACCTCTTCACGCAATCGAGGATGCAATAGGAGAGAAGATGAAAAGTTTTGCGCGAATTCAAGAAATGGTCAGACAGACATTAAGAACAAATGTGGCTCGTGAAAGTGTGGCGGAATAGAAATTGCATAGCCATCAGACATGACTTTGGACGGGGATTGTTGTCCCCTCAATAAAGCTCAGCCCCCCAACGCCCCTAACGCCTCATGCGCGATTGGTTACACCCGCCTTGATTTCAGCTGCCTGGCAGCTACCGGTGAGCTGAGCCACATGACAAGGCGAGGTGACAACGCTTAGTTACCAGGCTTCAGTTCCTTCTCGCGAGTCCATCCAGATTCGACCCTCATGTCGTAGACATTCTTGAGCTTGTACTCGACATAGCCTGCGGGATTGGGCCTGCGGTCGTAGATTGTGAAGACGCCCTTGCTGCGCAAGCCGTTGACGAAGACTGGCTTGTGGACGACATCGCCTTTTTTGAAGCGCGCGCTTGCCTAAGGCATTGTGAGACGGCATTGCATGTGTAATGAAGAACCCCGAGCTTACCATTGCGGCGTCGGGATCCACGCGTACGCCGGATTTGGTGTCTGGAACTTCATATTCCGGCTGAGAGGCCAGGAACTCGTCGTGTGGCTGATTGTCAGCTGCGTGAATGTCTTCAGCAGGCTGCATGTGCTGCGTGCCGAGTGTGGTGGTTGCTGCCATGGCTTGTGGAGATGCGAGAAGTGAGGCAGAATAGCCTTGTGGACAATGCCCTTGAGGAGAAGAGTCGGGTGTTAATATACAGGTCCTTATTGCTGGCCTCTCAGAAGGACGATTGCTGCAGCCCCAGGCAGCACAGGTTTGTGACTGGTATGATTACAGATGGGGGCCAGAATGGGTGCTTGCACAGCCGCCGCTTCGGCATCGTTTGTGCCTTGTCCGAGCAACACCGTTTATCAGCTCGCGCTGGAGGCGCACCTCGATTGAGTAAGCCAACAATCCCATGTGCGGTTTGCCATGAGCAGCGTTCGCACACGGCACCGATGATTATGGTAAGACGATGGTCGAAAATAGACAATGGAGGCTCCGTGTACGGCCCCCAAGCGGAGATTGGCCGGGCGTTGATTGGCAGGCTGACCCTCGCATCTACCACATCTCCCCGCTCGCGCGTGTCGTGCATGTCCCGCCAATATGGGGGCTGAAAGCCACTGCGAACGCTTTCTTAATTATGGCTGGTTGCTGCAAACCTCGCTCTCTGCAGCAACCCCGCCGTCCTCTTGATTCATGGCTCTCTCCGCAGAAACTGGCGCGCACGTCGTGCAAACAATGGTAGCCGAGGCGGCTCCTCGCGTCGTAAACCCATATCCAAACAAAGTCATCCATGCCGACATACGGATACAATCGATTGACGAAGAGCCCTCCCAGGATGGACCGGTTCAGCAGAGCGATGGGCGCACGCCCGAAAGCACCTCAAGCGCTGCAGATGCCGAATACCAAGAGAGAGCCGCAGAGATGCAGAACTGGTGGGCTGAGGCTATTGCACGGAACATGGACCTGCCGGAGGGGTACTCGCATGTCGCAGTGTTGATCATCAAGTGGGCGGATGACCTTGACGAGCTCAAGACGGGCGAAGAGGTGAGCGGGTTGGAAACACGTGTTGGCGTACGTCACCGTCTGACTTTACTAGGCAAGGGAACTCGGCGCTCTCTTCCGCGAACGATTCAACTACGCCACCAACATCGTCGAACTCAATGTCGTAAAGAAGCCACAGCACCAGCTAGACAGCTATGTTAGCGATTTCATCTGCAAAAACGACGGACCAGACAACCTCTTGATTGTATACTACACCGGCCATGGCGTCTTCAACGACCAGAAACACTGCCTCGAACTCACGGGCAGTCTCCGTAATAATGCTCTGCTCCAGGACAGAGGATTCCGTACGACCGCCCGCGCAACTTGGAACAAGGCAGAGGACCTTCTCAGACATGAAGATGTCGAGGGAGATGTCCTGACCATTCTGGACACCTGCTACTCAAGCAATTTTGTCAAGTCTTCCAAGGATGGCCATAAGCGATTCGAGCTCCTCAGCGCATGTGCAATCGATCAGACAACCGAAGCTCCTGGCAAGAATTCGTATACTCGCGCGCTCATTGATGCTATCAAGGAGCTCCTGGACAAAGACGGTGAGGGTCCGATATCTACATTTCGCCTGTATCAGCGTATCAACATGGACCCGCGCCGCAAGGATACTCCGTCCCAGATATGGTCCCGTGGTAAGAGCGTTCACTACAGCGAACAACATATCTTTCTGGCGCCTCTAAAGCTTGCGAAAGCTCATGCCTTGCACTTGCCTAGTTGGCGGACCAGGCCAAGGGGTTACTTGACCCTCCGTTTTGGTCTCCGAGATCCAACGCTAAACCAGCAGCAGATTGAGTTCATGACCAAAGCTCTCTCCAAGTCCTTTGCCAACAAGGCATTGATGGGCCTAAGGAAGATTGAATGGGTAGACATGGAGTCTGCACCTCCCATGTCGCATTTCGAGCGTGTTGCTTCCGTCGTGCGCGTCGTGGCACAGTGGAAGAAGGCTGTGGTTAAGAAAAAAGAAGCAAGACAGTCACAGGGCCAGGTCAACCAATCCACACTACCGCACATAAACGTCGAATCAGCCAATGCGTTACACAAGCGCACACGCACAGAAGCGGAAATAGATGAGCTACCACATGCAAAGAGGGCATATCTGGATACCTCGCACCCCCCCTCGCCGCCAATATCAGAGTCTTCGCGTGCCGGTGACTGCTGAAGCCGTAATCTGTTTTACCGATTGCCTTGATTGTTTTTTTTGCATCTCATTTGAGCTGCCTTGAGCTTAGGATACCCATCGTCGTGCGCTGTATGCCATGATTTCAGCTTATTTGTTTATTTCATAATTCCGCAGTATTCCGTCCTTGGCTGCGTTGGCAGCGTTATTTCTCGCTCACGTGGCGAAGGTGGCGCCACTTCCCAATCTCACCACCATCACCAAACCTAGCTTACCCAATGCAATGCAATAACGCCACGCGTCGTCGCGTCCTCTGCACCGTCACCTTGTCCTCGCACAAACTCCCGTCCACGCTCCGTGATTGCATGACTTCTTCCTCTTAGTATTCGTATAAAAGCTGTGAATACCTGCCACTTTGGTTCCCGCCATCACAACAAAGCATCAGCAATCACATCTACATTACATACATACACTTTTAGGCTTGCATCTCAACTACAATCAGAGATCCCAGCAAATACAACACCAAGCATGACAGCTACCAGAATCATCGCAGCTGTACCAACAAACCGACACGACCATACCATCGGTCACTGCCGCGCCCAACGGCACACGCTCTACGCGTACACGGAGCATTGCCAAACACAAGGAATCCAACAACAGCAACACGTTCAAGAACCTACTGTTTCGCAACCTCAATCCTGCAGTGAAGAGGAATGGACAGAGAGTTCAGAAGAACTTGCGCGCTGGGGTATGCAAGCTTCTGAGCCGGCAAGGCAGGAAGCTGCCCCCGTAAGCAGAGTGCATCAAGGAGCCGAGTGTCTGAGGATCGAGGATATTGCAAAGTTCTGGCAGTGAAATCTTTTTGTTATAAACGGGAGTTTTGGAGTGAGAAAAGGACTTGGTTAGGTTTAGGGGTTTTTTTAAAATAGATTTTAGAATGTTGATGATTTAAGGAACAAATGTATATTTCAAATGAAAACTCTCAAAATTATTTCGTGCATCACCAACTACAGCATTGATTCTAGAAGACTCATGGCCAAATAAGATAGTGCTCTCATTTCGCATGCAAGATCGCGATTTCATGTTAGGACACGATATTCCACAACCTGTAGTGGAGAAAGGAACGGAGTGACTTTGCCCCACCTCACCCACCTCGCTTCATCCCAAAATTTATTTTCATATATATTTTATTCGACAACAAAAATTTCCATCAATCACCACAGCATTCAGGTGCGGTGCCAGAGTGGTTAATGGGTATGACTCGAATTCACTAGATATCATATGGCTTCGGCCGCAGGAGTTCGAATCTCCTCCGCATCGTTTTTTTCTTTTTGCATTTTCTTCTCATCTTTCATGAGATGAGCCACGCGTGTACAAATAACACTGTCTTTTGCGTGTTGCTGCAATTTGGATCATGCTGCTTTGAACTGGGCGCTAAATTCTTTTTGTTTCGTCTAAGATAGCGCACAGATTCTACGTTTACGATTCAAGGGCTAGTTTTTTGTGTAGTAAATTAAATCATGTGGACGTCTTACTATCTATAGCCTGCTATGCTGTATATACATGTGTCAATCGTCATCATTACAGCTTTGGCTGCATTTTACGACCGGTCCTAGCGGTTTTTCAAACTCGAACATATGCAATTTTATTTTCCTCATCTCACAATTTGACTTTACTGCTCGCCCGAATCCTCTCCCCATACTTGAGGAACAAAAATGGCATCGGCACCATTAACAACGCTATGAACCCCAACATGCTATTTCCCCACCCATACCCCATTTTTGCGTACATGGTCTGACTGCTCAGTGGAATAAACGCTGCAGCCAGACTCCTCAGCACGGTGTTTGCTGCCATGGCACTCGCCGCGTGCACCGTATACACATCAATCAGGTACGTGGTCGCGGGCATGAATAACAGCATCAGGCCGAATCCAATCATGCTCGTTGCAACTTCGGGGACCATGAAGTGCGTCTTATACTGGACGCTCCAGCCGTAGATGAAGAAGCCGCAGGGTAGGGTGATGCCACCAATGCACATAACGTACAGACGGTGCTCGGGGCAAAAGTCGCCGCGCTTGATGTGCTTATCGACGATCCTGTTGCCATAACGGATAAAAATCATTTGTCCCATGAATGAGCCGATACCGAGACCTATGAACGAGAGACCGCTTATCCCACCCTTCCATCCGTATTGCTCCTTGAAGACGGTTGAGAAGGTAGTGAAAAGGATGTAGAGGTAGGAATACGTAATCGCCATGTATATGGAGATGGAAGAGCAGATTGGAGAAAGAAACAGCATTTTAGCTGGGCGAACAATCGAGAAGCGTAAGAGTTGGCGGGTAGTAAGCCCTGTGTCGAGTTTGGAGCGCAGTTTGGAGTTGCCGGTTGAGGCTTTGAGGCGTTTGACTTTGCGTTGGAGGATAATGATGGCGGATGTTTCTGACATGAGAATAAGTGACATAATGAAGAAAGCGCCACCCTGCAGGTCAATTTAGCCAAACTCCTATATATCGTGATGCCAAGCTTACCAGTATAGACACAAACCAAAAGTTCCATCTCCACCCTTTTGCAGCTGTAAGGAAGCCACCGACCACAGGACCAACGGAAGGTCCCAGGGCTACATCAAAACGCATTAGCCACACTTCCTTACGGAGCAAATTATCATATCAACTTACTAGGCCCCATAGTCCACACCGACATCGCCGTTCCCCTCTGCTCTCTCGAAATCAAATCCGCAATCGTGCCACCCCCAAGCACCAAGGGCGCGCCCCCAAAGCACCCCATGAAGAACCGAAACACAATAAACTGTGTCATATTCGTCGATACCGCCGCCGCAACCGTAAAGACAATAAACAAGAAATTGCAGCTGTGATATAGCGGTAACCGCCCATACATTTCAGACATGGGCGCGATAATCATCGGCCCACATGCGTAGCCAAGCACGTACACTGACACCATAAAGCTTGCGATGAGGCTGCTCGTCGACTGGAATTCGCGCATGACTTCCGGTACGCCAGGTGCGAACTGCGAGCTCGCGAGTGGTGTGAGGAAGGTGATTGCAGAGACGAGGGATACGGTGCCCCATTTCTTGAACGCGGTCCAGTTCATCGGGTTCTCGGGGTCGTCTGGGCCGTCGAAATCGACAATGTTGGGGTCGTGGTCATCGCCTGCTTCTGTCTCGTCGTCGTCGCCGCCGCTGGATATTGAATTGATGTTGCCTTTTTCAACATCTTTCTCTCCCGTTTTGTATTCGTCTTTGGTCCGGTGTCTCCAGGTTGCTTTGTCGGAAACGTGACTTGGCACTTGGTGTATTGAGCCAAGGCTGGTTGGGATATCTGCATCGTGGCCTTCGGCTACTGCTTGTTCGATGATTTCGCTTCTTGTGGGATGTCGATAGAGCTCTGATGTCCCTCGTTCGGACATGGTGTCGATGTGGGAGGAATAGAAGAGGTCTTGCGTTTGAGTCAAGTTGTTATCATTCGGTGCTCAGACGATCTCGCCCCGCTCGTCGTTTCGAAAATGAAAAGGTCGGTAAAGAACACTCCGAAGTAACTAGTAGTTAAACCGATGGCACTAACATGTGCATCCCTTTCAACTGTTTGTATCCGCGCCCGGGAATAAGTAAAGTGAATAGCCAGCACAAACGTACGCATATAAACAGCAGCATGATTGCTTAAGAAGCACGAGATGGAATACGGCTAGATTACTGGTAGCCAAGTACGGGTCGGGTTGTGCAATCACCTCTATGCCCGCGTCGTCGGTGGCTTGACACGGAGAGATTGAGCGCTTAAGTCCGAACATGGGTGCTTCAGGGCGTAGGGCGTATTTTTTTTACTGGGGGCCCAAGCAAGTGTACACTTGCATTGCATATTCGTAGGGCGCGTCCACGTACTATTGGAGCACATCACATCAAATGAAGTCTCTTGCATCTGCTTGAACCCGCGACTCGCAAATCTCAGAGCATTTTCCGTAGATGTTTAGTGGAAGGAGACGTGTCCCGTGATGTTTAACCGAAATAGCCCCTCTTTCCCCACTCAACTGAGCCCCATTTCCGCCCATGATTGCATAACTACTCCCGAGATTCAAATTTAAGCTTGAATGATAGCACCAAAACCCTAACTATACGACCACGAAATCACATTTGTATGACTCAAGATGTTGTTGCTCGTGCTTTGCAATAGCCTTTATCCACCACTACCAAGCGTGCGGATAGCCAAAAGTAATTATGTGCGTAATACAACGGTGACTGGCCGACGAGATCGACAACGTGCTTTATTCCAGCCACTTTATCTTCGGAGTCGCGACATTGGCAACCCCCGAAGGACACTAGTAGGGCGCTATAGGTCACAGGAGCCAATAACCGTGTGGCAATGTGCTTACCGGTTCGGCCGAGGTGTTGTAGTTGCGTGTTTCCTAGTGGATAGTGTACGACCACCATATCTTTGATTTGACACATGATGCGAATAACATGACATGCATTCAGTGATTTCAAATTCACAGAAAGAAATAAAATTCCGGTTACACAGTTACGCAGGAGATAGGAGATGGGGCCACCCGTGAAGGAAAATAGCTTCTAGTGACAGTAGGTCAAGTGATCTTCGTATTGGATCACCGCTCTATCTAGAACAGAGCCGCGTATGGATGTGCACGATAAGCCTACGAGCTAGGCTCACCCCACACTCGTCCAATACAACAGAAATTGGCTGAAAAGCGCTCGATAACCAGCTGTTCCCTGCGCGGCACTACTTTCTTAATCAGGCTTTCCATGCTTTTCTTTCGTGATGCTCTGAGTCAACAAGCATCGCGCGTAGCATTGGGATCCTGGTGCGGAAAGCTTCCGTCTTAGCCGACAAAGCCAGTGGTTATTATGCCAGAAGAGGTTTATCTATGATGTGGAATAAGAATTATTCTCCCCTTTGGAATTGCACCGCGCAAGACTTTACCATGTTTGAGATGCGTCTCATGCTAGCCTGACGACACGTCGATTCGACATTTTCAAGAAGAAGATGACATCAGCCGCGTAATACAATCGCCAAATAATCAGATGAGAATTCGTTTTACGGAACGGACCGTTGAATCCATCAAAGCACACTAGAAGGTGCCAAGAATAGTGTAGTAGCACACTAATGCAACAGAACAAAAGTTAATAATATAAACATTGATTGTAGTGCTAACGCAAGCTCGTTAATCACAGGCTCTCTTGGGCCTCTAGGATTATAACAACTGCTTTTAATGGCACATGGCAGGAATCGGGCCTTCTAGCTTTCCTAATTAATCTGACATGGTCTTCTAGGTAGCAATTTTGTACTGGAGAGTGGCTGAACTCGTCCTCTGGCTGGATAGATACACACTCCTCAGTGCTACGTGTTCTAAGTTTCGTTTCGCAATGGCACTACTACAGCTATTCAACATCAACCTATGGACTGATAGCAAATAAAAGCGGTAGAGGACTGGCAAAGTGCGTGCCTCGATAGTTCTACGCGTTACCACACTATATCACATTTCTTCTACCCCCTCCTATCTTCTGCACTAACAAGCTCCAGCGAAGCTGCGCCTGCATCTCAACCTACGCTATAAGATAGCTTTGAAGACTATTCAATTGTTCTGACACTCCAAATCCAGTGACTGGTTCGCCATTATGAATTCCTGAAACTTCAACGTAGGTTTCGAGAATCGTTGTTCCAAAGCCTGGAGCGTCCAAATCAGTCAGTTCCCCTGTACCTGGATATTTGGTGGAAAAACGCAGCGTCTATTTATCTAGGGAAGGTCTTATTCCCATTCTGCAAGTGTCAATTGATCACCCAAACGTGCTGGCCTAGCGCCTTAGCCTGCTTAGTAGTAGTGCGTGAGACCAATTGACGGCCCGCTGGCGCCCGCTGTACCAGACCGGGATCTGCTGGTAGACTAGTTGCTGGGGCCTTGGATCAGCGCTTGCGACCGTGTGCAGAGCTGAATAGTTAACCTCTCGCATGGCGTGCATGGCATGCATGGTGTGGCAGCTGGCAGCAGGTGGGCGGCTATACTTAGGGCAGGCAACGAGGCTGAGTAGAACTCGGCTGAGCGGCAACAAGCATGACTGTTAGGTTGCCCAACACCATCTCACACCTTGAAACTTCCTCTCTTGTTCCTCGTCACAAATTTTCTTATGTTTCTCCCTCCCCTGATGCTTGCATATGCCGCGCCAGCTACGTCGAGAAGACTATACAGTAGGATGGGTGTGCGCGCTGCCCATTGAACTGGCGGCTGCGCAGGAGATGCTCGACGAAGAGCACCCCGACCTCAAGCCCGACGCGTCCGATAACGACGAGAACCTATATGCGTTAGGCTCGATTGGTGGCCACAATGTCGTTATTGTGTGTCTGCCTGCCGGTCAGATTGGCAACAACCCAGCGGCTGCGGTGGCAATGCAGATGCGAGCGACGTTCAAGAAGATCCGGTTTGGACTGATGGTGGGCATTGGCGGCGGCGTCCCGAATGCAGAAGATGTCCGGCTAGGGGACGTAGTGGCTAGCCAGCCTCATGGGACGTTTGCTGGAGTGGTACAGTATGACATGGGCAAAAAGACACCAAGCGGCTTCGAGCGTACAGGGTCGCTAAATGCGCCGCCAAAGATACTGTTGGCAGCTATTGCCAAAGTACAGTCGAACGAGCTGCGCGGCAAAAGCAAACTATCTGAGTACGTTGCTAAACTAGAGAGCAATGCTCGGTTTCAGCGGAACAAGGCCGGGCCCGACGTGCTATTCGAAGCAGCGTACGATCATGAAGCAGACGATCATGAAGCAGGGCAGACGTGCGACGGGTGCGACCCTAACAGGCAAATCATTAGACATACTCGTCAGAGTACGAACGAAATCGTGGTACACTATGGGACTATCGCTTCTGGCAACCAGGTGATGCGGAGCGCTATAGAGAGAGACGAGGTTAGCAAGGAGCTTGGTGGGGTGTTATGCTTTGAGATGGAGGCGGCAGGGCTGATGAACAGCTTCCCGTGTCTAGTAGTCCGCGGTATATGCGACTATGCGGACTCGCACAAGAATAAGCGGTGGCAGCCGTATGCCGCTGCCGTCGCCGCTGCATACGCCAAGGAAGTGCTGTTAGTGATACCGCCAGCAGAGGTGGCCGAGTTGCGCACAGCAGAAGAGGCTACACAATTCACAAGTTAGTAGTATTTTGTTCTGAATCTACTCGATAGCTGGACGGTGCTAATGTCTATGCGCTTAAAGAACACAACTCTGAACGCCCTCGTAGTCCTATTGCCAAACGTAGGAAGATTGAGGGGATAGAAGACTTGGGGATTGACACTGTAGAGTTAGTACACCTTATTATCTTGTCTCTTCTAATTATAGTGCTCTGCTAACAACCGAAGCCAGCAGGAATCCGCTTTACCAAGCAAATCACAAAGAGAGCGAACAGATAAGAGTAAGAAGTGTTGCTAAGCCCGTTGCTTGTAGAATGCGAGCATGCTAACAATGTTATAGCGTCGACACAACTCTCACCTCAGCAACACGGTAGGCAAAGCTCGATCAGCAACCTCACGGATCACTGACTTGGTTCAGATTGCCTTAGATCACTCTCTTTTCCGGAGCAAGAACATCGGTTCCATGACATTCATACCGCCGTCGATACCTGCGAATGGCTTTTTGAACATCCAGGGTACCAAACCTGGATGGAAAGTGACTCGGGACTCTTTTGGATCAAGGGAGATCCTGGCGCGGGCAAGTCTGTGCTTATGAAACATTGCGTTAAGCGAATGCGTGAGCGCAGTCCTGACAACCTTGTTGTTTCTTTCTTCTTCCATGGCCAAGGGAAGCCCTTGCAGAAGACATCGTTGGGGTTATTCCGCGCGCTGTTAAGCTCAATGCTCGAACATTTTCCAGAAAATCTAACTCGGCTAGCTGCTAAGTGTACAGAGAACGAGAAACGATACGGCAGACACGCATGGGAATGGACCGAGAACGAACTCCAAGAGGCTTTTTCTAATACACTATCAGAGGCTACTCGCCGTCAGCGTGTTGTCATCTTTATCGATGCACTTGACGAATGTGGGGAAGACCCCGCAAAGAGTTTATTGGCATACTTCAAAGACGTGACCTACCGGACAAAAAGTAAGAATGCGCAATTCAAAGTATGTATTTCTTCAAGGCACTACCCGATCCTTGCGCTTGATACCATACCCTCAGTACAAGTGGAGAAGATGAATGGCCAGGATATACGATGGTACGTCCGGGAGCGATTGAAAGACATCACGCCAGAGACAAAGCGTGAGCAGATCCAGGCTGAAATTCTATCCAAATCCAATGGTGGATTCCAATGGGTGTTCCTTGTGACCAGAGGAATAATTGACAAAACTTTGACTGGCACTAAAGCAGAGAAGCTTCTCGAAGAAATCGCCACCTGCCCAAAAACACTGAGCAAAATGTACGAAACGATTCTCAATGGAGTTCCAGCAGCGAGTCAGCATCAAATGGCAAAGATATTTCAGTGGGTACTCTTCGCCGAAAGACCCCTGTCTGCCCAAGAGCTTCGGGATGCGCTTGCTGCCGACAAAGACATGAGTTATAGGACTGTTCGTGATCTTCGAACCCACGAGGGTTGGTCCGACACTTTGGTCGAGTTCGAGAGATACGTCAAGCACATTTCTAGAGGTCTAATCTGCTTCCAAAGCCGCGAATTATGGGAGCAATATGAACTCAATGGACCAGACTCAGACCGCGAGGCTCAACTTATCCATCAATCGGTCGCCGATTTCCTAACAGAAAAGTTTGCTAGTCTCTTTGGCAATCATTTACCCGCAGCACATTCTTTGATAGGATCTAGTCAACTACAGATATCAAGGTCTTGTCTTCGGTACATGATTTTGGAAGATGTACTGGAGGATGCTACTCTTCCAAGAGGTACAATTTCATCGAAGTACCCATTAGCGCCATACGCCATACGGTTCCTGTTTACGCACATCAAGAAAGTTGAACAAGAAGGAATCCTTCAATCTGACTTGCTTTCTGTAATGCAATGGACGCCAAACTCTGAGATTATGCGCAAGCTTGCCACTCTGTGGAGAACTCTCGACCCAAATAGCCGGTACAAGCCTCGCGAATGGCCATTCATTCAAGCAACGGCTTTGCATGTCTCCGTAGCCTTTGGATCTATGAGTGCGGTCGATATACTGCTAGAGTCAGGTTTCAAAGAATTTGAAGGCAGAGACGCTGACGGAAATACACCATTGATGCTCGCCATCACAGAGGGCCACCAGGACATCGCTTTAGTGCTGCTAGATCGAGTAGTCGACTGCAGAGGCCAACATGGACAGCCTGATGCCGACGCGGAGTGCGATGTCACGTCTACTCCAGTGGCATGCGCTACCGTCATCAACTCAGAGAACAACGTCAGTGAAACAGCACTCGATCTTGCCCTAGAGTATGATATGACTGCGGTCATCGTCAAACTCATAGAAACAGGTGCCAATCTCAATTACTTAGGACGAGAGTCCGCACTAGTGGCTCATGCTATCAGCAGCAGAAACACGGAACTTCTCTCGATACTGATTGAAAAGAAACTGAAGCTTGATGGCGCCGTGTTCTTCGCACTCAAAGACAAGTTGCGTTTGTGTGATGTTGTTTTGAAAGACATGATCTTTCAGCTGCTCAGCGCTGGGGCTAACACAGCTAGATCTTCAGAGTTAAATGCTTATCCTGAAGAAGAATATCCAAAATATAACGATAAGAACGCGGCTGATGGCAACTACGATACTGATGCATTGGCATTAGCTTCTAGGAGCGGACTTACTGACGTGGTCGAGAGGCTTTTGCACCATGGTGCACCGGCGGCCTTGCAGAATTTTGCTGGGCAATGTCCTCTTTCGATCGCAGCACAATACGGCCACAAAGAGGTCCTCAGGATGTTGCTTTCGAGAGCGCCATCGTCAGTGGAGACAGAAGACTACGTCAGTGATACAGCTTTGAGTCTAGCAGTTGAGAACGATAACTCAGATATCGTAAAAATTCTTCTTGAAGGAGGAACATTTTCAACGCCAACCACTTGCTTGAGAGATCACTTCGTGAAATTCGCCAGCGATGGAGCGACTACTTTTGTTGAAATTGTCCTACAACGTAAGCTTGTACACCCTGATATACAAGACACCCACGGACGAACAGCACTGTCGCAGGCGGCCGAAGAAGGACACGAAATGATAATCAAGCTACTGCTAGACACAGGGAAAGTTGACCCTGATACTAAGGACAAAAATGGATTTACTCCACTACTATATGCGGTACGAAAAGGGCATAAAGGGGTGGTAAAGCAGCTCCTAGACACAGGCATAGTTGATCTCGATACTAAGGACAAGATTGGATTAACTCCGCTACTGCATGCGATAAGAAACAGAGATGACGTAATAGCTAAGCAGCTGTTGGAAACAGGCAAAGTTGATCCTAATACGAGGGATAAGCAGGGATGGACACCGCTGTTGTGGGCAGTATGCGGCGGGCGTGAAGGAGTAGTCAAGCAGCTGCTAGACACAGGCAAAGTTGAAGCTGATTCGAGGGATAGGCAGGGATGGACACCGTTATTGTGGGCAGCATACAAGGGATATGAAGGAGTAGTCACGCAACTTCTTAACACAGGAAATGTTAATGCTGATACGAGGGATAGGCACGGATGGACACCGCTATTGTGGGCAGTATGCGGCGGAAGTGAAGGAGTAGTCAAGCAACTGCTAGATACAGGCAAAGTTGACGCTGACTCGAGGGATAGAGAGGGGTGGACACCGTTATTGTGGGCGGCACATAAGGGATATGAAGGAATAGTTAAGCAGCTGCTAGACACAGGCAAAGTTGATCCTAATACGAGGGATAAGCAGGGATGGACACCGCTGTTGTGGGCAGCTCATAACGGGCACGAATCGGTGGTTAGACTCATACAAGATACGCGCAAAGTTAAACGTAATACTACGTAGCGCGATAGATCAACTACGCTATTATCTGCAGCATAGATTGGCCACAATATAGTAGTAGTAGTGGTGGCGGTGGTGGTTGTGGAGGAGGAAGAGGAGGAGAAGCCATAAGACTTTTAGAAGTTCAGAATTGTATCAAAATATAAAGATTCAACTCAATCCGGCTTCCTCCAACCATGTGCGTTTATTAATTTACTCACCATCCCGCTAAATTCTAATTAGTAGCCGAAGAAATCACCTAAAACCTGCAAAAATAGTACTGATAGGCAAGTCTCTTGAAGCTGTTTTAACCAAAAGACTGCAGCTAGATCTGTTGCCACGTCTAAGAAAACGTGACAGCTGCTTACCTTGGCATTCCTACTAGTGTAACCGGTAAGTCTCTTTTTGTGCGGCTTTGATAACCAATGCAGATTACAGTGACCTTGGTATAGCTATACTGGTTATTTAAGTTTAACAAAAAATTAGCTAGAATCGTATCGGGAGCCTCGTAATGATAGTTGCAATTTGTAAATGACAAATCGATAGTCACGTATATCTGGCAAAAGTCATGACGCAAGAGGTCATAGGTCACAGAGTATTACCACAACATTAAAAATAAGCCCAAAGAGCTATCAATCTGGATATGCTTTCTACTTCTGCTGTCGACATCGCTGTCGGATCCTCCACATTCAACGGTAGCCTGACCATTGTTGTACCCAACTGCATATCTGTTCAACCTCGAGATCTCTCACTTTACGCATTTCTAGGTGCATCTTCGCAGTTTGTGTCATTAGCTCACTATGTTGGAATCTAGTCTCGATAATATAGACGACTAGATCCTAGTCTAGTATACTTCGCATTGGTCCGCCGGGCCGCCGCTAAGCTGCAACACCCATCGCGCGCCATACATTATGTCCACCACTGCTATAAATAATACAAGTTGCATTTGTAGGCCCCCGCCCACCTGTGTACTCGTTGAGTGCATGTGCCGTCCGGCCCTTCTTCGCACCAACGGTTTCTCTGTTCGGACCATCAGGGAAGAACAGAGCGCACTGTTTGAGAAAGAATTCTGCTGTTGTAAGGCGACTTACTAAAGAAATCTCATTATAGGGCGCGCCACCGATGTAACTGCTAATTAGGTCGTTGTACTGTAGCCAGGTGTATTGCCGGTTGACGCTGTTGTTGACAATCTGCCAAGCCTTGGTACTACTAAATTTCTTAGTTTGGTGGTCAGCCTACTACTGGTGGGAGTTGAAGTGTTAATTCTGATTCTTTTGCTGTTTGCAAAGGGCAGCATATTTTGCACTGTCCGCCCTAATCTAATGTCGTATATTTAGAGTTGCCTTCAGCCCCTGTAAATTGTCATTGAGTGCGAGAAGACGGTGGGCGATGATGGCAAGGTTGAAGTAAGTATAGCCGAGTGCTGTTGCCTGAATTCTTATTTGATTGCTTTTAACCGCCATTGCTCTAGTTGGTGCACTGCCTCTGCTACTCAATACCTTTCCTATTCACCAATGCACATTGCTTTTCATCGCAAGTAGTCGTCCGTAAGAACCTGCCTATAACAATGGCCAAGAATCACGAGTTCACCATAGGATGGATTTGCCCTCTCCCGTTAGAAAAAGAGGCTGCAAGGATGGTGCTGGACGAAGAGTATCCACAAGAGGAGGTTCAGTACCAGAATGTGTACTACTTGGGCGGCCAGATTGGAAAACATAAGGTTGTTATTGGGATGCAGCGAAGAACAGGGCTCACTGGTGCGGCAGTTCTTGCTGAGAAGATGCGCGCTGGATTCCCCAATATCAAGTACTTTGTCCTTGTCGGCATTGCTGGCGGCGTGCCCCGCTATGGGCCACCTGGAGCAGCGTCCGAGATTGTACTTGGCGATGTGGTGGTTAGCTCTCCTCGAGGGAAGCATGGTGGGGTATTGCAGTACGACAAGGGCATGTGGGAGGGTCAAGGGCAGCTGAAATTTCGAGGGCACACAAATGGCGTTCCAGGCGATCTGATGGCCGCGGTTAATAACTTCCGCGCAGATGGATGGTCTAAAACAAACATGGCAGAAGTTCTCAAGCAAATGCGTCTTAAACTGCCTAAAGAACAAAAGCACCAGTACGACGACCCAGGTCCTGGTCGCGATAGGCTCTTCGAAGACACTTACGAGCACAAGGGCACGGGACTCGACGACTGTAGAGAGTGCTGCGATATGGATTACATTAAATCGCGATCTGATAGAGGCGATGGAGCCACTCGACTGGTTGATAGGCCATTGGTTCACTTTGGCAATGTCGCATCAAGTAACCAGCTGCAAATATCGGCTGTAGAGCGCAACAGAGTACAACGAGAGCACGATGTCATTTGCTTTGAGATGGAAGCAGCTGGAGTCATGGAAGAGTACCCGTGTGTTGTTGTTCGTGGTATTTGCGACTATGCAGACTCGCATAAGAATAAGGGCTGGCAGAACTACGCGGCAGCCACGGCGGCAGCGTGTGCTAAAGGGCTGTTGTCTAAGATGCCTACAGTCGAAATTGCTAACAGCGCGCCGTCCGCAGAATCGTCTACACCTCAGCAGCAGCCAGCAAGCATAACGAACATGACTTTTGGCAATAATGACCGTGGCGTACAAGGCAGAGACATGTATGGCAACATACATATTGGGTAATGTAGAGGGGTGGTGTTGTAGTAATGACTTTGCGATAGAGAGGATGAATAGTACTACAGAGACTTCGACGTACTAGTATTAGTTGAGAGTTGCGATGCAATTGATGTTCGAAGAGCCACACTTACCGAAGTTGGTGGAGTAAACGGATAAACAAGCAAGCGCTGCCAGGCTGATGCTGCGCTGCAGACCATCACCCCAGACTCTATCACCCCACCCATGATGCATGCTTTTCTATGGCGATGCCATGACCTCCACGACGTCGAATATAAATTTCGGAGACGCCGTCTCTAGCGTCCAAGCTAACAACATCAACGGCGATGTCCACATTGGCAGTACGTACTTATGCCGCGGGAACTGACTGAAGACTGTCAAGCGCTAAGCAGAGACGTCAAACAGGACATGAGAACACACTCGATCATCTCCCACGGGCCGAGGATGCACCGTTCAACTCGTACGCCAGGCAGCACGAACATGGATGCCTTCCGGACACGCGCGTTGACCTGCTACAAGAGATACACAGCTGGGCGGACGGGCAAGACGAGCGATGCATATTCTGGCTCAGCGGCCTAGCAGGCACAGGCAAGTCGACAATCGCGCGGACAGTCGCGCATAGCTACTACACAAACCAGCGTCTCGCAGCCAGCTTCTTCTTTTCGCGAGGTGGCGGTGACGTCAGTCACGCTGACATGTTTGTTACGAGTATCGCGGCGCAGTTAGCGGACAACATTCCAGCGTCTCGATGTCATATACGAGAAGCTATTGCAGAGCGCAGCAGTATCGCTAGACAATCCCTGCGTGACCAGTGGCACCACCTTATCCTTTGTCCGCTGTCCAAGCTGCGCGAGGCTAGATCATACATCCTAGTCGTTGATGCCCTTGACGAGTGCGACAACGACAGCAACATCCAAATCATCGTACAGCTGCTGGCCGATGTGCAGCCGTCACTGACAGGCGTCCGACTACGCGTGTTGCTGACTAGCAGGCCAGAAGTACCAATCCGGCACGGGTTTGGGCAGATGGCAGACTCGAAGCACAAGGACGTCGTGCTACACACCCTCTCGCCATCGGTCGTTGACCATGATATAGGCGTTTTTTTCGAGCACTGGCTGAGGATTATCGCAAAAGACTGTTACTACGAACATGACTGGCCAGGTGCAGAGAATATTGGACAATTAGTGCAGAGTGCATGTGGACTCTTCATCTGGGCTGCAACTGCGTTTCGCTTTATTCAAGAAGGCGGACAGTTTGCTAAAGACCGACTGCGCATTGTTCTCAAAGACAGTGCTGTTACAAACAATTCATCAGAGGACAGCACATCCAGTGAGGATTCCGGCACAGATGATCAGCTTCAGATTCTCCCTGAAAAGCGATTAGACAATATATATCTTACAGTTCTCAAGCGTCCCGTTCGTCGATATACAAAGTACGAAAGCAAGAAGTGGTATGCCTTGGTAAAAGAGATTCTAGGAGCAATCGTGCTTCTTTACTCGCCGCTTTCTGCAACTTCGCTAGCCCGGCTACTCCATAGGTCTACAGAGGAAGTTCGTCAAACGCTACATGAACTGCACTCTATCCTCGACGTTCCGCAACATTCAACTTACCACGTCCGTCTACACCATCCATCTTTCCGTGATTTTCTTCTCAACAAAAACCGATGCAGGGATGACAATCTCTGGGTAGAAGAGAGGCAGACGCATACAGCACTAGCAGAAAAATGCATTCTGCTTTTGTTGAGCTCGCTCAAGCAGGATATTTGTGGGATAGGGGATTTTGGTGTGCGTGCGGCTAAGATGGAGCGGAAACAACTGGAGCACTACATTCCTCCTGAGATGCAGTACGCATGCCTCTACTGGACCCACCACCTTGCTAAGAGTGGTGCCCCACTTCTTGACGATGAAAAAGTGCACGAATTTCTCAAACAGCACTTTCTCCACTGGCTTGAGGCCCTGAGCTGGATGGGTAAGGTCTCCGAAGGCATCTACGCCATTAGCTCCCTCGAGTCAATCGCCCTAGTAAGTACCTTCTACAACATGCTAGCAATAATACTAAAAGCATGCAGATTGGTGACTGTCCTGATCTTGCCGCATTTATCCACGACATGAAGCGGTTCACACTGTACAGTCGGTTGCCCATCGAGCTAGCTCCATTGCAAGTGTATAGCAGCGCTCTTGTATTTGCACCGGTGAAAAGTATAGTGAAGAATCAATTTGCGGATCAGCTGACGCAATGGATAAAGAGTCCGCCTCAGGTAGATGATGACTGGAGTGCATGTCTGCAAACGCTTGAGGGTCATAATGTCATGATCCGTTCAGTAATCTTCTCGCACGATTCGACACGGCTCGCGTCAGTTTCGTATGATAAGACAGCTAAGATCTGGGACGTCAGAAGCGGCGAGTGTCTGCAGACATTCGATGTCTACAGCGACCCAGTGACTTTCTCACACGACTTTACCCGGCTGGCATCAGTGACACAGAAAAATACCATCCAGATCCGGGATACCAGTAATGGTGCGTGTCTACATACACTTGAGGGCTATGGGAATGTTGAATTGATAGCCTTTTCGCACGATTCTATGCACTTCGCGTCAGCTTCATCCAATGGGACTATCAAGATCTGGGACGCAAGCAACTGGGTGTGCCTGCATACATCTAAAATCCATAAAGACCACGTTGACTTCAGAGTCTTCTCGCACAACCTGATGCAGCTAGCGACGGTATCAAAGCCTAGAACTATCGACATCTGGGACACTAGTCGCGGTGTGTGCCTGCAGGTGTTCAATCATTTTGCTCATTTTGATACCCCAATAGCCTTCTCGCGAAACTTGGCGTGGTTGGCATTAGGGGAACTGATTCACATTGCCGAACTCTGGGATATTAGTAGCGGTGCGTATCTGCATACGTTTCGAGGCCATAAGCGTCCGGTTATATCACTAGCCTTCTCGCATGACTCAATGCGGCTAGCATCAGCGTCAGTAGACAAGACTATCAAGATTTGGGATACAAGCAATGGTCAATGCCTACAGACATATAAAGGCCATAACAGAGGCGTTAATTCAGTAGCCTTCTCACACGACTCGACGCAGCTAGCATCAGCCTCACAGGACGAGACTATCAAGATATGGGATGCTAGTAGTAGCGCGTTCCTGCAGACACATGACAGCGTGAGCTCTGTGTCCCCCTCGCAGGACTTGATGGAGCAGACCCCGGATACTTTAGCTTGTCAGTGTGTGGATTTAGGCGGGGGCGTTCATAGTATGAGACATTTCCCTCGTAGCCCAATGGCCATTCTTTGTGGCTCAACAAGGATGGTTCGTGCATCAATCAGCGGGACTATCAAAATTGAAGATAGGGACAGTCTTGCGTGCCTTAAAATACTTGAAGGCCACCGCGGCTCTATTGAACAACTAGCTATTTCAGATGACTCGATGCGGTTGGTCTCAGCGTCACAAGACAAGACTGTTAAGATCTGGGACACAAGTAGCGGTGCGTGTTTACAGACGCTTGAGAGCTATAGTGAAAGCCCTTCTAGCTTAATAGCGTTCTCGCGCGACTCGCTTCTGCTAGCTTTGGCTTTTAGAGATGGTGCTGTCAAGATTTGGGATATTAGTAGCGGTGCATGTGTGCAGACACTCAAACACCGTGATTTCGATATCTACAGTATGGTGTTCTCCGATGAATCGACGCGGTTGGCGTCAGCATCAATCGAAGGGACCACCAATATCTGGGACATCAACAGTGGCACGCTCCTGCAGACATTCAGGACCTGTGGACTTGGCCTTTTTACAGATATTTTCACTTTGTTAGAGTATGAAGGAATGACAAGACCTCAGCAAATCACCCATTGCAGCATCAACATTTCTGCAGATCGCACTTGGATAACCCGTCATGATGAAGAATGGCTGTGGCTTCCAGTAGAATACCGACCAGGTCATTTTGTTATTTCAGGTGGACGTATTACCGTAACGACACGGCAAGGAAAGACATGGAGTCTTGATTTTGTCTAATGTTTTCAAATACGGTTATAGCTGCTCGCTGGACTATCTACTTTGTTAACTACATACTTTTTAATTATAACGCTCCAGCGGCTGGAATCTCAACCTCGTTACGTGCTATCATCACTACTAAACGCTAAAAATTGAAACAAAAACAATCGATTCTATGATTTTGGAGGTTCGAAGCGAATTGTCCATCATTGTTGCTGAGTGCTGGCGCTAGCTTGGCTTGATAGCCTATTGAGATTGGTAGCCCAAGTACAAGGGGGTGGAAAACGTCATGTGACGTTCCACATCATTGCTTGGTGGCAGCAAATCACGTGAGAGGCTGTACCCAACGAGGAAGTCTCCTTCAAACACTGTAACACTCACGCCTAACAATCAAAGCCAACCTAGCTCATTAGTTTAACCCAAATGACCTAAATTTAACGATCAAGCATTTCGGTTTACTTGGCTTGCATATTGACAACGCTGGTCCTAGCCGAGCCTTTTCCTATGCAACTCTGATCGGAAGTGGGGATATGAAACGCTGGTAATAATCAGGAGTCTGCTAGCTCAGGAGAACATGGGGCTACCTGCACTTTTTAACATTACACTGCCACGTTCTCCTACAGCCTCAATACCCTTTTGTCAAGCAACAGCAGCCCAACCTGTCTCCGCAGCACATTCCAACCGAGGTGGCTGACTTCCAAGGCACGGGTTGTAAACTCCGAAAACGAAGCGGCTTCTTAACTACCACGGTACCCGTATCTGTCATCTATTGTCATCGCAGTTTGACCGCGATTTTTGGATCCTGCGCGAAGGAGCTTGTTTTGGTTTTAATGAGGAAATCTCCCAGCCCGTGCGTCAAAATTTGACCGAGACACTACATTTCTATCTCAAGATCCTCGCTCTCAGCCAGAAAATTCCAGAGGAAGCTCAAGTGTGATAATTCAAACCGCTCAACCTCATCTAGCGGATCCTATCAAGATGTTCTTTTATTGTTTTGCTATCCGTATGTGCGACCAGCGAGCTTTGTAGAGTGGATGCACGGGCCAGAAATGCCCCATTTAAAACGAGGTCCTTCGTATTTCGAGCCTCGCTCCGAGGGTGGCCAGAAGAGGTCTCAGGCCATTAACAATTTAAGGGTTCTAGGAAGAGAGGTATAAGAATCCTCGCATTGCTGTTGGGTAAATGGTCACATTTCACGTTTACAACTTGCTTTGTCAGTATCATTACAACACTCGTTTCACTCTCTTCACACGTTTCACTCTCGTCAATCTTTCTGCACAGTCCAACCCACTCTTTATCAAAACCAAAATGCGTTCCCAAATCTTTGCCGGTCTTGCCTTTGGCATTGTCGCCGTAGTTGCAGGAGCCCCAGTGGAAAGCAGTGCATCTGAAGAGCAAATCACCATCAATGGTGCTGTGTTTGTCCGTAAAGATAGCAATAGCAACGACAACTGGGATGCCATCACTTACGTTGGCCTCACCCTGACCACTCCATCCGGTTCTGTCAGCTGCGACGCAGACAGCTTCCCAGATCCATCAGTCCCATCCAACGTTTACACATGTGCCGACCCCACATATTCTTTCCAGATCAGCAGTCGCCCTAGTTACAACGTCTATGCTGTCACTGTTACCCACAAAGTCTCAGACAGGTACGCCAGTCTCTTCTCCTAGCATCACTATACTGACTGTCATCAGCGTTACTTTGACCGGCATGACCGATGTCGGCTGCAACGGCCCTATTCCGATGTCTTGCCAACAAGTTGGTCCCAGGCAGGGCACGCTGACTGCTGCTTGAGCGCCAAACACGAACGGCACGAGAATCGATTTGGAACTTGGGCAGCGGTATATCGCATATAAGAACAACACTTGATAATAGTAATAGTATAGAGAGCGAATCAAAACCCTGCCACTTCCTTTTCACATTTCTGTCCACACTCTAAAAGATGGGAATTGTTCGGGGTAGAAGTACAAAACATGCTTAGCGATAAAGAGCAATAATTCGCACTCAAGAGAGTAAAAAGTGTAGTCGAAATGAGTATATCTTGGTAGTTTGCGGAGGTGGCTGTGAAAACTTCTAGCTGACGTTTCCCTTATTGGTTCCATGTACCCTTGGTGTTCGACTCGCGCAACCTCGCTTACTATCTGTCCCACTGAACTGAGCGGAGACGTCATGCTACGCCCCGCTCTTGCACTACTAGCAAGCAACAATCAACAATATATTGCAAGTACTACAGCCTACTTTCATCAATCACAGCATTCACCAATGCTCTCACATCCTCTTCTTCAGTAGTATAGTGAATACTGGGATGGTTGTCATCTCTACGTAAACCCGTTTTAGGAATACAGCCTGTCAATCCACGGTAAATCTTCTATTCTAGTGGCCAGTCCTGGAATGCAGATCGCAATTGCGTAGTTATTGATCTCAACGAGAGGTTTGCAAACAGAAGCGATCAAGTAGACTACAGAGTGAGTAGCCACTCAGAAGACCAAAAGATCTGCTGGTATAGAAGAACACGGTAGATCATAGTGTCCACGACTGGGAAGCATACATGGGCGTTTCGTTTTGAGCTATGGCGCACTTCGTGAGCTGAACAATTCGCCAGGGCAATGCTGGTATATACGTTCTATCATGTTGTTTTGGCCTACTTCTACGAACATCCATACGATCTGAAGATTCCCAATCTTGTTAGACATATCTCAATCCCGCTTCTGCATAAATGGAAGGCAAGCTTCGTAAATCTCACTATAGCCCGGGTATTCCATGAATCGCTGGAACACATCTTCACCCACCATCCTAGCGGTCTGAAGATTCCCCGCAACGAAGAAGTCAGTAAGGCTTGGCTTCGCGCCCAGCACAAACGGGCCGTCCGCTTTATTTGTCAGCATCAGCTCACCCAGTGCGCGAGTGCCGCTATCAGCTGCCTTCCATGCCTGGCCTTCTTTCTCCGGGTCTAACAGGTCCTCGAGAGGATGCCCAAGCATGGCCTCGCGCGAGCGGCGGAAGTATTCCTGCGCACGGGGGGACAGGATGTACATCTCGCGAGGCATGACGGATGCACGAAACGTGGTGCCAACAACAGATCGCGCTTTGGCTTCAATTTCGCAGCCAAGCTCGGAGGTAAGCGGCACTGGGGGCTCTGGGTAGGTAGTCTCAATGAAATTGGCGATGGGAACAGAGTCCATCAGGTACGTGTTGGTAGGCACATGATGAATGGCTGGGACGGTGTATCGTCCGGCGGCAGAGGGGCCGGGAACTATGCCGCTAGCGAGGTCAGCTATTATTATCTAGTAGCACATGCCCAGAACTCTGCAAAGCGAGGGGGCTGGGGAACTCACAGCTCTTTTAGCGTAGGCTCAATGTCTGGAAACTCAAGAAAGATTGTTGTATAAGGGAGTTTCTTGTAGTTGAGCATCATACGGATCCGCCAGACGACAGGTGAGAAACAAACGTTCTTGGTGGAACCCAGATCGTACAAGATGATTTCTGGTTCGGTTTTGGTGGCCATTGTTGCTATACTTCTTTCTGGTGAGATGACAAGTGTAGAGGCTAGGCAGCATTCTTTGTACGTACCCTGTGGCACGGAATTTAGTGCCGCTCGGGGGCCGATGGTGGATTACCAAAACGGTAATCCCGGGTGACCTCAGGCTTAAATTAGCAAAACATAGTACTCTTACGATATGATCCTCAATGTATGGTGGGAGCGCCAAATCGATGGATGAAATGAGCTGTATACATGTGCAAACCAGTAAAGGATAGCGGGAGTCGAGCCGTCTAGTTGTGCCTCAACCCTAGCAGTCGGAGTTACGGCGGACGTTGTGTTAGGGAATCTGTGTGCGACGATGGACGCAAAGGAGCATGCCGGCGCACGGCCTTTCGACGCGGGAGGGGCAAGAGGTGATTGGTTCAAAGCAGGCTGGCAGATGACCTGCGCCCACTACCGCCTTTCAGTGGGATCTTTCCAGCATAAATTTGCGTTTGATATTGATGAGCCCGCGACTGCATCAACGAAACACATAAAGCATAATGGAATATAAATCTAAAAAGCACCCTTCTCTTCATCAAACAGCATTACATTCTTCAGTAGTATAGTGGTCAGTATTTCCGCTTGTCAAGCAATTGACAGCTCGCGGGAGACCGGGGTTCAATTCCCCGCTGGAGAGTTTGTTTCTTTTTTGCATTTTTTGCATTTGTTGGTGGGGAAGGAAAGGCTACAACCAAGGCGCTTCTGTGCGGGGGCACGCTAGCTCTAAGCGAGAGGCTAAGCAGTGCCTTTTTGGCCCTCGCGCCTGAAACTGATACAAGACGAACCGCAGATCGGACAAGTATCCTTGCTTTCTCTGGCCTGCCACGATGGAAGGTACCAAATTACGCGTTTCCAGTGACAGGGTTCTCGGGCTATGGGACAGTCGACTCCCTTCCTAAGCAGGAAGACTGTTAAAGTCTATTTATAAAGTGATAGGCATACCCTAACTGGTGGCTGTAAGAGTATCGTGATTGGAAAAGAGTGGCGTAGCGGTGCGCTGAGCTGGCCGCAAATGTAACCAATCATGAGTTCAGGCAGCAGAGAATCCAATCACATTCGCCTGCGACCAGCTCCTTTCGTATGCAGACATGCGTGCACATTCTGTACGTGTCTCTACATTGGTCCTCGAGTGTTTACCATGCAAGCCACCTTCCAGTTGCACATCCCGCCAAACTCAGGTAGGAAAGCACCAAAATGTGCCTATTTTCTGGCGGTGCCCTGTTTTCTCTATCTTGTTGGTCGTGGCTCGGATCGCAGGGACCCCTCACATCAGAACATCAGGCTTTCGGACGGCCGCGTGCTGCATCCAACACATCAACGATATCAGAAGGATTGTGCGTTGGTGATGACCGAATGTCTGGTATAGGTTGGCATAGTTGATGCCTCTTAGATACCTGCCGGTGCCCTGCAGTCTGCATCCACTCCAACGTTGAGCAGAACCAGCTATTGTACGATGGACAATCTTGCAGTAGTTGATAGCAGTATCATTCCCTGGCAACTGAATGTATCCTTTGCCTCCCAAGATCATGATGGCGGAGATTTCCTCCAGTATGGAAATCGGCGTGGCTTCAGATCACTCTCCCAACTCATTAACGTCCATGAGGAGCATCCGGATCTATTCGAATGAACCGCAGCTTCAGAAGATGTGGTTAGACGTATTGTGTATTCCACGTGGTAGCTCACACAAAGTATACAGGAACGAACGACGGCGTGCCATTGAGAAGATTGATTGGACTTTTGCTCGAGCAAGAAGAGTTCTGGTTCGCGACAAGCTTCTCAACAATCTACGCACAGAAACAATGTCTACCATGGAGGTAGCCGCTTACTTGTGCTGCGCGAAGTGGTTGAGACGTTGCTGGACACTTGCAGAAGGCGCTTTGGCTTGGGATTTCAGCATCCAGTTTGCTGACCGCACGCTCAACTTCCTGGACATTCTGAAGATGGCAGAAGCCCCGTTTGAGCCTGATCTAGTAGTACACGGCCATTTCAGGGCCGATAATAGGGAAGAGTTCGACATCGTGTTGCAGAGGAGACTGCAGACCGGGCTCTTAGCCGCTTTCCAGAGAATTCCGTATAGCAAAGAGAATAACACGTGGGAGAATAGAAGCCTTACAAAGTCTTGGAATACACTGAGTGCTCGCTCGACATCTATGCCAACGGATACGCCACTTATTTTGGGGCTACTCATGAAAGTGTCGATCAAAGATCTAACGAATCTTGATCACTCTCTGAGGATGAAGGCTATTCTCAAAACTCTTGCCAAGATCCCTGCTGCGCTTTTGTTCAACAAGAGTCCGAAAGTGGAATGTAAACCCAGAAATCGCTGGGTCCCCTTGAATCAAGCCTCCGCAGACCAACTTGAGCCGGGCCCGCTGATGGGATTGTTTAACGAAGGCCGCATGGTGGGGCCAATCATGGCTCGAATGTTTACAATGTTCAGCTTTGAATCATCTGTGGGAAAACGATTGAGCTTATCAAGTCCGAATCTAGAGATGCGGGGCCGTCAAGGAAGTTTTCGGTCAATTTGCGAGGGAACCTCGAACAATTGCGCGAACAGGAGTGGTTTCTGGTTCTACCATACTCCTACAACAACAACAACAACAGTGATTGGTCCGCAACTATATATTGCATCGGATTCTGTGCGACCGTACGGCAAAGGAGAAACATGTACTGCTCCAGTGGCAAAGCCTCGCTGATGTCACTTGCTCGCGCAATTTCAGTCGGCATGCCACTCTTTCGCTGGAAGGAGTTCCAGTACCACCTGATTCTGAAGTCTTTATCGAATCAGGTACGTCACGCTTTACCATGGTTGCTTCGAAGAGCTGCGCTAATCGCATTGCAGACATGTCGGACTGGCCAAACCTCCCCTCCCTGAATGAATGGCTCAGCCCTGAACAGGATCTATTATTATCATGTCTGTTTTCACTCTCCAGTCACCCGAAGTATCAATTCTGGTTTGTTGCAATGACAATTACACAAGCAGTCGCCTTGCTCGCCTGGTTTACAGCCGATAACCCTTACTTGATCGCCATTGGAGCAGTTACGACATTTGCATGCACGTTCTTCTGGTTTATATTCTCCATATTCTACAATCAAGCGCGAGCAGTAAATTCCAGTCCGTGACGAGGGCGAGCTGAGTATGGTGGCCGGCAAGCCCTTGAAGAGTACTCTAACCAAGAACAACACACATGGACGGAGAATTTTTCTACTCCAACATCGCGTCAGAAACGCTCCATTCGCTATCGCTTCTTGAAATGGCCTAGACACCTTCCTAGCACTCGGAATTTCCAGCCGTGCAGAACAGTCGACATAGCGTACTCAACATGAAGCTGTGGGTCAACTTTACTATCTCGCCCGTGTGGTTCGCAAGAACGCACAGTCTGCTTCGGTTGACGCAGTTTTTGTTGGTGGTATTGCAAGCGCCACTCGCTCATTACATGTTGGGTCCAATGGAGGATGATAAAGACAGCACAGCGCGCGATGCCTTCACGGCTTTCTTCATTCTGTTCTTGTCGCCTTGCACTGCAATCTGGGCAGCAATGGGCTGGGCAGACAGTAAAAAAGCTCTACCTACTCAGACCAACTTATACACGCATCCGGAAGATCGGCACAGTGGCGCTCAAAATCGCCAGAAGACAGACATAGTCCTAGTACCGTTTTGGTATGCAGCCTTCATTGCTACGGCGAAATGTGCTGCTGCGAGCCATGGCTCGTATTCAATGGCGATCCTCATGACATTCAGTGCTCTTGCGATGTTTTTCGTCCGCCTAAACATCTGCTTCATGCGTAAGGACTGGCTGACACAATGCAGACTCACTTGCTTTCTATTGGTTTTCGAGATTTCGCTCCACAACGTTAGAGACAATTCATGGCCCAAAGGAGATATTACGCTATAGCAGCTGTTTATGGACCCAAGTTTTGTCTTAGACGATAGCCTGGAGGCTTTGGAACAGAAATATGACATGGAGTGCTGTGGGATATTTGGAGTGCTCTTGGGCAACGTCTGGAGAGCTGTCCAGAAAAGTCGAACAGAGCACATTGTTTTAGAGTAGATGTTGCTATGTAGGGTCTACAGTTGCAAACATCGTATAGCAAGGATTAATCCGATTTCCCTATCTCTTCGAGCATCTCTTCCCATGATCTCTTGGCCGTACTGCATCTGAACAAGGTCCACAATGAGATCTCGTAAATCTCGAAGTCGTGCAACCTTGCAATAGAGCCCACTGAGCAATGGCCTTTGTACAAAACAAGAGCCACCAATGACCCGCGAGGTCGATATGCAATGACGCGGCTTTTATTTAGGCAAATAGCACTGCCTCAATCAATTCCAGCAGTATCGCAGCGAAGGAGAAAAGTAGCTCTTGTTCGTGGATCTCATATGCTTAGCTAGAAAAAGACGGAGAGCGAATCAATAGGCGCAATACTTCAACATTTGACAATAGTCTCATCTTTCTGTCGACATGACCTACATGGCCGGATGGATGTAAAGTTCACAAAAACGCATCAATTCTCTTATCAATGCTTCTTACTGTTCTCAAATTCAAGGCGCTAGTGTCTTACGGCCATCTTCTTGCAAGATCATGTTCAAACCATCACGCTTGATGCAGTTTTCGAAAGCAAAACTCTTTGCCAGCTCCTCCAAATCTTCCTCCGTCTTACCCTTGAATAATTCAGCAAATTCCCAACCAAGATACTCACTCATGAGACCTTCTCGGACGGCTCTTTCGACCTGCCTATCGAACGTCCAGGTGTTAGGGTACATCTTCTTTTGCAAATGCTCCGGGATCATCTTCTTTAGACCTGCAATGAATGGCTCGTATACGTCTTTGACGCCATCCTTGTCAACGATGCCCCAAAAGTCAAGGGCAAGCTTTTGTTTTTTGGTAACAAAGGGCGCGATGAGCTTCATGTATGGCGTGTCTGGGCTGACATACGTCATGCCTTGATAACCGATATCTTTGTAGAGCCAGATACTCCAACTCACTTGATCCTGCGCGTAGATTTTGAGCTGATCTTGCAGCATGTGGTAACGCGCACTGTTGATTTCTGTTGCCTCTGGATCGGTATGCTCATTTGCATAGACTGGACCAAATTCACCATTCCAGATAGGAACATTCTTTTCTCGCATGAAGAATACCTTCCGGTCGAATTGTCGTTTGAGTTTGGTCTTGTGCTCTTCGCTACCGTTATAGAGAGGCTGACCCGGAATTGGAAAACCGAACATTGCATAATCGTGGCATGCGTAGACAGAGTTAGGAAGCACATTCTGGAAGTAGGTAAAGTCCATTGCATATGTGTTGCCGTCGATAAAAAGCATCGTCTCAGGGTCTATAGCTCGGATCTCTTTTTCTGCACGCTCATACCACGAGATCAAGCGAACGTGCTGAGGATCCGCTGGCTCGTTCAGGAGATTATAACCACAGACGACAGGGTTTCCATTGTAGTGTGCAGCAATGGCTTTCCATAGCTCTATAGCTTGGTCTTGGAAGACGCGAAAGTCCCAAAACAATGCCTTGTTCAGACCACTGTCGCAGTGCCAGTCCTGATTCTGGCCTCCCGGGACAGCGTGAAGGTCGAGGACAACATACAAATGGTATTTTGCGCAAATATTGACGGCGCTGTCAAGCAGCTCGAACCCCTTCTTCTTGAAGTGCGTTGGGTTTTGGTCGTCAATGAAGTGGCGGTAGTTGAACGGGATGCGAATGCAGTTCATACCAAGAGATGCGAAGAATTCTGCATCAGCTTCTGTGAAGAAATGGTGCAGTAGGCGGTCGAAGAAGAACTGTGCCTTTTCTTTGCCTAGCACTGAAGTAAGTGCTGCCCTGTGCTCATGTTCATGACCAGAATAGCCAGTGATGAAGTTCTCCATGTTCAAATATCCACCGAGAGCTGTTCCCTTGAGCACAACGCGCTGCCCAGCAGCATTGACAATTGCATTGCCCGATGTGCGCAGAGGCTGAAGAGGTGGATTTGATGTTTGAATTGCCATTATGAAAGGAGGGTATTCGAATTAGTAGGTTGGCTACAATATGAGCTTGAGTGGAAAAAGACGGTTGGATACAGAATGGCGACTAGATGTTTAAGTCTCTTAAAAGAACACAAAGCACTCGGCATGTCAAGGACAAGTAAAAAGCATTGTAACCTCATAGGACGAGGCCATGGATGCAAAGTCCGACACTCCGCAGGTGTGGAAGTGTGGAGGATCGTCCTAATACAGTAAGGTCAACCTGATCGGACTGCAGGCACGGTACTAGCGGATGAGTAGCTGATTTGGTAAGGTTGGTGGTTCCCGAGTCAGGATTTCGAAATGGTTAGTATTGTTTAGCGAGATCGTGTGGAGCACAGATAAGAGCGATATTCCGCGATGCAACCTCTGACCAGGAATGACCAATGTGGCTAAGCTGCTGAGCTTAGGTCCTTCCTTGATAATTCCGATACATGAGGCGGAGAGTATTGGCCATAGTGGATAGATCTGCTGACTCCTGTTCCCAAGCCTCCAACAACTGAATGACTTCTTCTACAGCATTCTGCCACCCAATGGGAACGTGGAGCGGAGTCTCAACCTCGTCCGTTACAAAATTGCGGCTTCTCGCTGCAGCCAGGAGAATGAGCGCACTCTGAGTACAAGACTTGATTAGGTAAAAGGTGCCATGATGCCTGTGCGCGAATCCAGGACGATTGACACGAATGCGTTCCATGTGAATTTGCAGGCCCTTCATTGCAAGTTCCCTCAACAATGGCTCATCCTCCATTGTAATGTTTGAATTTACGGCGCATTCAACGAACGGCCAGTAAATAATTTCCCAAACGTTGATAAGATGCCCGCGAAGAACAAATCGACATACCTCGTCTTCCTCGGGTGGGTTGTTCATAGACATGCTTTGAGGTAATGCGCAAACCCAATCGGAGACTTGCGCTTCACGGTCGGCGACTTCGAGAGCAAGGCTGTTGATATGACTCTGGCCGACTTGAGGTGTCGATTCCTTGATCTCTTTGGCCATGCGATGCCGGAGACGCAGTAAGGATATCTCAGAAAGGTAGAAATACCAAGATGTGTGTTCGCGCGTCTCTGTCTCAGAGTCATGTGATGTCGCAATGTCGCTATTGTGGCTCGGTGGTGTAGGGAATAATGGCGGATATCCAGCGTCAAGTTCGGAAAATAAAAAACCAGGCAAGTTGAGATCTTCGTTGACCTCGCGCTCTGACTTCCAAGCAGACCAGTATATTGCTTGCTCCGCAGCTGCTGACCGACGGCCGGCCTCATCCAGCTGCTCTCCATACTCTCGCCTAAACCCTATCAGCGATTGGAAGGTCTGGCAGCAAGCTAAGGATTGCATGAAGTAACGCCAAGCTGTCATTCTATCAAAAGTGCCTAGTTAGGAAGTGTTAGATGCAAGTTTCCGATATGGCATATAGTAAGACGGCTTACACATGCTGTATACCCCCTGGGCTGTGTTAGTGTCTCTTTCGTATCAAACTCCGCAAAGTACTTACGTACTGCAAGGAACATGCATTGTGCTTCAATGATGCTTGATGTGCCCAAAATCAACCCCAATCTTTTCTTTGCAGCTAAGAAGAAAGACTCGGCATTCATATAAGCATCTGAATCATGATGCACATACCCGCCATCGAGGGGAGTGGCTATCGTACCGAGTGCACAAATCAACAACGAAAGACAAGCATCTGGCGACCAGTCAATTCCGTGAAGGCAAATCCGATTCACAGTTCTTCTTGTCTCTTTTTCATTAAGAACAGGGTTTTTCACATGAACAAAATTGAAGAAATTGTCAAGTAAAGATCGAACCCGGTGAGGCTCAAACTCATCTAGTGCCGATAGTGGCGGGGATGTTGTCATATGCGCCGACTTTTTGATGCACGGAAATGCCGGACCATTTTGTGGTCGTGGTAGCAGTTCTCTCAAGCTTTTCCATTCTAGAATTGAATCGATAGGGCATGGCAGCATTTGAGCTGGATCCAAGCTTTCGCTCAACTGGTTTGGTATGGTGACGGCCTGGTCGAAGGTATGAGTATTACCTTCGCGAACAAGCTGTTCCAGATCATCGAGTCGCTGTAAGATGTGCAGACTGGCCGGATCAAAGCAGGATAGGTCAACCGGTGTCTGAACACAAGTTGCTCCGACTTTGACGCAAAATGAGCATGCTGGCTTCGCGTTGTCGCATTTAGTTTTTCGCGACCGGCAGACCTGGCATGCCTTGACTGCGCGCTTGCGGGGATATGAGGCGGATCCACGTGGGGCAGGTCTTTTCTGGGCTGTCGCAACGGAAGGTATGGGGACTGAGCCAGTTGTGGACTGCTGATGAGATGAGCTCATATCGGTTGTTGGCGATCGCAGAAAAATCGAGGCGTTGCTTGGTTACAGGAAATGTGTCGCGGAATGTCGCTCCTAAGATCTTCTGGGCCGTTTGGGCTGGCACGTGCGCAGAAGATTTCCACTAGTCAATCACCTAGACAACGTGAGGGGAAGGCCCACCAAGCTGAACGTACGATTATTGTTACCTATTACGTGCAGGGCCTTACCCATAACAGTCACAGTCTAAAACTAGATATGGTCTAACGCCTAAAGCACGGCCATGTACATCGCGGAGTATCGCCCTCCGCATTTCCCCAGCTTCGGTTCCAATCCATGGGGTCGGCCAGAACTGCCGTACCCGACAAGGTGGTTAGCTTGTTTGCTTTATGTGACCTTATACTCTCAAGTCTCATCTACAGCAGTGATGTCTCTATATATACTACTTACCTGACTGCCGCTGAAGATGCTCATTGCGCTTGCCTACAGCTCGTCGTTATCACCATAACACACACCTCGTCTTGCTTCCAGTATGGAAAAGCCTGCATCTACCACCTACCACGAGGAAATCATTGGAGAAAACAACAAGACTGCTCAAGCAGTCACTGCTGACAATATCAATGAGCACCAGCTTACTTTGGGACAAGTCTTCAAGAAGCACCCCGCCCTTGTTGGATGGTCCTTTTTCTGGTCGATGTGTGCTGTCGGATGGTGAGAGGAAAGCAAGAGTACTATGAATCAAGTTGCTGACTACCAGGGAGGGGGTTTGATGCTCAAATCAATGGAGCCATGATTTCCGTTGCCTCCTTTCGAAAAGATTTCGGATACGTTCTCGACGGTGAAGCAATATTGCCAGCCAGCTGGCAGACTGCCTTCAACATGATCAGCTCGGTCGGCATGCTATTCGGTGGCTTTGCATGCAGTACACTTGCGGACAAATGGGGTCGCCGTATAGCACTGGTGTGTGGTGTTATCCTGTGTACTGGAGGTGCCTTTGGAGAGATGTTTTCCCCAAACAAGGGCGCCTTTCTCGCATCGAAGCTCATTCTTGGTGTTGGACTTGGATTCTATCTCACCATTGGACCACTTGTTTGTGGTGAGATTGCTCCCGTCGTCCTTCGAGGCATCTCAACGGCCGGAATCAATCTCGGAATAGCTATCGGACAGCTTCTCTCGAACGCTGTCGTAAAGGCGTTTGGTGAAAGGACTGACCGCTGGGCATATGCTGCACCCTTTGCTATCCAGCTGTTTTTCTGTCTCTTCCTCATATGCGGGTTGCCTTTCGCGCCAGAATCGCCATGGTACCTAGCCAGAAAAGGAAAAGACACCGAGGCCCTCCGTGCGTTACAGACACTCTGGGGCAAGGATACCAATGTGGAGTACAAACTTGCAGCACTTAAAACCACAATCTCAGAAGAGGAAGACCAGAAAGAGTCTAGGCTCCTCGATTGCTTCCGAGGCACCAATTTGCTTCGGAGTTGCATCTCAACTGGTGTTTTTGCTTGCCAACATTTCGTTGGCATCGTTTTCGTACTCGGTTTCTCGACATACTTCTTCCAACTTGCTGGTTTAGACACCAGTCGATCTTTTGATCTCGGTGTTGGCGTTACAGCTTGCGGTGTAGCAGGCAACATTACCAGCTGGTTCGTGGTCAATACGTATGGTCGACGTAAAGTGTTCATTGGTGGCATGTCTGCACTCACTACCCTTTTACTGTTGATTGGAATCATGGACGTTATTCCAACCGGCCCTTCAAAGTGGGTACAGGCTTCTTGTACCGTCATCTACGCCTTTTTATACTTTATGACCATCGGTGCCATGGCATTCGTACTTCTCGGAGAGACGTCGTCGATGGGACTCCGAGCCCACACTACTGCTCTTGCCACCGCCACTCAATCAATTCTTGGAATTATTATGAATATCGCCATTCCATACATGGTTAATCCGGACGAGGGAAATCTGAAAGGTAAGGTCGGCTTTGTGTTTGGTGGCCTTGCCGCTATCGCTACTGTTTGTGCATGGATCTATGTCCCAGAACTCAAGGGACGTACAAATCGTGAGATTGATATGCTTTTTGCAGCTCATGTTCCCCCAAGGAAGATGGGCTCGCATCGTCTTGATCAGGTGGTTGCGTAAAGGGAACAAATAACGAAAGCGAGGCGAATAAAGACCTCATAGTTCATTTCTTGGTTAAATAATTATATGCAGATCCTGTATCTACACGTTGAATATCTCAATTGCATGTTTCTCAATGATACTGGAAAACCCCCAATCTCGTCGCGCAGAGACTAGTTAGCAACATCTTTGAGCGCCATAATTGCGTCGCCAATATGCTGCTTTAATGCTAATTAGTTGCGCGCAAGCTGCACCCCAAGGCCCTCATCGAACTACCTGTGTGGCATACGTCGCTGTTGTCGTGCGAGAGGAAGATGCTAGCTGCCACACATATGAACATTATAAGCGAAACCGTTGAAGGTTTGAGCAATGAGTTGGTGTGTTTGGAGAGCAGAAGCGCACTCAATTGAGGAGTAGGAAAAGTTGATTGCATAAGCCAATTGGTATGAAAAGCAAACTTAACATATCACCAAGCCAGCCATCGTTAGCATGAACGCCGATATGCTGCCCGAAGACCGGAGCGCGACCAATTCATGGAGGGACTAGTTTTACAAGGGAGATGAAACATCAGCTACTATCTCAACTACCTTCAAACAGAAACTCAATATCAGAAGGTTTTAAATCGATACAGAAACCTAGAAAATGTTAAAGTAGACAGCTCAGTGACATGGTGGTCACTATTCGTACTTTTAACTATAACAAAGTTTTTCGGCCCAACGGCTGCTGTAGTAGCAGAGGCAAAAAGGTTTGCTCGTGCACCGCACTAGTCTATTACGTCCAAGATAACAAGCAGCTTTGAGTATGTTGAACTACTGTAATGACGCATAACTACTATCTTCACTGTACCTAAAGTTAACAAGAGGGGGTCTGTTTATCTAGAGGCAGTGGTCTTGCAAAAGCACCCTCAAGCATTTCCCGCAATTCACAGTGCTGCTTGCTCCCTTTGCCGGTAGAAAACTCTCACTTGAGTCATGTTTGAGTTGGTGTAACCAGATAGGCCTTTAGCCATCCAATCTCTATCCTTTCATATCTTGCTTTTTTTGAGAGGTCGGCTTCAGTGCGTGTAGCTTCGCAAGTGCGTCCGTTGGTTGGCGTCCATTGTTGCCTTCTTTCTATACTGTGGCATTCTTAGCGGCTGCGCTGGCGGCTTCAGGTCCTGGGATACCCGCCTCGGCTAGGGACTATGGGGCGGTTATCATGCAGCCAATGCCATAGAAGGACTAGACTTGTAACCTTTCACCAAGGATGTGAATGCCTAATCGCCTCTTAGCATTAATTGTCCGTGTATGTGCAGACGTTCCATCTATTGCTGCATCTTGCTGCGTATTCGTTTGCAAGCTGCGGCTCAATGTTTGGTCTCTTGCAACCCGTGCCTTAATCCCTGAGTTTAGTGCGCTTATGTTTACTCTTAGTAGACAGTAACTTTTAGACAGAAGGCCAAGACATTTGTATTAATGCTTACGCCGTCATTTATCCGTTGCTATTAAAACTGATGTATGCTGGTTTGCAGAAGGGTCCATAACTCGCTATTGAGACAATCTTTTACTAAAAAAGGAACCAATGAAGGCTGCAAAAAATAAGACTATGAGAGCGAGACAGGCAGAAACAAAAGCAGGAGCCAAACGCCAGTTGGAGGTCCAAAAGCCATAGGGCGCGGCTGGGCCTACAAAAGCTACAGTGGTTTGTGCAAAGAAGCCAGCGGTTGTCGCCACAACAGCCAAAGTCAGAAAGGCTAGCATCATTCGGAAATAACTGGTATCGTATATGGCGGCATATATTTTAGGATCAGTCGAGCTTGGTTGAGATTGTGCTTGGCTTGCACTGAGGCTGAGAAAAAGCTCCGAGATTGCTTTTTGTGGAATTGTATGTCGACCGTCATTAGCTCTTTGCTGCCCAGGGCTGCTGTCCATGTCTAGCTTGCTAAGAGTAACTAATGCACTGTCAATCTCACTCAGTCTCTTGTAGATGGGTTTCACTTACCAAAGTAATATTCAGCAACACTGTAAAGTGGAAGCAAGAGAAGCATTAATGGGAGAATTTGTCCAAAGTTCCACTCATCCAGTTGTACTCTAACACAAGAGGGGAGAGCCTGCATACGAGGAAAAAATAGTTGAAAGGTAGCCCATCCAAGGCAAGTGAGCACGATCCAAAGGTAGAAAGCAAAAGAGCCAGCAAAGTCGAGTATAGCCAGGAAGAAAATGTAGAAGCCAACGAAAGTACAATAACGGAAGTCGGTCTTGCCTCTTTTCTGGAGGAAACGACATATCATGCGTTCCAAGTAGAATATAGGCTGGCGCAGGAAACGGCGTGAGCCTTCCCGCACGTTGTGGAATAACGTTACAACTTTCCAGATGGAACTGCCGATAAGTAGGAAGTAGGACACCACGCCCTGGGTACTGAGTCTTCCACGACCGTTCGATTGAGCTGCCACATGCCACAGAGACGAGACTGTGTCGTTTAGCATCGGACAATATGAGGCACTCTGACAGTTGCCGCCGAGTTTGATGTAATCATCCCATGTGAAATTCGTGGTTGGAAATATTGCGATACATAGCATGATCAGCAAAATTAACATGCTGGATACTCGCAGAGCGCGAAATCGGAGGGACTCCCGAAAGTCTGAAGGGAGGAAGGTCAAAGTAGACATATGCATGATAGACGATGTCCATGCAAGATATGTCATGACATGGAAATCCATGAGGACCATATGTGCCACACCCGCAAAGCCAGAGGATAGTATTGCAATGCCCATGACAAGCTGCTGAGTGCCAGCAACAAGGACCCCTTTGCAAAGAATTTCACCCCAGCGATTCGAAGGCCGAATCCTAACGCCAAGGAAGCACTCATCGAAGTTGTTCAAGACATCGGGGATGAGTCCCAGCATGTAGAACGCTACTATGACAACCCAGCATACGTATGCAGGGAGTAGGAAGGCAATGATGACCTGCAATATAGACTTTAGAAAAGAGTATTCAGCCTGCCAACAAGAATTACTTACCCCCAGTCCCTCCACGTCAGTACTTGGAAGAGCAAAAGGGCATGGCTTTTCATCTGCACCCGTGGTTGAAGTGACCATGGCGGTGTGCAATACTGATGCTAGGAGGATGTAGTTGAGTCAATGATTAGTCACCTATGGCATGTTTGAGAGCCTGGTAGAAGAAAGATTCTGACAGGAACTTCATGGTGAATTTAAGTGGTAAATTGAGGTGGCATCGCGCCGCCCCCACCCAACATGTGGCGTAGCAACCCCAAATCAAGCAAGGCGCACCTGCAGTGCGGTCACACTTATGTACTGTGCAGCTTCAAATTACTGCCAAGCGGTAGACTATACCTTTCTGGGAACGTGGTGGCTTGGTGGAGCTGAACTGGGGATCGTCACATGCACTGCCACAATCTCTTCTGCTAGGTGCTAAGCCTATCTTACACGGGGTTGGATGCTGATACTTCTCTAATCTCAATCTTGGACAGAGCTGATAGGATGTTACAAGCTTTAAGAGTGATCTAGTCATCTGGTAGAGTCACGTGCTTATCAACCCAACAATATGTTTAATAACGACTGATCCATTTAGATGCTTAATTTAGCAAAAGAGCATCATTTAAGTTAACTGTAATGAGATTAGCATGCAAATACATCCATCTTAAAATCTTTGTCACTTCTAATTCTGTTATTTCTAGATTTCTACACGGATTTCATTCCCTCCTCAATAGTTAGTGTCTTAGTTATCAATATTTCTTGCAATACTTTGGCGACTCATTATTATAATTTCTATCGATGCTGGGCTGAAATTGACATTGAATCACATGAGATACAGCGACATAGCAAAAGTGAACAAGTTATTCTGCGTACTATTATGCAACTTTGTTTAAAGGATTAGATGTTTTTACAATTTACTTTGAGAGTAAGACTTTGTGAGAATATACGTAAAGATCATTGTGAATAAGCTCATAGCAAGTCCACCGATCCAGGAGGCCTCAGCGTCATCTCTCATCTTATCACCACTAACAAAGAGTACAACCCAAGCCCTGTTACCCAGCCCCAATACGGTTCCGGTGCACCAGCAGCTTTCGTAGAAACCAATAAGCTCGAATACAGAACTCAAGATAATCCAGGTAGCATTGATAATGGCAATGGATTTACCAAAGAGCCGCATAAGCACGGCGAGTCTACCAATCCACTTGATCTGGGGACTGCGGGGAACTTCTTGCACTGCACCTGTTGCTCCGTTCCGTCGCTCCGTCTGATATATGAGCATTACGTGATGCGAAAGGAAAACGGATATCAGTAAGAGAACGTGGGCGCAGGTAGCGAGGATGCCGTACAGTAGATAACTCCCAGAGCGACATCCGAGACCACGCACCTCAGTCAGGTATGATATGACAATGGCGGACCCAGTGACGCCCCACTGAAGAAATACGGCGATAGCATTAGAGATTATGAAGTTCCATTTCCAATCGGAGCTCTCTTTGACATCCTTCCAAGTCATGTATGGCTCATCAACATTCTGAGATGAGCCGGCTTCTAGCTGGGTCGTGTTATTTCGCTGAACTTGTTGTACAGGCTCAGAATGGTCTGCCTGAGCTGCCTGCGCCTCTGGAAAACTGCGCCTTCTTTCGAACTCGTCGACAATTCTGTCTCGTAGCTTTGGGTACGTCAATATACGCGCATAGTTGTAAGCGGGACCCTGGCATGCTTCATCCCCTTGCACTTTACTCCACAAGGCCTGAGGCAATTGCCTCATGGGCGGGTTTATGAAACCAGACTCCGCTTCTAGTGCTTTTATTGGGGCAGATGCTCCACTTAATATCTCGCCTTGGATCGCTTCTCGCACTGTGTCCTTTCGTGATTGTGTCCCAGCAGCCATCCAACCCAAGACTACCGGAACTAACCACGTCCAAAGGGTGCCTGAGGATAGCAGAAGAGCTTCGGAATGCTGACCAAGCGATGTCACGTACGATCCAACAATAGTCAAAACCCAGGCAATGACTGCAAAAAAGGTTTGAGCAATGAGGGAGAATGTGTACTGCCTGCGAGTCTTGCGGATGCGCTCTTCGAGAGGTAGCCATCGGTCACGCAACCGCTCTGTATCCTCATCAAACAGTTGTCGGAACTGATCCTCTTTGATTCTGATCGGAGACTGCTGAGAGTTGCAAAGGAAGTACTCAGCCGAATCTACTGCCTCTCTCAAATGCGATGTAGTTTTGCCATTACCAAATTTGGCTGTGAACGTTATCGATGTGGAATGCGCATTGAGAGCTGTCGACATCAGAGAGAAGGTAGACAACATGGGACTTCCGACCGCGAGGCAGAAACTTTCAAAGTTACCGGATATGGAACCAGTTTCATAGGGTAGTTGCGCTGTCAGACCGAGCCAAGGTAAGAGATAGTTTGTTACACCGGATGTGAAGATTGGAAAATCAAAGACCTGCTAAGTTTAGCGTTGAAAAAATACAGCAGGGATTTCAAAACTCAGATTATCGGTAGTAAATCCATAAACCGATAAATCCGTTTAACTGTGCGGGTAAGGGTGACAATACCATAGGAAAGTTCTGCCTGGCGCAGTACGCATGACAAGTCTCCATATCAATACCCCAGGCATTCCAAACGTCCTTGATGCGTTCCACGGGCTTTTGACCATTCTGTGCGACAAGACCCTCGGCTATTTCCGTGAGGTTTTCAGCCTCGAGGAGGCGGCGTACACACTTTGCTGCCCACGAGGAGCCATCGCCGATCGGCGTCAGAAAATCTTTCAGGGCTGTATCGTTCATTTGATGGAAATGTAGAGATGATTTCCGAATTGCAACTGTATGCTAGGGGAGAGAGTGGACTTTTCAGTCTCGCTTCAAGGACCAGGCTGACAGGCAGCAGTTGCAAGTGCATTGGGTGTCACAAGCATACAGCCACCATCGATGAACGCGGCTAAAATGAGGCAAATATTTGACGCTCCAATCAATCATGGTCGATTGAGAATCTCGCACATGGTGGGGGCTGTGCTCAGCGTAGCCACACAGCAGATCATACAGTAACAAGGTGACGTCGCAAGCCACATCACTTTGAGAACTGTGTTGATGACAACGGAAGGCCGTTCAGCGTTGATGATTAAGCGCCGCGATGCTGCTCCAAGACAGTAATCGCCACCAATACCCTGTTGTGGGCTTTGAAGGGACATTGAGAGATAGAAAAGGGTTGAAGTAAGCTGAAGCAAGCTGAAATCAATACAGCGCTTACTACACAATACATGATTGCGATATTCGTGGCTATCACTAGAAGGCCAATATATCCCAGAAAAGAAACGCAACTCCACGCTGCCCCTACCCAGGACGGAAAAATGACGGTTGTTATGGCAGAAAGCTTAGTAATGAAGCAGTTACTGTTTCCGCTTATCAGACAATTCATAGATAGCGGGCGACCAGTGCCTAACCCCCACCACGGCACGATACGTGATCGAGTTCCAAAGATCAGAGGGGCGACCCGCAATCGAGTAGATACAATAAGCTGAACGGTAACCACTGTGAAGGATTGATTGAAGAAGGTGCCTATCTACGTACGAAAGAAAATCGCAATATATACTACGAGCTAGTCACGTGATACTACACCATAGTATGACCACTCAAACTTAAATCTCATTTCAGGGAATGTAACGTGATGAAATTGGAAAAAAAGCCAAGCGAGCGTGAACCTGCACGATCAAAACCTAAAGCGTAGTACGATGCCTTTCTAGATACTACTACTGTAATCCAGTGCCCGCTTCTTGTTCAAAAGGGATCGTCGCACCGACTCCATGCATAATGAGCGTAAATATGCCGCGAGGCTTACTTCAGGTGTAAAATAGGACTCAATTGTTCATTAAATGAACACCATTATCTCTTTGTTTGAATGGCGCCAAAATAATTCGCTTTAGTGGGCAACGTTTGTAGTGGATCTAAGCTGACAAATTCACGTTAGCAAGTACAAAGATTACGATTTCTTAGCTTTTCTATTACGCTTTTCGTGCACACCTGCTTCTTACAGAATTGCAGCAGTAGCACTCACTCGTGAAAGAGTAAGATAAAGAATTGTACATCCGTAATATGTTTAGCATGTTTTGATAGGCCGCGACTTTATCAAGCCAAGGCAACTTGGTGGGTTCCCTCCCATCTGGAAATGTCAAGTGCTCAAGCATTTATTCTATGCACACCTCTATCAGATAAGCTTTCGTCTTGGGTTACTTGTTCTGGATCGCAAGGTTGACCATCAATAAACCAATGACAGTGAAATTAAATAACACAGCCTAACATAACGATTGTCGCTCTTCATCCCACGTATGATGTTGGATTAAGTATAATCAAGCCAAGGTCCTCCCCCCGTAGGGCCTTCCCTTCTATGGTGGGATTACAAGCCCTTTAGAGAATGCCCAGTGCTCAAATGCATCTATACCGTAACCTGTTGGTTCCTATTGCATTTCAGAGATCGAAGAATCACGTTTTCCCCAGGTGGAGTATGGCAAGCTACATGAAAAGCCACACTATAGCGTGCCACAACAGGTGCAGCCGTCCGGAAGCGTATCATGGCGACAATAAAAGGAGCAACCATTATTGAAAACGCTACCGACATCAAAAGGGTCATGTCGAGTGAGGAGGATCCAAACCAGAACCGTCAGGGCGTATCCATTCTAATCCAAATGCTTGTCTGATCATCGAAAGCATAACCTTCAAAACCGATGATATGGTAGCTGCAGGAAGTAGGTGCATCGCTGCTGGCCATGTGAGGTTCTAGATAGCTGTAGTCCTTTACGCTGACGAGCATAAGATCATCTAGGTTGTTTGTTCATGACGTTGATCAGGACAATGTTGATTGAATCCAATGTAAAGCGTGAGATTTCGAGGTTGCGAACAAGTTCACTTAGCTAATGTTAATTGTACAAAGAAAGTAAAAGTGTGGGAATAGTAGAAGGAAATTAGATAAGGAGGAACTATGGGAGAATGGCGCAGCTGAAAGAGCAATGGGGCTGAGAGAGTACTAGCATTGCAAGCAAACATGATAGCTCTGTGCCAATCCGAGGCAACTACTATCTTCTCAGCTCATCTGTAACCAAGGCAATGTACGTCATGCTTCATGTGTCGTTGTACGATTTTGGTTGAGGAAACCATATTAGACTTAAGGTGGTACTGCATACCAAGCGTTGACGTGAGCGGTATTCATTGTTACTCAAAGATCACCAAGGGTACCTTAGTTGTTATAACATGGAGTTGTGTAAAGCAGAGAGACATATGTGAGCATTGCAGCCGCGGAAAAACATAGATAATGAATTCAGGAAGATGTGAACTAGCCTGCCTGTTGAACAGTGTAAAGAGCCTTCGCGTTTAGCTCGTGAGATAATCGTCTTCACGGTTAAATGCTATAACTCTTGTCAACCAGAAATGTCACGTAACCTCACAGGTGACTGCTTTCAGCTATCTCGTCTTGGTCAGGACCGAGACTAAAGAAGCAAAGATCTTTACTCCAACCCCGTGTGTTACATAATCTGAACTCCAGGTTTGCGGCCTAAATGGCTAGATGCGAGATACGAACGGCTAAATTTGCGGACCGACCGAACCCGTAGATTAGCGGCGGCCTGAGACTTGGCGATCTTGGCCACGATTCAGGGTCGAATCCTAAGAACCGATATAGTTAGTGTTTGCTGCACGGAGCGCAGATCCTTACATCGAACTCAGCTTGAGCTTCAACCAAGCCTCTTTTGCACTGGATAGGTCACTTAGATGTTGTGGCATTGTTTTTAGTAGTCAGGTAACAGTCAAAGCTGTGCGGGGTCTTAGCATCGTGAGCTTCTTGACATGCTGAGCCACTCGCTATGCCTTGACTGCAACCATATGACGGTCGTTAGGCGACCATCTGCAAGGCGGGCTATCTGGAAGGCAGGTAGCTATTTGTGGGGTATACTACCCCATGGCACTAAAACCCTATAGGCGATTTGTACGGGCATCTGTTATCAGGAACGTCTTGGATATACAGTCAGTGCTGAGATCCTACACCAGGAATATGAGATCCACATGTTGGAACAAGAGAATCAGCATTTGATTCGTCGCTCGGGGTCTAACGCAGAAACCTAATTTACTTCTTCCTCAAGCGTACCAAATGTTCAGGATACTGATGTTCGAATTGGCCCTTTCGAGAAACATGTCCCGAGAAGCCCCCAAAGAAAGGTAGCAAGTAACATAGCCCCCAAGTGTAGATTTGATGTATAAAAGGCGGACCATTCTCCTCCAATTTGAAAAGCATCCAGAAAGCAACCATCAGCCTAAGATCAACAGTCACTCGCACACACCAACGAACATTTTGAAAGTGAAAGTCATTTTTCAACCAATTTCAAGCAAGTCTTTAAGCCTATCTCCATACACTCGTATTCATCTTCTAACACACCCTTAGTCAACAATGAAGTTCACCACTTTCGTTCCCTTCCTCCTTGCTCTTGGAGCCACGGCAAAGCAAGCCGCCCCCGTTGTGGGTGAGGCTGTGCTCGATCTCTCCGCAAATCGCCCAAGCCATGCCGACGTTGAACGTTCTGACGTTCAGCTCGTGGGTACCAGCTCTCGCAACCCACGCAGTCTCCGAAGCGGAAACCTCATCAAGCGTGAATGCCAGGCAGCAAACAGCTATGGCTGCTCTGCTAAGGGTTGGTGCTGGAAGGAATGTGGCAGTGGTAACTGGTGCTGGACTGCTCACAATGGTGGCAGTGGCCAGTGGATTTCGTGCGGCTCGGGCAATGACTGCAACCGTAACCAGGCTTGCAGCATCGGAGGCTGCAAGGAGTGCGGATGCAGCGGATGCACTAAATAAGTTGAGGTAGCATGTGGGGTTGCGTTTAGAGGGCGTGCATGCCGCTTATAGCAAAGAGCACCGTTGCTTGAAGGAATCAGAGATGGGGGCCAGGTTCAACTGCCGGTATAAGGGTGCTCTCTACTCTTTACGTACTAGCAATCCTATATAATACCTTCAAACCGAAATAAGAAATATCCTGTGACTGATGTTTTAGTGACATAGTGGCTGGTATTTCTACTTGTCAAGCAATTGATAGGTCCGAAGAAACCGAGGTCAAATTCCCTACTAATGAGTATCTCATGTCTTTTTTTGTTCCATCTTTTCACGCATTTCTACATAACAATAAAAATCTATATGGTCACAGCGCAATGCCTGGGCGTCACTTCATTCCCGTGATGAACTAGCGTCTTCGTAGCTAATTAGTCAATTTAGGCTTCACTGTACTGGTATTAAGCGATAATAATGACACTTGTGCGAGTACAAACATCAACCGCACGCGACGACATGCAGATTTTTGTCTTGTTCACAGCCTTTTTAGGTCATAGATTCTTATGCCCTTGTCTCAGTAAGCCCGCCCAATGTAACAAGAAGCCACAAGGCTATTTGATGCTACTACTTCAAACTACCCTGCCCCCACCCTATCTTCCACACACACTCTTCTGAGATTGCCTTAGGCTGTACAAGATTATAAGAAAACTGCGTCCTGAGAAGCTTAATATCCTTGAGAATCTGACTGCATTGCTGTCAGCCCGGATCCTACCGGCAAATCTACGAGCATTTGTAGATCTAAGAATGGCTTGAATAATATCCAAAATTCACAGCACGCACCCCTGCCCATTAGCTGTATTCAAAAATTACTTCCTTTGGCAAGTATAGTGGCTCTGATTCGGTCGGGTCCTGTTCCATTGAATCAAGGTGGATAGTGGAGCGCAATGCGGGGTAGTAGTATGCGCATTGCCATACCAAGCAATGCAGTGGGCTCCAGCATAGCAGAACTATCCGTCTCGTAGTAAGCTCTTCTACTTTTGTTTTCGAATATGAGAATGTGGTAATCTGGGCTGAAATGCTCCAGGCAACTGATTCACCCACGTGCGTGGCAGTATTTAAAAAAGCTTTGACATTGGAAGGATTTATTTAAACTTAGAACACCATTCAGTCCCCATATCTACGGATATTGGCTCTGGCGCTGAAAAAGGCTAGTCAAGTCAGAACGTATCGGTGAGTGGTTGCTACTCTCGTCGCTTGCGCCTTCAAGCGCTGCCGCAAGGCTAAAGCAGTGTCCTTGTTGCGAAGATGATCCCCTGATGTTCGAGTTCATATCTAATATGACCCATCGTCTGATGACCAAGCACCCCGATGAAGTCGAAGCCGATCTTGAGGAGTTCTTGTCAACTTTCGAAATCAATATCATGAGGATCACGAACTGTCCGCGATGTGATTCTGAGGGGCCTAAGAACTCTACAGATTTAATCGAACACGTCCCACAACACGTTCATGACTTTTCTTTGTGATCGCTTCCCTGGCATGCAGATCAAACGAATGCGCTAGAAAATTCTGCCGGCTTGTTCGACATGGGTCACGCCGTGAAGATTGTCAAAGATAAAGAGGGAAATGCATTCAAACACGACATAGCAGGATGGGCTGAACATGTAATTTCAACCTTTGATCAAAGCCAAGGTGTATTAATTTTCTACAATCACGAAGGTAAGGAGCTCATTTTGAGTGCTACTTGAGCACCCAAGGCGGCGGAATATCGGGCTTCGCTCCAGTTGCATGATTTCGACCGAAAAGTCCTCGAGGATAGAGCAAAGCCAACAATGCAGGATCGTTCCCAAGAAGATTATTTTTTACGGGTTGGAAACAACTATTTTGTGGATGAATCCAGCGGTAAGGACAGATGAATGCAGTACATGCTAGCTGAGGCTTACTGGCTTGGGATGTCAGTACCGCTTCAATACTTGCATATGGCATATATACACTAACTGTCTCATAGGGAAGCGGACTTGTCAGGTGTAGTTGAAGACAGTGAGGAAGAGCTGGATGGAGAAAACCCTGCTGAGTTATCAAGTATGGGGTCCCACACGGCCAAGATGGTGCCCGACCCTTCCGCTTCGACGCCCTCGATACCTGCTGGACCTTTGTTCTGCCTTCACTGCGGCGCGCAGTTCAAATCGAACAAAGATGGGAAAGGAAATATCACTCGATATTTTCGCCATAACCACGGAGATGTTACTCATGGTCGTTGCGAATACTGTGGTCAACTGTTTCTGCGTACTAATGCACTACTCAAACACTATCTAAGAAGGCACCAGAACTTTCCTGCTCCCAATTCGAGCCATAGTAACACACTCTACGCCGCTTCAATCCAAGGCCACAAGCAGGAAGTAATGCTTCTACTTGATGCGGGCGCTAACGTCAACGCTCAGAGTGAACAATACGGCAGCGCACTCCAAGCTGCTTCATTTGGAGGTCATGAGCAGGTAGCAAGGCTGCTACTTGATGCGGGCGCTGATGTCTACTCATCAAACGAACTGTGCACAACAGCATTCAATAACGACTTCAAAGAATCAAAGAGGGGGTATGAGATAGCAGTGGAGATGCAAAACAAGGTGCTTGGTCACGAGCTTCGCTACACGCTGGGGAGTATGTACAATTTTGCCGAAGTGCTTAGCGGCGGCAACAAGCATGAAAAGGCAGAAGAGATGTACCGAGAAGCGCTCGAAGGATACGAGAAGACACTTGCGTCAGAACACCCAAAAACGCTCAGCATCTTTGTTAGTCTTGGATCAGTACTTCAAGCACAACGCAAGTATGGAGAGGCAGAAGCAATTTACCAAAGAGCAGTTGAAGGCTTAGAGAAGGAGATTGGTCCAGAGGATACATCAACACTTAACGCAGTCAATAACTTAGGCAGGCTCTACGAGAGGTTAGACAAGGTTGAGCAAGCTGAGCAGATGTGCGAGATATCTACATGAAAGCGCAAGAGCGGGGTTTTATAAAGGCAACTACTTTTTTCAGTAACCTACACAGCCTCTATGAGGATATAGGCAAACTTAACGAAGGTGAGCAGATACGCCAGCATGCGGTAGCTACATGCAGAAAAGCCGTTCATCCTAAGAGCCTTCCTCCTTGTTTGCTAGCGCTATAATTACACGGGCTGTTGTCTCTATGAAAACAAAGCTTTTTAAAAGCGAGTCTGCACCATTGTTCAAAGACTTTCTTGAGCTATCGAAATATTTTCAACAGTATGCATAGAGTATACACAGTACGTACAATAGGGTAGCAAGCTGCCCAAACTAGATAAAGGCGACCGACCCAATCGACACAATTTCAGGGATGACCTGAACCTCACACCGCTGACGGGAGCTTCCTCAGCTCAGCACTGTTTTTTAATTCCCATCCCTATTTGTGCATGCTTTTATCAACAGCTTTGTCCAGTGGGAGTTATCACGACAAACTGAAATCAACTATGCCGGCAATGAGCAATTAAGAGTCTCGCTAGATAGCTCACTCTATGGAATAGATTCTATAGGTCAAAAGTGTGACAACGTAGCATGGTCGACAGTACAGTGAATGATGACATGGTAGCAAGAAAATGTTCTTTCAAATTGAGCAGGTTCAGTAGCATACAGACAAGCCACTGTGGGGTGTAAAGCCCAGGGCAATAAAATAGCCACTGTGACACTTGTTTGATTTGTTAAATTTGGCTAGCATCATTAGTAAAGCTTTTGTACCACATAGCATTGCTTTCATCAGCTGTATGTAGCATGTCACAGATAGTTGTAGCCCTCGACTGCATAAACCCTTTTCCTTCGAAGCCTTATGGGACTTTCATCAGTTACATGATAGTAGAAAGCCTTGCCAAGGCCAGCCATGTTGAGATGTACCAACAACTTATGCGCATTTCGTCCTAGCTGTATCCTCATGACGAATAGGTCCTGCTAACTTCATATGAACATGTTCTTAATTGTCAAGTCCTCATGCCTCGACTACGTCGTGTTCAACTGTAAGAATGAGACTTTTCTACTTTCAACGGTTGACGTGATAACCTTCATCTGGCTCACATCATTTTTAATTTTGCGTCTCTCCATCCCATGCGTAGAAAAAATGGTGCATGGAGCACAAATGTTCCAAAACAAATGCGTGAAATTTCGAGAGCACAAAAAAGAGTGTTTGAAATGGATCGAACAGCCCCTGACATGTACATAAGTACATACAAGAGGAAATGCAGTCATACGGATACACAGTGTCGGTATAAGAAAGTGGCTTACAAGTCTAATTTCCGAATGGCCGCATAGTTTTCACTAGTAGCCTTGCGCTCCACATATACTCGTGTCAGCACAGCGACATTGATAGAACGAAACTTTACTTTCAGTTGATCGACCATCAGTACAGTCAGATCCTTCTAGCGATTTTTGGACGAAGAGCATCGAGTATAGTCTTACCAAGAAAATCACAGCGCATCAGACCACGGATTTTGCAGATTTCCATACAGTTTGACCATTCACACATCGTGGACACCAGACACCGCAATTTCGGTGCCTTTACGGGCGTAAGAAATACCGTGTGAAGGGCTGCATACTTTTTTGTTTCGCTCTGTGGAAGATGTATATATATAGGGCTAAGCACGTCAAGCTTCTCTTGGTCACCATCTGGACTCGCTCCACCAGGACGATCCTCAGGCTCTAGCACTCGTTCCTTGCCCTTTCGCGGCTATCCCAAATCCAACCAGTCCAATTACAGCTCTAATAACTAATCCCATCATCAGCGATCCACTCGTTATCGACACTCCAGCCATGAAGCTCGCAAGTGTAATAGTCTTCTCTTCCTCCCTTCTGGGTATGGCTTCAGCAGGTTACCTGGTTAAGAAGGTGCCTGCAAAAGTGATACCGCAAGTAAAACCAAGGGACCCAATCTTCGGAAAACGTGGGGTAAGTGGAGATCCACAACAGCACCCAGTGCTTCTCGAATCCGAATGCTAACGATTTCCAGTGCGACAACAGCCAGTGTCCTCCACCCGGCGATCAGGGGTGTTTTACCTCAACCAGGCACACCCTCGAGTGCGGCAATGGCAACGACGAATGCTGGATTATTGTGAGAAATTTACTTTTTGCACTAATGATGCACAGATGCTAATAAAGGCTTAGCCACGTGATTGTCCCTCATTGTGCAAATGCCTATATTATAACCCTGAGAACGACTTACTGGATTCTTGTGCTCGTGTAAGTGGCATTTCTATTCCCAGTTTATTCTCTCCCCGAATCAATACTAACTTCTCCTGACAGGGTGTCCCAGGCACAGATAGTTTTGAATGCTGGTGTATTTTTGACTGCGCCCCTCTTGGTCATAAAACAGGAAACGGTCTATGCACGGCTGATGAAGATATATGCAAGAGGCCATAGACTAAGCCATTGTACCGCAAAGACGGGTAGCCTATAGTCATATGGCGGATAGTTAATGTTAGTAGCTAATGCATTGATTGTTTCCAGCTAATACTGTATGTGGTCAGTACGTACAATAGTTTAGCCAATATAGCACTATTAGCTCTATTAAAATATATACTTATTATCTTTAATATATGACATCTCTACTACTATTACAAGTAACAAGGAAGATTCTCTTCTTAACCAAGAATAGAAGGTAGAGAGCCTACAGATAATGTTACACGGGGTTCTGATCTATACTTCTCTGAGGCTATTAACTATATGCTTGCTTGGTACCGCGAAACTATGGTGCTGAAACGTGTTGTGTAGTAAATTACACGTAGTCGGGGTAATTAGTACGCATTGGAAGATTGTGAGAAGCTGGGAGTACAGGAAAGTACACGTATACTGAGTCCGTCAACCATCGTGACCTGTTATGCATATTCCGTGGTTCAATATCAGTATTTGTGATAAAGGAGAGAGAAAATTTGTAGAGGCTCGTTTATTGAATTGTTGCTACAGATGAAAAGTGGGTAGTTGCCCGTATGTATACTACTGCCTGGCCGGCCCTGCGCTAACACCAACCAGCATGAGTCCCTTTCCTGCTTCTGCTTAATAATGTAAGCAGTAGTTATTCAAATGTCGCTAATATACACTGTGTTCCTTAAAGTTGCTCCACACTTCTCTTTACTGTTCCCTGCACAATTAACGTTGCATTCTGAATCAGAAACCTTGGTGACTGGAAATCTAAATTTATTACCACACAAGCAGTGCGTTCCATACTGCATTGCAGCGTATTTGCTTCCACGACATAACCTCTTGCAGTTGTCGACTGTAAGATGTGTATCCAAAGAGAACCCATTGCCACCTATCGCCCGAGATAAATTGTCGATGTAGCACCCATGGTATGTCCAGGTTGGAGGCTGGTGCAGTTTCAGCTGGGTACGAAGCTCATGCTGTTTTTCCAACAACTCCTTCTCGCGTTGTATGTGCGTCTGCGTTGCTTCGTTTAACTGGGCTGCGCATTGTTCCCTTTCCTCTTCGATTTCTGTGTTCAGTTGCTGCTGGCGCTTGAGACACCGATCTCTATCCGCTTGACAGGTCCCATCGGAAGGGATGGTGGAAGCATCGAGAGAAAGAGTCTGGCTAAACACGATGCCATTCGTACACGTACATGTACATTGAGATTGCTTGGATGGATCGACACATTCGATGGAGGGTTCGGCACTTAATTAGATCGATGAGCTTCGCTGTATGCTTGAACAAAATCTAACAATTCTCACCATTCTCGCATTTGTACGAGTTGCCAGACATATTGAGCGAGCCTAGGGTTTGCTAAATAGTACCCATTGCCTGCTGAGTATTGTAGCGATAGACATCTGCGCATAGCGTAGAGACGAAGATGATGCTTGAAACTCTCATGGTGATTGGTGAGAAGATGGCTGGACTATAGAAATAGATAGACAGATAGATGTATGACTTGATGAATTTTATAGCTGCCATGTGCATCGCCTTCTTAAATAGTTATCTTGACCGTCTGTATCCTCTTATTGCAGCCTATCAATCGAATAGTTGGGTTGGATTATACTTTTTTGGTAAATAAGCATGTTTCCAGCCGGACAAAACAAATATAGTTATAAGCTGATACTGGGCACGGATTCATACTATCGTAAGGTGGCAAAGCTTTGTGCTCCATTGAAGGTTCTCTCTAACAAATCTAGGACAGCAATGCACACGAGGCCAATTGCTGATACTGTTTGGAGTACATTGATGACGGGGTGTAACAGCGAATTTCTGGTGGTGATGAAGGCTCTGTTGACTTTTCGAGGCATTGGGCCTCCTTTGTTTTTTCTATATGATGAAAGCGCTTCACAATCTTTTTGCATCATTAGTGGAATACGCATGCTGTTTTTAGTCATTACTAAACCCAATGTCTCTGATATCACTAAATGCAGTTTCTTTTAATTATCGTAGTTGCATTGTAATTGACGGTCGTGTGATAGTTGTGATCGAGTGGGGTTTTGCGTTTTCGGACACTCGCCCAAAACAAAGTACATGGCCAATAGTAAGCCCATGTCAATTCTGGGCAATGCCCATGCTTCTTCATGTATGATTCACCGACTCTGAGGCATTTCCTTTGAAGAAATAATCATTCTCGTGATGCAGATGCAGGATCCGGGATGGATCGCCGCTGACTTCGCCAATGCTGCCTTTGATGTACATGGTTTTGTTTATTGGCTCTGCGGTATTACATGTAAAGCAATCTAACTCCTCAACAACCTCCTCTAAGGCGGGTGAATGATGTACATACGTAAAAGCAAGTACGGCGTAAAAGAGCAAGTATAAAGTATCGCTTCATAACCTCACGTGACTATCCATCCTTTAACTTATCCTGCTCAATCATCCCAGTTGGCTTTACTTATCTCAACCATCTTACTCTAAGCTATTTAGAAAATATGAAGACTTCATATGCCGCCATTGTCTCTACGCTCTGCGTTGCAGCCTATTCCTTCAACCCCCAGCAAGTCCTTGGCTCAGTCGATGTTCTTAGGACTTCATATGAATGCAACAACAGTCCGCAATCTCCAATGAAAATCTAATCAAGAATTCCAAGCAAAGCTAGCATCAAATGCAGGTGGCACGCCTACGATCGAGTGTACCGATTCCTCAACACCCCCAACCTGCGCCTGCGCTTGTTCAAATGGCATCACTTTCAACTAGAATCTCTCTTTGGGTTCTTCAACTACTCCACCTATGCCTTCTGATCATGCCTGCCAAGCAGACAAAGCCAGTTGCCTTCAGCGCGAGCAAGATTGCTTGAAAAGAGAGCAGGAGCTTTCTGCAGAATTGAGTCAAGTGCAACTTGGCTATTGGAAGTACTTGGGTTGCTTTACGGATGCCATCCCCAGGGTGCTAAATCGCAAGACAGAAAACCATGCCCAGATGACACGTGAGAGATGTGTGGCATTCTTCGATGGCTACAAATTTTATGGTGTCCAGTATTCTACTCACTGTTTCTGTGGAGATAGCTTTGAAAACCCGAGTAAAAGTACTCCTGAATCGGAATGCAACGGAAAGTGTGGCGGGAGCGGCGATATGTGTGGAGCCTACGCTAGAAGCAGTGTTTTCGTAAAACTGCCTTAGATGGGTTTTGATATATTGGAAGGCTGGACACTCACAAATGGATATGATAATTAGAAGGATAGTTAGCGGTACTCGCATCTTCTCCATCATCTTCGGGTCGCATGTTCGCTCGTGAACGCTTCTCCCAAAGCTGCCACTGATGAATAGGTGATTCCGCCGTAGTAGCCCATATCTTCGTGATTTCTCATGGAAAAACATAGGATAGCGGTCATAGACGTGGTCGAAATCTATCCGTTTGCGTACAGAGCTGGGTATGAGACTTTTAGGTCCTATTCAATTACTGAGTAATCGTATTATGGTGAATCTGTTGCGCTATGAAAAAGACACCGGATCCGCTTCTTTCTAATCCATCAAGAGGCAAACACGTGTCAGTCTTCAGCATATAGCCATTTCCCATATCCTAGCTCTTAGAGTCGGTGAGGGTTACATAACGTGGCTTAACCCCAATCCTACCCTACCTATACCGCTACCCGAGGTCCGTGTAACCACTACCATTAACCATTTGCTAGCTTAGATTAAATGGAGTTGGTTCTTTCTAAACCGGCATGCCTATTGAGTTGTTATGCACTCCATGGTTCACACGACCACCGATCTTAGAAAAACAGGTATTTTATTACGTAGAATACTCGCCATCTCAAGTCCACTGTCATTCAAATGTTCGGAACCAGAACCGAAAAAAAGGAAATCATCATCATCATCATTTGATACGGATGTCTCAAAATGTCCGTAGCATCATAGGTAATATACAATTCACTTCACATATCAACCCAACCAGTATCAACGGAGAAGCGATACGTTTGCTCAAAGACAACGCAAAGTACCACCGTTATACTTCCAGAGCTGCTCTAGACACACAGAAGCAGCAACATACTTCCAGCTCTGGAGACTACGATAGTTCTCCCAACCCTTTACCTCCAACGCCACCATGAAACACGCAATAGATCGCGGCAACGCCTCAGCAGCATTTTCCTCACTATCCCAGTCCTTGTCGCCATGGACGATGGTTTTGATTATGCTACTGACATCGCGATTGAAACGTTCCTGGACCTCGAGATTGGCTTCGCGGATGTAGCGGGAGGGTGCGCGCTCCTTCTTACTGAGAATATTGCCGCTAAAGACTTCCAGTTCGGTAAGAGGCTGGCCGCGCGTGGGACGCAGCGTATCCATAATCTCGAGCATGTTTTCCTCGTACGTCTCGCGCAGCTGCTCTGCAAAGTCCCAGTGGTGCTCCCACTGTAAGCCCTGTGTCTCGCGAATGATGTAGCGCTTGAGTTTGTCGACCAGCGACTCTTTGCCCCAGCGCTGCCGGAAGATTTCGTAGTCACTCTTCATCTTGTCAAAGAACTTCTTTTCGTCAATGGCGCGGTACAGGATTCCTAGGATCTTGTCACTGCGGTAGTAACGAATTCTCCCTTTGTCGGCGTCAAGCACACTGATGCTGTCAGGGTCATCAATGTCGTCTTCTTCAAGTTCTGCTAGCTCTGCTGCACCCAGCTCGTTGATGACCAAGTGGGATCCCGGCGCCATGAAATCAGGCCGGAAATGATCGATTCCCTTGGGTATTCGCGACATGTCTGCCGGCACACCCGTCTTACTAAAGTCAACAGCATCAGAAGCAAGCTTAGCGAGGGTTAGGCAATCTGGGTGGCGCGTTCCGTTAGGCTTTACATCGGCTCGAATCTTGTGCTTGTTGGAAATTTGGCCCAGGCGATCCATTTTCATGTACTCGATGAAGAAACCAACAATATCGTTGGCTTCCACTGGACGACCCAAATCCTTGGCAGGTGCTTTGTCATATTCTGCTGGCTCCACAGTGTAGGCAGGGATGAGCCTCTGGTCGTATATGATGTGAAACAGGTCGCCATCAAGATCGCCTCCGCTCAATTGTGATGGCAGATCGCGCGGACCCTGTTGTGAGAATACAATACAGTTGTGAAGAGCGCGGAGGGGCGAGTCGTCTGTGACATCTACTGCATCCACTAGTTGGATGTCACCAGGATGCAGTGCTGGAGCTCTGGTTACAATAATCTGGTTTCCAACAAGGATACTCCTCTTCAGCTTGCCGGTCTTGTCATGGTCCTGTGTTGCAATATAGACCTCACCATATTTAAGGGTATTCGTCTCGTCCATAACGCCGTACAAAAGGTAGCCTTTCTCGATCGGGATTCGAGCGCGGTACTTCAGGCTTCTTAGTGACGACATAGCTGCTACCTCTACAATGTCGGTCAAGAATCGGTCTGCATGGAAAGGCAAGCCTATGCGATGCATCATTTCAAACAACTGTGGTACCTTGGCAAAGATGCAGGAGTGTGAGTATGCTGTAAAGTGTCAACGCCAATTCTCATGATGTAAAACCTAACAAGAAACCTTGTCAGGCTGTAAACGACACTTACCCAGAAAGCTAGCAGCATTCAGTGGATGCTCAGTAATAAGTTTCAATGTGTTGACAGCCTCATCCTGTACATGCAGAAAATTCTCCGCTGGAACACCCAGGTCTTCCAGTATTTTTATGAACTGATGGTTGAGGAATACTGAAAGTGGTTTGTAGGCAGCTCCACAAAGCTCCAGGTCTCTCCAGGTTTCTTTGGCAATGTACTTTGTCATGCTTTTGCGAACATGTAGCTGTTGGTCAGACAAGGATGCATCGAGTGATAGGACCCCTTTGGCACCTCGGTATCTGATCTGAAGAACGGTTGGCCTCTGCTGCCTTCGCTCTGGTGGGAGAGCGCGCCATACCGTACGGAGAAGCTCCAGTGATATTGTTCCACAGCCATCACTAAACGTGCGACTGTTTCTCTCAACGTCGTCCTTGACCTCGGTAACATAGGCAGTTTCTGGAACCGGAACTGAGAATATCGTGTCAGAAAAGGCTTGACCGATTCTGGCGGCACACTTGGCGCTGCAATGAATATGCGAAAAGTCTCCAAGGTCTTGTATAACGTTTCGGGCGCGGACCAGGGATCCGTCCATCTCAAAAGGTGCCATGAACCAAGCTTGATGATTACGCAGTGAAGCATGGGAAAATCCGAGGAATTGAAAGGTCCGTCCTGCAACTGAAATACCATTCTGAAGTACATTGCGGAAACGCTCATAGACTTGATTCTGGGACGCACGTGAGTCATGGAACACGGAGAGTCCATCTTCATCGGCGAAGAAGACCCTCATAAAGTACTCGGTTCGTGTACTGTATTTTCGAAGGACACGATTGGATACGTCCCAGTCTGGGCCCCGAAGTAGTATACCTAGATGTAGCATGAGTGAAATGAAACTATGCACATGTCCAAACACTTCCATACCTGTTGGTGTTACGGTGGCTTTGTAAGTCAAAGCAAGATGATGGTGCTTCTTTTGCTTGCCATTCAAATCTCTGGACGCTAGTTCCATATGTTTGCAATCTTCAACATTATCTTGTGTAAGTTCAACGAACTTCCTCACCTTGAACGTCTCTGCGGAAACGTCTGGGGCTGGTGTAGGCACCTGTTGTCCTAGCCGCCTTACTGCAGTTGCAGTCGCCTCAGGGCCATACTGCTTTGCGATTCGCTGGATATGCGGTATGAGATTGATCATCGCCGCTGGAGTAATAGTACCCTCTAATACGAGCGCGGCAAGCTGATAGCGGACCGCAAAGTTGAAGTCGGGCGGGATGGAGGGGGTGTAGGCGGAAAGCTTGCTATCAACAACGGCAAGTTCATCTTCAATCCTATGACTGCTTTTGTTGAGAATCATGGTTTGCCAACAATACTCTTCAGGTACTGAGTGGTCCTTGACGAAGTTCCAAGCATTCTGAGCACTCCGCGTATCAGAAAAGATAATCTGATATACCATACACAACGCTGAGTTCTTGGTGTTGTTGGCATTAAGTGCGCAGAGTCTCTCCAGTCTATTTGTCTTTTGTTTTGATGTCAAGTTGAGCGCTGCCAAACCTGCGACCAAAATTTGCGCCTGAGGTGTTTCTTTGCCAGCATAGAGATGCAGATCGTCAGTAGACTCAATTCTATAGAACTTTGGAGGAGACTTTAGGGTAAACGTGATTGTCCCATTCCTTCCTTGACTTTCGAAGCCAAAAGATGGTACGACGTGTTCGATGATTGCATAGGGTATATCAATCCGGCAATGCCAATTGTAAGACTCGAGCGTACTCTCCTGTAGATACACCTTTTTCCATTTTGTTAGCAGGCTACAATTAGAACCTGAGAAAATGAGACTTGTAAGGCGACTAGTACCAAACTGGCACCTGCAACTCATTTCTTCCGTCGTCTTGAACGTATGGGTCAAGAAACTTACTACTAAAGAGGACTTCCCAAACGTGACGTAACCTTGCCTCTTGTCTTTGTACTTTTCTTGAAATGAAAGCGTCCCTAAGGTGGTGTGATCCCACACACCTGTCATGAGAGCCGAGAAAGGAAGTGTTGATCGACCGGCTTGCGAAGCCTGGGCTGTCGGCGCTTGACTGCCCATTTTTGACCTCATGGCTGCATCCTTCTCCTGTAGCGATCTAATTTTGAGTGGATCAGGTTGTCCAGGCTTGTTGTTTTTGCAGAACGTGAGTGCCTGGCCCTGGAAGACCAGGGAATGCAGAGGAACCTGTCTGCCGCGACTGCCGTAGTACTGGAGGAATCTGTTGCCATTGCTTGTACTTGGGACTGTGAGTATCGCAAATGGTTGTCCTTTGTGACTATTGTGTTTTCTGATATCGAATGCAAGTATATCAAGTTTGAGCAGTTTGTCTTTTAGGAAACGCTGCAGCTCGATGTGATTTGCATCTTTGGGCACCTAGCAGCGCGCGATCAGTTTGTGTTTCGGAACACATGTGCTTGCCTCCCTAACCTGCTGCTGCAAGTCACTACAGCAGACTGCCTTAGGGGAGGGGACTTACGCTCGGAATGTAGATATCCATGACGGACAAAATGGTGCGGCTTCAGCCTTGGTTCGCGCAACGACAGAGCAAGACTCGTTTTCTATGCGCGTGCGGAGCTATGTGTAAACAGGAAAGAAGCTAAAGTCGAGCTTAACAGATATGCCTCGTTGTAGGTGAGTGTGATTACAAAGTGGGGACTAGCGTTGAATGCGCGGTCTCACGTGCGGGGTTTGACTGTCACTGTGTTGGTGAAGTGAGGATACCCTGCAACAGCAAGGTCTATAATCGCCAGAATCAGCTTTCACTGCCGGGACAACGCGCCGTTGTTATTGTTATTCCAAGACAACCGCTGTGTTGCCTAGTTTCGGTCGTCAGCCACGACAGCAGTAGTATGCAGGAGGCACAGTGAAGCATGTAAAGAGCCACAGCCAATCACTACTAACCGCTTTAACGCATGGCCAAGGCAAGGGCGTGGCACGGTCAAGACCGATTTAGATATGCAGGTTGCTGAACGGGCAGAGAGTAAATCAAAGCCCGCGCAGTCTGTCGGTTTGGAGACACCAAGACTTATTGAGCCTGGGCGCGCAGAGAGGGTGAAATAATACAGGCTAGTTATTGTTAAAATAGGCCAGGAAAGTTTTCACACGAACTTCACGCAACATCACAAACAAGAGTTTCTGTTTCTTGTTCAGTGGCAAGGATAACCTGGTTCAAATCTTTGCGGGATTGTACAGCTTATGTCTCGTCTTACACTATGGACGGTGTTATTTCTTGTCCCCTTCCTTTCCCGGGGCCTCCCTTCTCTCCAGTATTTTATCCACCAGGCCAAAGTCAACCGCCTCTTGCGCATCCATGAAGTAGTCACGCTCCATGTACTTCTCGATCTCTTCGAGCGTCCTCTTTTTGGTGATATGGTTTTGGTAGATTCTGTTCAGCTTGTCTCGTATCCTTAGAATCTCCTTTGCATGGTCAGCGATGTCGCTGGCCTTGCCACGGTAACCACCGCTCGGCTGGTGTATCATGACGCGAGCATGTGGAAGTATATAGCGTTGTCCTTCAGCACCACCAGCAAGAAGGAGTGAACCCATGGATGCTGCAATGCCCATGCATATCGTGGTCACTGGACACCTGATATAGTTCATTGTATCGTAAATGGCCAGGCCGGCGCTAACACTACCACCGGGACTGTTGATGTACATAGATATAGGCTTCTCAGGGTTATCGGCTTCGAGGAAGAGAAGCTGTGCCACAGCATTCGCGGACATGTAGTCGTCTACTTCGCCATTCAGACAGATGATACGTTCTTGGAGAAGACGCGAGAAGATGTCAGAGGTTTTCCAGCCTCCACCCTAGGAAGTCAGACATGGTTTTGGAGACAAGGCGAATCGGAGCTCACAGTGGTCTCTGTCACGTAGGGTATCGGGAGTGATATCGCGCGTGGTGTTTCTTGCTCAGGCTGTTGCGTGTTCCATTGTGGCTGAAAGCCAAACTGGCTCGACATGGATCGAATCCCATTCCTGTAAAGGCCTCGCAGCGCAGATGGCCTTGTAATCCGTTGTAATACTGCAGCCATGATTTGTGTTGTGGAGATCGTTGGTGCTTTCCCCGCAAGAAAGCTATGGGGGCATGCCAAGCCGGAGGTCCGATGCCATCATGTCGCGCCTCAACCAACGTCCTATCAACCTCACCTTGTTTCTTCTTCTTGCCCAATGCTAGGCAGATGGATCCTTCGCCCAGGGTCATACTTGAGCCTAGCCGGACGGCATCCTAATGCCCGGTGCTGCGCAAGCTCCGCCCACATTCCTGGTCACATTTTGAGAGGTAATGACCTCGGCCCCACGCGCAAAGATGATTACCAGACTGTCCGCGTCCGCAAGGACAAGCAGGCAAAGGATCTTCCATTGCCTCCGTTGCTAGATCCTCTGGTCCTGGAACAAAGGTCCCGCTTCGAGCAGAGAAAGGAAAGACCAAATGTAGCCAACTTCACGCCATTCCAGAAGAGACTGTGGGAGAACCCATTTGGTACAAAACACCATGACATTTCTCGCCAAGGACTGCTTACTGACCACTGTACAGCCCATGCCTTAGCATCACCTGTGCGTCAATGTCGCTCAACGCAGATCTCGCTTCCTGTCGCTTTTCTGACGTCTCTCCACCCACGCCCTCACCCAACCACCCAAGATCCATGGCTTCTTCCCGTCTCACTAACAACCGACACTAAACATCTTGGCCCGCCATATCGCTTCTTGGGAAGACATCTAGTTGCAGCACATCTAGGCAAGAACAAATCATGGCGAAAGGTACTAAACTCACGCATGAACGAAAAGCTCGGTGCGCACAACCTGAAGAACATGGTCTGGAGAGAAGATATGGCCGACTTCATACTGGAAATGATGCGCAAGAGACTTGCCGACGGCTTAACCTGGTACTTTGGATTTAGGGGTCGCTTAATCCCTGTTCAAAGTCCCCGGACTGAAGACCTAGAGGACGTCGAGGATGTGTCCTGTGTGCTTATTTTTCGTTCGCTGCGCACGCGCGCCAACGATTTAGAAATTCGTTCAGAAGAGAACAAAACAGAGTTAGAGAAGTGGTCAAGCTATTTTGCCAAGAACTTTGCGTCGAAACTTGATCCTCATGCCGCTCCAGGAGTCACGCACACATCGCCACACTGGTACCCGGGGCCTTTAGTGCCTCGCATGCAACCTCGCCTACACTTTCCTGAGCTCGAGTTTCAGATTACCACATGGAGAGGAAAAAAGGTGGCAGTCTACAGCTTAACAGATTTGCTGGGAGAAGAACATGCGCGGGTGTTGGTGGAAGGTAGCAAGTACGCAAACGAAAAATGTGTCGTTCTGAAAAGGGGAAGACATAGCATACCAATCCAGATACTTCTTATGCAGGCCCAAGCTTATGTTGCTCGGCCAGGACCATGAGTACGATTCAATTGCAAGTTTTAGAACCAAGTCCACCGCCAGCTTACTCTTCACTTTGGTGGATTACTTGCCAGACACCTCGACCATTCTCTTTTCCCAATCGGGTTTTGTCAAGCCAAAAAGATGCATATCCATTACCTTGCCATTCTTCTGGCAATGACCCTTCATCACGCCTTCAGGCGCGTAGCCAGACTTTTCAAAGCACCGCATGCTTCCGAAATTGCCCGAAAAGACATAACCCCATATCCTCGTCAGGCGCTGTCCATTCCTATCCCAGTTTTCAAACACCCATTTCGTGAATCCCTGCAACGCCTCTGGCATGTAGCCTTTTCCCCAGTGCGCTTGGGCAATCCAGTAACCAACTTCGCCAGTGTGAGCATTGACATCACTACCAGGCTTGATGCCGAGTCCTCCAATTACAACGTCCGGTGCCGAGCGCTCGCATACAACAAAAGCCTCTTGGTATGGAAGTGCATTGTTCATGTTGATCCATGCCTCGGCGCTGGATATTGTGTAGGGGCTCGGAAAGCCGAGAGACATGTACTGTGAGACGAGTAGGTCGTTGGCGTGTAAAGCCATGGATGGGGCGTCTGGCAGGTACATTGGACGGATTATCAGACGTTCCGTTATTACGATTGGGGTAGGATATGCTGTGCCCTCAGATGCAATTGAGCTTTCCAATGAAGTTTGCATCGTGGTGGGGTGCGTTGTGGTTGGTTGATCGGCCATCTTGACCAAAGTTTTATCGCCGAACAAATGGGAAACCAAGGGGCCTGGCTACAGCAGATGGGAATATATAGAGACAGCTTTGCAAGGATGGCATCTGAGTCAGTGTTTTGACTCAACATATTATACAGGCCGTTCCTTTCGAGTCTGACCAAGCAGCTCAAGGCTGATGCACCTTCCCAGACAGGACATCATACTATGACTCGAAGTATCAGGCAACCAAAAAAAGCCACAGCCATTCACAGCATGAACACGATATGCAGAAGCCGATATCTCAAAACTATCCAGCCTAGCTCTACATTCCTTCAACACGAGATAGCAGCGTGCCTTTCAACGAATTGCAAACTAGCCCGACACGTGAAGGAGGGGGAGGGGGAGGAGAGTGACGTCGGGTGGGCATGGTACTTGCGCGCCACGCTAAAACGCGTCTGCGTACCGTCGCGTTGGCGGTTCACAACGCAGACGGAATCCCAATTGCTCCTCCACAGCGCAGAAATGTCGTCTTTTGCAGCAAAGTCAGTATTTGGAATTGAGTATAGCGTTTCTAAGCTAATGAATACCCAGGAAAGTAGTCCGGACATATTCGCGCCAAAACAAACGGTCACTCTACGACGAACCACCCACCAAACGAAGACGCGTCGAAACTGCAGTCGAGAGTATTCAGGCCGAGGTGCTGATCCCTCTTCCCGTTGTTCCCGCCAAAGAGAATCCCTCGCCCTTGGATGAGAAATTTTCATCTCCGCCGTCAAGTCCAAAAGAGCCTCCTGCCATCTTCTCAGACGCATTAGCTCGGTCTAGTCCACCATCCTCACCAACACCGCGCAGCTCTCCCCCGCCGCTCCAGAAACGGCGGCCTGTATTTTCTATATTCAAGAAGCAATCTAAAGCTACCATAACTATCAACGAGCCGCTTATAGAACGAGATCAAAATGCACAAAGCCCGCCGAAGCCACCAAAAAAGAAGCACATGGTGCAGATGCAACTAGATTTGGCCTCGGAGACACGGAAAACATGCAAGACGTGTGGAATGCAATACATACCGTCCAACCTAGAGGATGCAGCATTGCACAAAAAGTTCCATGCAATAAACTTCGGGGGTATGGACTTCACAAAGGCGCTCATTCAGCGTTTGAAGAAAAATGAAATATGGAATGGGAGTGACGGGAGCTTCATCGCAGTGGTTGGGCGCAAAGATGCGCTTTTGTTGCGGAGGCGGGCGAGCGATGTACTGAAGATAGTGAATACTGAACTTGCAGCCGTTTCCATATCCGACGAAGAGCTCTGGAGCCAGAAGTGTCAGCCAGTCAATACCGATACTGTGATTGGAGAAACAGTATCCACCGAGGCCGAGAAGCCAGCGACAGACAAGCTCAAGTCCGCCCTTGTCGATCGATTCAAAGTCTATCTGTACATCCGGGGTAGCAAGTGCGTGGGGGCTTGCTTAGCAGAACGAATCTGGGAAGCATTCCAAGCCCTTGGCCCAGACGCTGCGTCTGAGCAATCTTGCAAGCTCCCTGACACGACTCAAAGTTCATCTATTTCAATCAGCAATGAATCCGATCCAGCCATCCTAGGTATATCGCGCATATGGACGTCAAATCAGCATCGGAAAAAGGGCATTGCGACAAGATTGCTTGACTGTGCAAGAGCAAATTTCTTATATGGAATGAGGATTGAAAAGGCCAAGGTTGCGTTCAGCCAGCCGACCGAGAGTGGAGGAAACCTTGCGCGCAAATGGTACGGCAGCCAAGCAGGATGGCATGTGTACATTGATTAACCAGTATGTCATACGTAGCGAGCGGAGGGTGTAGTGTACCAGAAATTATATTTACACAGGATGTATGACGTTGCATAGCCGACGCTACAGTCGTGGCTGCTAGTACATATATGACATTGACAGCACACAATGAAGCTGATACCACACGTTGGCAAACAACTGTTCTCCGGTGCAAGCTTTGCACATGTACGTACATGTGCAGGGCCTGCCCGCGATATCCGAGCCGCCTGTTTGCTGGCTGGCAGGCGCAAATGGCGTACATGACAGGGTGAGATGCGATGGTGGGGGTTGTTCGTTGTCCCGCCAGATCGACGCGTGCATGTCGGCCATGATCGACTTGCTGGCCCGACCACCAGCAGGGGCATCTCTTCCAGGCTGCCTTACACTTACCGCCTCCTGCGAGTCTTTTCCATGTACATAGCATAATGAATTGATTTTAGCCCCAGCATGTCGTCCGGGAACCCCTTTCGCGCCTCGCAAGCGTTTCCTCGGCCCGCGCCCGTACCGCAGACTTCCTTTATCAACACGGATAGCAGCGTGCTCGAGGCTCGCCGGGGAGACAGCGACTATGGTATTCCCTTGCCTTGCCGTTCTGCTTCTGCTGGCATTGAAGGAGTAATTGTCTTACAGTACTCGAAGATGCCGCCGCGCCTACAAAGACGAAGAAGTCTGTACGCATAGTCTCTCCCACTACCACCATCCCGCCGCCGCCCAACTTCGACGACGACAACAATGTCACGCTCAACGAACTCATGGCCCGGCGAGCAAGCCATGGAGGTCGCCCTGCGAGCCCGCCGCCTCCGGTGAACCCCGCCGGTTTTGCCAACCACTCCATCACAGCTGGCGAAGCGAATGCGCAGGTGATTGGGAAAGATGCGCTGGTAACAGCGGGCGCATTGCCCAGTACCAGAACATACTTGAGCGGATCACAAGGAGCGTTTGCTCCAGGCAATGCACCTGCGAACCCGTTCTCAAAAACGCTGGCATCGTTGGAACCGCAGCTGGGCGAGGGCGGCACGGAAGAACTGACGAATGCGCAAAGGCCAAAGCCAGGCAACAACAGAGCTTCGCTGGATGTGGAGAGCTTCAAGAATCTGCTCATGACTGGAGTGCCTACTCCGCGCGCTTCCGGCCAGTCTGCGCGACCTGGAAGCGCTTCATACTCGACTAGCAGTGCGCAATTTGAAAGCAGCAGCACAGACAGCTCTTCAGTATCGCGGCAGTCGATATCAGAGCATCCACAAGAGATACACGCCGAGTCATCGCGAACTTCAGATGAAGTAGCAGACGAAGATGAGGACGAGGGCGTGGGGATGGTGCCCGAAATGAAAAAGAGCAAGAAGCAACCCCCACCTGCGCCCAAGCATCGTCATGGCAAGCTCGTCGCACCGAGACAGCCACAGACAGTTCCATTTGACCAATTTGAAGCAACTGAGCCTGTAGCGCCAGCAAGCATTAGCCGGACAAGCAGCTCAGATGCGAGTAAGCCACTTCCGTCGTCTCCGATGGCCCAGCAGCAGCAGTCGCCGCAGCAATCACGGCCGACACCACCAAAACCAAGCGACGCTCCCAAATCTGCGGAAGATCCGGCGAAGCCAAAAAAGACCCCTCCACCTGTACCAATAGCTCGGAGACATAGTCAGTTGAAGACGACAACTCCGGGAAACCGGTCGCGCAGCAGTTCAAACCTCACAGTATCCTCACAACACTCTATCGAAGCTCCGCAAACCCCGACTCTGACCTACCATGACCCAATGTCGAGCGCAAAGTCACCACCACCTCCTCCCCCACCCTCCCGATACGGCGCGCGACTCGCGAACCTAGGCGCCTCAAGCACGAACTCTTCCAGCACAGAGCTAGCACAATCCTCGAGCTCAGCCCGAATACCGCGCTCTATCCCCGATCCCCCCTCTCCCCGCCGAAACGCTCTAGACTCGGAAGCCCCATCACGAGCCCCGAGCATGCACCGCACATCCTCCGTCTCCTCAACCCGCAACGCCCAGCGCAACGTGTCAGGCGGAAGCACAGGCAGCACCATGCCTCCGCCACCTCCCCCACGGCGCCGCCAGTCCAACCGCTCAAGCCTCGACCAACAACGCCCATACCCGTATTCCTCCACCTCCCCTACGGAAAGCCGCCGCACCAGCACTGAACACCGGCGCACCAGCGTGGCCAGCGAGAGCTCGCTACGCCGCGCGTACGCGCCTGTGGATGAAAAGGGAGAGAACGAGCATGCGTTGTATTCGCCTGTTGACGAGAAAGAGCGGGTGCTGGGGGTTGATGAGAGTGCCAATGCGGGCACTGAGAAGGGCGAGGAATTAAGGAGTAATTCGAGTAATATCCTTGATGACATGGAAAAGTTTCAGCGCGAGATTGATGAGTTGAGGACGAGGTATAAGTAGTTGAGGATATGTATCTTGGGGGTTGTATTGGTAGAGGGTGAAGTTGAGGGAGGGCGAGGTTGCGTTCAACACTCGCTCGTGCGCTCCCTTGTTTCCTGGCTCTCTGTTTTGAGACAATGGGAGATGCGGTGTCTGAGCTATGGGGATGAGGAGTAAGAGTATATTACGATATGCGGGGGGCGGACGAGGTGGAAATGTACAATTATACCATATCATGCTCGGGCTGTTTTGTTTCGTTTCTTTGGTGCGAGTTATGGGCGTAAAGCATCTTGAAACTGTTTGTGCATTTAATTTTTTTTTTCGCATTGCCTTGAACTTTTGTCGAGTCTAGTTGTTTCGTCCAACGGGACCATAGAAGAAGAGAATAGCAAAGGGAAATTCCTAGACTAACTTGCATGCTTGCATGTTTTCCAAAGAGATGAAGAAGAAGCTACTAAATCTGCGATCACGTATAGCGAAGTAGGTAGGTTTAAAGGTCCATTGCAAAGAACAAGAAAACAGACAATGACATGGTCAAGTTTTTGTATTAGTTTCGTCGGAAGCTACATATATATTCCGTAGTGGAATGGGCTACCAGACGAATAATTAATTACCTCATCTCCCCCTCAGAAACCACCCATTACATTAAGTGTGAAGTCGTGAATGTGGGGCATTGGTAGTCGTAAAAAGCGCGCGGTTCACGACGGATACTAGCCTGCCGAAGAAAACCGCCGCATCATTGTCATAGCCGGCCACTCCGAGCTCGAATGTTAACATGAAGGCATAAGAGTCGTTTGTTTATTCATCTTCTCTCGATCCGAAATCGAACTTGGTTTCATATATGCACAAAGTCGTGTTAGACGACGGCAACTAGGGCTGCAAAGCCAATAGCGAAGAGGGAGCCCAGACCAGTCAAGGGCGCGACAACAGCAGCTGCATTCGTAGTCACCTCTGGGAGAGCAGGACTCGAGGCTGGTGGTACTTGGACGGTTGAAGAGGCAGACGGCACAACGGTGGACGGCGCGACGACGACAGGTACAGTAGTAACACCAGAGGGGACGGGAGAACTCTCAAGTGGCGCTGACGGAGCAATACTTGGAGTCGGGCCAGAGGGTGCAGCAGTCTCTGAAGTAGGAATAGGCTCATGGGGCGTTGCAGCGCTAGTGATACTGACAACGCTGCTCACGCTAGGCACTACGACCGATTCAGCAGGAGGAGGAGGTGCATACGAGCTCGAAGGCGTTGGTGGCGGTCCAGGCCGGGTAATAGAGTGCGTGACGGTGATGGTGATGGTTGTGGGTGCTGGACAGGTAGCTTTGGGAGGAATTATGTTAGCTTGTGGTGCGGTGATTGATAGTACTAGTAGATGTTGTTGTTGTTTTTTGTTGACAAAGAAAGGTACTTACTCTCGTGAGCGACGACACCCAGCGCAAGCGCAGCAACCGCGAGTATCTTGGAGCCAAACATGATGACGGCGATAGAGCTGATCGGGATATTGAAATTAAGGATTAATTAGCTTTGAAATTGAAGGTATGCTCGCGTTGAATTGATGCAGCGGCAGCGATAACTTCCGTGGTTGTTGTGAAGAAAGCAAAGCAATCGAGGTGAGCGGGGACAGAAGTATTGTTTATGGCGAGGCTGTCGGCCGTTTGCAGGCACGGCAATACGCTTGGCAATGGCGGCAGACGGCAGGCGGAGGCAGTAACCCGATTCAGTGAGTGCAAACCAAGGAAAGTGAGCGTGAGGGCGGGATGGTCGAGTGGGGTGGTGCGCCGTGTTGGTGTCATGTGGTACATTATTTTTAGGCACTCTAACCTCTTATATTGATGTACGTCCATGGAACAATATTGGAATAAAGTATTGGAATCCATATCGCCCAATCTAGATACCCGTTGTGGCGAGAATACCGTTTTTTCTTGCATAACTCGACCATGTGTTGTCTGGGGCCTAATTTCTCAATCAAGTATTTTTCTGTTACTACTTGAGAGCGACATGTTCACCATTGCGCATTAATTTCAACGTGTGTAACGTCAAGTATTACACTCGTCACATTTTGTGCTACTGCCTAGGAAATTATTGCAACCCAACCAGGAACAGAGAAAACAATGAAAGTGACATGTACAACATAGCAGCATTAGTCCCTTGCACAAACCCTGGTGCAACAACTTAGTGCTTGAGGTCAGACTGCACATTGGTCGATATTACCATCATCTTAAAATTTGTTGCAACTATCAATTTTACAAGATCTGACAAGCTGCTAGAAGAGGACACTTTCGAATCAGGAGTATAGATCCCTGGACCACGTCGTCTCAATGCACGTACCATGTTGTCGTCTTGACAGCGACACTGTCATGTATAAGAATCACGGTGAAATCCAGTAGCCCGCCGATGAATTAGCGTCATTTTTATCGAAACGTGTAGAGACGGGACACCACCTCGGACTAATTGAAGAGAAGATCATCTTGTTGCATGATCAATCGATCCACGAACATGTCAGTGCCGTGCTGTAAATCATTAGCATTTACTCATTATTCTTTCACGATACGAGCATCTATAGTCTTTCCCCCTTGGCCAGAGTTAGCTACATCTTCAAGCGTGATCTGGATAGCTTCAGTTCGGATTATCACGGCATAGTAATGGTAGCAGTGTTAGATCTATCATTCGGTCACGCGTCGTACCCGAATTACCAGCATTTGGTAAGTAAGATTTTTAGGGAATTGTAAAGAGAAATATAACCCATAGCTTCTCGAATTCTGCACAATATTGTAGCTGTACAGGTGTCACACCTCGAATTGATCAGCTCAAAAACAATGAACTCTATAGTATTATCTTTCCTTTTCAGTGTGCTCACAGGCATGAAAATCTCCTCCGGACACGAACCTGATAAGTATCAGAAGATTTGATGACGTTGTTTGCTAACCTTTCAGTTGGTGCGAAAAAGAAAAAAAGATGTGGGTTGTTAGCGGATCTGTTCATGCTGGAACAGTGGAGTGGCAGGTGGAATTTGCAGTAGGCTGATGAGAAGGAGGGAGTCAGGGAGGAAGAGGGAGGGTTTTGAAGTTCATGGCGGCTGTATTTCTTGGGTAAGAAAGAGGTTATGGAGCAGTAGTAAAAGGCAGGGATATTTGATGTGCCAGATGGTAGGAGAAATCCAACTACCAGGCTCACCTCTTTCATGGTTAGAAATTCCTATATATAATGGAATGGACCATCGATAATCATAGTTCTGAATATTCAACTATAGTATTCCTTAGACTTCGGCTTGAGATGGAATTAATACATAGATAATCTGGAAGACCTCTGGTATTCAAACCTCCTCTGGAATATCTAGTAACACCATTTTGCCTAGAAATACTCTCAAAGTCGCTGGTACAGAAACTATACTAAGAAGCAAGTAGCGTCAAAGGCCTACTCAGTGGTAAAGTCAACACCTGTACACTGAGGGTGTTACGTTTACTGTAAAGACAGTCAAGCATAGTAGCATGATTTTTTATTTGGAAGATGCTGCTGAAGAAAGGACTAACTCGTAAGACTCCGTCTTGCTGACAAGACTAGAAAGGAATGAAATGCGGATGCTATCTACATCACACATGTTTGGGGAATAGTGGAATCACTTCATCTTGAAAGGATCATTCTGCTCTTATGCTGACTTTCAAGGCACACTCATCCACATGCGGTTCTTCCGATGGGGTTGTCATAGGCGACTCGTTATTCTCACTCTAAATAGACTTCATGTTGGATGTGTCCCTTAATCTTCGAGAGAGATATTGCAGACACTTTATCACTCGGCCAGCACAAAACTAAAACACCATACACCTTGTTTTCACTATTAATCATATACCTCAAAGATCTCTCATCTAATCTAATCAATCTAATTGAATCAAATCAAATCACGCGAAACAACACCTTCATCATCCCCAAAACGAGTTTGTCCCTGGGTCTGATCCATTGACCAATACCTTCATATCGATCTAGTAGATCTTCATCGAAGCCCATATTCCCAAAATTATCTCCAATCGATCGCCCCATCGACCCCACCTCATCATCACACACTCTGTAAAGGGCATCTCAGACCCAACCCGAGAAACCAGTTTCATCTACACGCTTCCTTCTATACCACACAAACACAAAGATTGTCAGAGTTAAGGACTACCGAAAAAAGAGAGAACCGAGCACCGGAATCACCAATGCATACATGTAAAGACGTCAATGGTACAAGAAACACCACCAACCTCCCCCTAACTAAACGCTACCAACAACTCCCCCGAGAAAGTAGTCCGGTGGGGGTTCTCAAAAATATGAATAAAAATCGGATTCGAAATAACATCTCAGGTTGATCGCAAATCAAGAACCCTCTCCCCCGACTCCTCAAGTGTATAGCTAGATTTCAATCGCTTGCCAAGTTTGATAGGACCAAGCGAATAGTGTAATGTGAAAGAGGGGGGGGGGAAGTGATTTAGTGTCTAGTTTGTCCTGGTTGCAAAAGTCTACGGTTAAGTTTTGTGCGAGGTATTCTAGAGAGAGAGAGAGAGAGAGAGAGAGAGAGGTGGATATAGTCACGGATATTTGTCTTGTTTGAATTGAACAAGATGTGGACTACTGCGAATGGACAGATTAGACGGATTCTCGGACGGAAAGGGCCAATGTAAAAGCAAAAAGGCCGTCCCACAAGGAATAATCACATGGCATAGAACTTGTAAACTCCCCCAATTTTCCCACTCTCGTGTGGGATATCCAAGGGGGAAGGGGGGGGGGGGGGGGGGGGGGGGGGGGGGGGGGGGGGGGGGGGGGGGGGGGGGGGGGGGGAGGGCTTTCTAAAGACCACCGCTCCCCCTGAGTAAAGGTGTACACGCAAGCCTCATGAAATTAGTAGGGATGCAAGTTACGCAGTAAAAAAAAAAAAGGTAGTGCCACCAAAACCACCGCCTGCCCCATCCATTGATGGCTAAAAAGAAGGGCGCTGTCTAGGGTGAGATGCAATATACTGGGGCCTAAGTGACATGGTGGGGGAAGAGAATAAGAGACAGAGAGAGGACCATGGGAAGGCATTCATCCAATAAAGCTACAGGGATTTCAATGGGCAGCAAGCAGCCCTCGCTGCACCCAAGTAAGTATGCACCAAGGGGGTGTTAATCGGATCCCCAAAGGTTCCATCAAAAATCCCCTGGTTCTCCAAATCTAGAACTCTACTCGTTAGTAATTGCCATCTTCCCCACCCCCCCCCTCCGCTACTATATTTTCGCCTCCAAGCCACCGACAGGTTTTCCACAACATGCTTGCACCTAGCTCTACTGTGTAAGAAAACATGCCATTGTTTGCATACAATGACCAGTCGGCAATTATCGAAGCCCACTTATTTGCACAAATTGGTCTACGTGCAGGGAAGTGAGTCGTAAGACGTTTGGGTGTCGGACCCTTCGCTTATATGCCCCCGAGGTTTGCACGTTCGGCACCACGGGAGATTGTCGCTCCGACGTACAGGGTCTTGGTGATGAATAGTTTCTGAACAAAAGAGTGCGCTAATCAGAGTAATTTACGGGGCTATGACAAGGCCAGCGTGCAAGATGACTCGGCTTGGCGGACGAGCAGCCGTGGCTTCGCAATAATTAATATCGATATAGAATACGAGAGAAAAAACAACACGCCATTCTTGGTCCAAAGATGATCGGGACATATCTCCAAGTGGAGTTGAGTGGGAATGGAATACAGACCAAAAGTGGGGCAGTACGCGACGTTCAAGGCGAACATGACAGAACACCCACCTGCCTTGGGCTGAACTGGGATGTCGGTATTCCAGTTGCAGCCAACGGTTAAAGGCATTTGTGGGAAAACCGTTGAGTTCCCCCCCCCCCCCCCATATGCGACTTGTTTGGTGCGCCAGGCGTTGTCAAGCGTAGCGCACACTTGCCTGTGATTTGACGCTGATCATCAGGAAGCGCTCTCCGGTCCACTGTGAACCGGTGGGCGTGCAGGGTTACAAGAGGCTAACGAACGTGGCATGCGTATCACCCGTCCACTGATGTGAGCCTGTGCTGGATCCTGGGAGGATGTATGGATCCGATGCTAAAGAAGGGACGATAAGCTCCTAAAGAGGGGCATGAAGGAAAGCTATGATTGGGTAGTCGGGCCATACACCGACATAACAAAAGTCCGTGCGGGGCCCCGCGGAGTGTTTCTGTGAAAGCACCGAAGAGAGAACCTAGCATGTAAGAATTGTCCTATGATTACAATGCATGTAAGTAAGTGATTCGAACACCAAGGATGGTGGGTCCCTGTCGGCTTCAGATAGAAAGATCGGCCCTGACTTGGTGCGTACGTGTGTAGGAGGCCAGGGCGGCGTGTCTATCCGTAACAAACCACGCTGAGCATCGACGACCGTGTCATAGCGCGCTGGGAGTGCTAGTACCGCGGTGAAGTCAGGCGTATGTAATTGACGTGCCTGGTATTTGGTAGGAAAAGATGCAAGTGCCGGTCGGCTACATACAACCTTATGAAGATGTGTTCGCATGGAAATAATCGCATCTAAAAGAATGCAAGGAGATGAAATTAAGGGAAGCTGTGAGCAAGTCATACCGCACTGGTG